CAGCTAGCTAGCTTATTATTGTCTTGTCATTCTCTGTAGCTAGCTGTGTGTGTGTGTGTGTGTGTGAGCAGGCTTTGGTTGTCATGGCAATCAGGGGAGCCCACAGCAGCTGCGCACGCTCTCTCTCTGTCTCTAACTCCTCAGAGAGACAGAAAACATTTAAAATGAATCCCCTCAAAACCATGGACAGGAACGACCGAAATGAAAACCGAAAAGACCGTGAGCGTCGTCATCTTGTTGACTATAGCGCTGCCGAGTTTCAGTGGTTAAAGTTAAAAAATGTGACCTGGGGAGATTGAGAGAGAAGAGGTTCAACGAGCGTTTTCAGGATTCCTCCTCTAAAATTAACATGGGAGTAGATGGGGCCGTGAGAGGGCGTTGCTGGCGCATCAGTGCGTTTCCCGCCAAAACTATTTGTCTGAAAGCTTCAGCAGTAGTATCACTGCGACCCCAACGAATTTACCTACGTTTCTATCTATAAATTATTTCTGTAGAGTGAAATTTGTGGCCATGACAGCAGTTTACAAATTTATTTTTCGACAAATTTTTCTCTCCCCACACTCTAGCGATGATGTCACGCACTCTGGCGGTTTTTTCAGTTGGAGGTTCTCGCAATACACACCCATTCATTTTTTGGACCGGTTTTTGGCGATTTACCGGCAAACCGTTTGGCGAAATTCTTAGAAAAGTCATAGCACACCATTCCCGCCGAGCCGCACGTTTTGATACCTTATTTGTGTATGTGCGACAAAAGCTGCGGGAGAAGAAGCGCGCCGAAAAACGTACGGAAGAATAATAATAATAAGTATGGGGAAGGTAGTATTGTGCTTGCTTATGCAAGGCACAATAATAAGCCCGGAATAGTAGTATTGTGCTTGCTTATGCAAGGCACAATAATAAGTATGGGGAATAATAGTATTGTGCTTGCTTATGCAAGGCCAATAATAAGCCCGAGGAAATAGTATTTGCTTGCTTATGCAAGGCACAATAATAATCAAATAAATGAAAGATGCATGTTCTATTACAGCTGATTTCTGAATGCATCTGAATGAGAAACATTCTCACCTTCTGTAATTGAGGAAGTTTCTTCTCTCTATTGTGTGTTATCTATTAGGTATAATAGAATAGTGTGAGTGAAGATCTGTGTTTCCATTATATATCCATACATACTCACAGCAGTGGATCACTGAGTTGAGATTTGGTGTGGAATTGTAGAGGAGAAACGCTGATCATCTGGATGTAATGGTGATGGAACAGGTGCCAGTCTGATTGTGGCCGACACACATTATTGAAATTTAAAGCTCAGATTCTGTGGTTTTATCGGTATTGTGGCAAAGTTTAGTTGACAGCTGACAGAGAACAAATGCAACAATTTAGTTTTTCTTTAATTTTCTGTTCATACAGAGGTCCTTACTGCAGCGGCCCAGGTTTGATTCCAACCTGTGGCCCTTTGCTGCATGTTGTCCCCTCTCTCTGTCTCTCTCCCCTGTCTTCACCTTTCATATCCTAAAGGCACGAAAAAACCAAACATATATTTTCTATTTTTTTTTTCTGACAGGGATGAAGATCTGACAGTCTTACTCACTTCATGCCCTGATTGGTCAGCTGTGTGGTGAGGTGGAAGAAAGGAGGTGAAAGGAACCAGGCTATGAACTTCTCTTTCTCTCTTTTTCATTCTTCACTATTTCTGTCACCTATTGTGTGAACGTCTTCAAGAGACTGCCTGAAAATGTGCTCCTTTAGCCCCATATTGAAACAGTATGCACCCCCCTGTCTATGGCAGCTGGCTTTTCACTGTGCACAACTATAAATGGCAGCTGTGGAGTTGTTGGAAAAGGACCTCAATGGACCTGGGCTGAACATATGAATGTAACAAGTAATGTATAAACTAATGTCCGTTACTACAGAAATTATATTATTTATTCAGATGAGTATCAAGTACGCTAACCAGTAATATGTAGCCAGCTGCATTGAGGAGACTGAGTACATGTCACAGTGGAGAGGGATGGAGCTGCAGCTCATGTGCAGCCTGTAGAGTGGATGGTTTCATTTGAGGCTGTCCAAGTATCGCTGTCCTTTTCACACGTTTGATAGAGGAGTGTGAGTCTTTCAGATGTGTAAAGGATACAGAATACAAAATGAGCAAAACACAAAACAGATTGAGGAGAGAGACCAAGGAGAGTTTTTAGTTTCAGCTGAGCCACAAACTCAATCTGTATTTTTGTTATTAGAAATGAATGACGTCCACCCTCAAAAATGTATGTAGTAAATACGACAAAATTTCCCACGGACCTTAAAATGTGATATAAAATTGAAGTGATAACATTTTTACCAAAAGGTCAAAGGTCAAACGTTCTGTGAAAAAGTCCTTGAAAACTCAGGAACAGAAGGTGAGACTGTTCCCATATTTCCCAGTTGGTTGGACAATGAGTTGGTGACACTTTGAATCAAAGTGGAGTCAGACCGTCAGACATGAAGTGATTTTTGCTGAAACTTTCAACACCTCCATCTGCCGCTAATATTTCTCTGACTCCTCCTGTAATTTCATCTTTAATCATCTTCTTTAATCCTGCATATGCGTAACTGAATAGTTAAAAGTATATTCTTATGATAGAGGAAAAATAAAAGTACAAAAATTATAAAAATTTCTTTCTGGCTTCATTGAATATTATATATCATCAATTATTGTTTAAGGCAGTAGTTTCATTCTACATGTTATATCTCACTCAGCAAAATGAATGATGTTTGCGTTATGAGTAGTTCTCTTCCTGACAGTGAACCTTTAAGGTCAGTTTCAGGCCTTAGTTGTCTCTGTTCAGTTTGCTGTGTGCAGTTAAGCTGTTGGTCAGTAGGGGGCAGCAGTACACCTGCAGTAGATATCACAGAGGCGCTACATCATGATGTTTCCTAAAACGATCAAACCACACGCACACACACCTACACACACACACACACACACACACACACACACACGCACACACACTTGGTGCTCTGACCTCTAGATGGCTAAGATTGGAAAGATAAGATATTTTAAGTGAACACACCACAGAGAAAGGATACAGAAGTGCATCTGAACATTTCAAAGACACTCAGTGAGGTGTGTCCTGTTTGTTCCACCCACACAGCGATGTGTTCGGAGGTATTGTTGTGGTCGACTGACATTATTCTTTTTCAGAGCCTCGGAGTACCATCAGTGCCGAGACAACATTGCTTATTGCACACAATGTGGTTTTCAGCAGATAAGTTTGGTCAAAATACATAAAGAACAAACATTATAGATTTTTAGCAGCCATATTTCCTCAGTGAAGTCAGCCTTTAATCATCTTAACCATGTATTATGATCAACTCTGGCAAATATTACATTTTCACTGTCACAGATGTGTTTATTTTATCCTATATCCCCTCGTCAGAAAATAAAAACGAGTGGAGAATTAATAAAAGTTGGTTGTTTGTTTCTCTCAAACACTCCGACAGTGAAGTGTTTTCGAGTCCTGCAGCCGACGGACTAAAAAGAAAAGAAAAAAACAACAACGTATCGCTTCTGAGTTCCCGCTTTGGTCAAGCTTGCTCGCACAGAGCTCAACAAGGTGGTTTTGCACCCCCCACCCCCCGCTGCCCTCCCCTCTGACAGGATGTCTATGTGGTTTTATTTGATGCTGTTTGTTTGTTCTGATCGCCTCACAACAACGCCTCTGCTCTTTCACTTCTCATTCCCATGTATCTATATTTCACATTTATATGTCTGCTAACAGCTTACGATACACAAAGTCACACTTTTAGCATCAAATAAACAGAAAAGTACATCATCACATCACTGAAAGAGTTGTCACAGCAGATATAGAGGGAGGAGGAGAAGGAGGAGGAGGAAGAGGAGGAGGAAGAGGAGGAGGAGGAGCACTATGACGAGGTCACTTGGGGCCGGGCTTAACTTTCGCCTCTCTCTAACCGCAGGGGTTTTTTTAAATTCTAGCTAAAGGTTGCCTTCATGTTCCTGTTACTGATGCATGCATTTAAAAGAATAAAAAGAGAAACACAATCTAAAATGTTTAATGTCTTTTTAAATTAAAACACTTAAAATAAAAAGTGATATAATGGAATGTGTTGCACAGGAGTTTGAAATCAGTGGTTTGGATGTGAAACAATCAAGTAATGAGAATTCATTCCATTATGAGATTTTCCTTTTCTTATTTGTATGTTCTAAATGGATAAATTGAACCCAGTCAGTTATATCAGCTCTGAATGACTTCCTATATTTGTCAAGCAGCAGCACAGGCTACTTTTCATCAGTTAGACAACTGTGCAGTGTGTGTAGTGTCTCTAGAAAGCTCAGGGTTTTCTGAACTGACTAATAGTTGAGCACCTTCTATAGTTAAACTTCATCAGCAGATGACCTGAGCAGAAAAACGTCCTCCGCCCACACGTTTTTTAGAAGTTTAGCTCAAGAATGTGACAGTATTGACAGATTGGCCCCGGATGACATTGAAATGACATTGAGGAGTTTGATAAGCAGCCATGAGCTCAACCTGCCAAAACCACAGTAAACAATTCTTTTCTATAAAACCGTTCCTTGTTGTTTGCGTGTACTCAATACATTATTTGATATTCACAGTTATTTAAATGAAGCATTTAGAGCAATACTTCCTCATTTCACTGTTTGTCTGCCTCACATTCTCTTGAAAGCAGAATGGGAGGATCTATTTTCCGTCTCAGCTTTGACTCGTCTGAGAAACAGCGAACATTTGGCCGTCCCACCATCACTTTGCACGACTCAGGAAGTATGGGTTCAAGTGAGAGAAATGTTGGTCAGTTCGTCTCTACTGAGTCAACAACTGTAGAGCTTTTACCACAGCTTTGTTCAAGCATGTAAACAGACCACAAACATCAAAAGACATATTTGAGTCACACGCAGTAGCCTGCTTCTGACGGGTAAAGGTCTACTGCAACAGTTAACGGTATGATTGGCTTTGCAAGGTCGAGGCTGAGGTAATGAGACAAAATGATTACATTTACTTAAATTGAAGCAGATACAAATACCTACAACAATCAGACCAATTTTTTTCTCGCTCTAACCAAGCTCCTACACAATTATATTCATATATTAACAGTAAACTCTTTTAACCATGTTACACTTATGCAAAGAAAATCTTCAACCCTCTCTAGCCAGCTACGGTTTAAATGACAATACCGGCATTTTTGTTACAATGACTGCTGCTCTCAATTAGTATGTCTAAAGACATACTAATAGCACTAGCACCACTACACCACTAGCACTAGCACTTTGGGAGGAGGAGGTTTTCAGGGCTGGGGCAGGGGACCTGGCAGGGATTGCTGCTGGGGAGTAGTGCCAGAATGAGCACCAGAGTTGGGCAAGTGGACAACGGAGTCGGGCTTCCAGTGACCAGGGTTGGGAGTGAACTGTCACCGACGGAGACCAGGTGATTTGTTATATTAACGTTATACATCATTATTTTCATCATTATTCCTGTGCTTTGAATGAGACTTTTGTAATGTTATGTGTTGAAATGAATTAACTAAATGTTCAGTCTCCTTGCTGGTTGTCCTAACACATTCAGAATCATTACTGCGTAGAATAGAATATACATAGAATAGAATATACAGCCATAACATTATGACCACCTGCCTAATATTGTGTAGGTCCCAATTTTGCAACCATGGTATCTGGCACCACCACGTTAGCAGCAGATCCTTTAAGCTCTGTACGTTGTGAGCTGGGGCCTCCATGGATCGGACTTGTTTGTCCAGCACATCCCACAGATGCTCGAATGGATTGAGATCTGGGGAATTTGGAGGCCAAGTCAACACCTTGAACTTGTTGTGTTCCTCAAACTATTCCTGAACCATTTTTGCTTTGTGGCGCGGTGCATTATCCTGCTGAAAGAGGCCACTGCCATCAGGGAATACCGGGTGTACATGGTCTGCAACATTGCTTAGGTAGGTGGTAAGTGTCAAAGTAACATCAGCATGAATGGCAGGACCCAAGGTTTCCCAGCAGAACATCAACCTAATATCAGCACAGGGAGTGGTAGCCCCCCCAAAAGATTATTAATGCAATAACAGTAACAATTACGTTTGCATTTCAAATCTTTTATATTTTCCATTGTAAGCATTGTTTGTCAGTTTAACAAAACAACATTCAACAACATTGTGTGTTTGTGTCTGGGAGTGAGATGTGTTCAGGTAAGCATGCAACAATGCCTCTGTGCAACACTGTTGTCAGTCTTCATCTGTAGTTTCCTCTAAGACTGCTGATGATGTGTGCATAGGATGCTGTCCCATTGGAACAAATGCCGCATCCAGGGGCACCACCGGCATGATGGGAATTACAAATTCACACTGAAAAGACCAACCTGTAACCCCAGCTATTAACTGTAAGTTATCAACATTAACTTTAAAGTACTTTAAATGGGTTAAATCACTTGACCTGATTTCTGCATCTCTCCCACACACTGCCTTTTTAACCCACTTAACTGTTTACATCCCCCCAAAAAGCACATCTAAATCTAAACAAACCTGTGTGATGACTGAATAACCATGTTTTTCCACACTGACAAAAAAAACACTGACATGCACCAACCTCTACCCCTCAATTCAAATATTGACTTGAGAGAATTTCCTTTTCATAGTATACATCATGGTATGTTGTCACACCTACTGTCCTCCAGTGTACCACATCAATAATGTCACCATAAAGACTCAATCAACCCAATTACACCTCTGATCACCTGAGCATACTCTGGTTTAGATTCAGAACTACAATTTGTTCTCATGCAAAAGAAGTCAGCTTAGCCAATCACAAAGAGCCTTCGTCTCCTATAAGAGTTGAGTGCGTCCGTCAACACACAGGATACAGACTGCAGAGCTTCAGGGATGATGCCACTTTGCATTTTTCTTGTGCTTCTCAGTGAAACCTGTGAGTATTTTACATCTATTCATTGTTTCTACAGGCATGAATACAATTTTAGTAAAGGGAAATACGTTTTAAAAGTAAAATAAATATGACTTTATCTTTTATTATTAATTTCAGGTCAGGTGCCAGCTGTTGACAAGACCTCAGGTATTACTCAGGACAGTGGGGTTATAACAGCTGAAGTTGGGCAGACTGTGACTTTAAAATGCTATTGTCGGAATGATGCCGTAAATTTCTTCTTTTGGTACCAGCAAAGCTTGGGAGGCAAACCTCTCATTGTATCAACTTTGATGAAGCACAGCACAGAAGCTACCATCTCCCCCACGTATAAAGGAAGGTTTCAGGTCTTAGTGGGAAGAGGAGAGGGCATCAACCATCTTGTAATCAAAGAACTTCTCCTGTCGGATTCAGCAACATATTACTGTGGGATTTTAGAATTCAACGAAATTGAATTTGGACAAGGAGCTTTCCTTCATGTGAAAACATCGCTGTCCAACATCCATGCTGTTGTCCATCAGCCAGCGTTGGAGACTCTTCGGTGGGGAGACTCTGTGAATTTGAGCTGTACGGTATACGCTGAAAAATGTGCAGGGGAGCAGAATCTGTACTGGTTCAGACATGGTGTGGCTCAGCCTGCAATCATGTATCACAATGCGGGACAGTGTATGAAAGATTCTCACATGGAAAATTGCACTTTAAACCTGGCTATAAAGTCTGTGAGCTCCTCCGATGCTGGGATGTACTACTGTGCTCTGGCCTCTTGTGGGGAGATTGTGTTCGGACAAGGAACTAAAGTGAAGATTGCAGGTAGGTGATTATAGTTGATATTGCACATGATTGCTGTTTCCGTAAGTTAAAATAGCCTTAAAATAAACCATATGTATTGTATATCCAAAAAAGAGATATCTAAAATAGGATATGTTTTCTCTTGACTAGAAGGTTCTACCAAAGGCCCCTGTGTCCTGGTGTATTGTCTGAGTGTGGCATTGGCAGTTTCCATTATTCTGCTCTTCGTCTTGGCTTTAGTCATGTACAAGTTGAAAAAAAAGATATGCTCTGTCTGCAAAGGTAAGATTTTCACAATAAAGGTATGTTAACCATTTTTCTGTATTGACCTGGCCTGATCATTTATGTATTTTGATTTGCAGGAACAGTTTCTCATCTGACATGTTCAGCAGCTTCTGACACCACGGTAGGTTAAACAACTGTATGATGGAAGCCAAATGTACAACTGCAGCGTGTTTTCCTCTTTTTCTCACATCATTTGCCATTGTGGTATTGTCATTAGCAGAGCCAAGACGCAGATGCTCTCCATTATGCTGCTCTGAGTCTGAACAGAACCAGAGAACGACACCGCCAAGAGGAGAGCGTGGAGAATGTTTGTGTATACTCTAGAGTAAAGACTAGTAGAGTGAAGTAGGACTTTACCTTTACATTCAACTACTTTCATGAATTATCTTTGCTGTCAATCACTTGCAAGAAAACTACATTTTTCATGCAAATGTACAATATACAACATGTTGAAAGAAAATAAAATATTTTTGGTGCAATGTGTGTGTGCAGTATTGTATGTAAAATATGTTGTGTGTGTAACAGTCACATGGATCAGCATCTCTGCACCCAGAGTATAACACTAGATACAAATATAGACAATGCAGGCTCATAAAAATCCCCTCCGACCTATAAATATCTTCCATTTCAAAACGTAAGCACAGGTTGCACCTTCTCAATCTACAGCCGGCTCTTACCGTTTACCTTTCACTCCTGTGGTGACGGTGGTGTGAACTACAGAGTGTAAGTTTCCACTGGTGGAAACAAAAGTCCTAGCAGAGCTTGACACAGGAAGACCGGCATGTAGCGTCCAGGCCACAGCGTCTTGCACCTCAGCAAACCCAGGCTCACATAGCTTTGTGCAGCAAGCAACATGTCTTAGGTTCAGAATTTCAGACCAGACTTCAATGTGAGGTGAAAGAATTTTTACATACCTACAACTCCAACTGTCCAGATTTATCAAGTGAAGCTTTCAGTTCAGTCAATCAAAATGTTGCTGTACTCATCAGTAACAGTTTAGCTTTCACAATTCACTTTCCTAAAACTCATGTGGCCCAACCTGACCCGAAGCTGTGCTTTTTAGGAAACTCACCATTATGATAATGTCCAGTTTGAGCTACAACAACTTTTTGAGGAAGAGGACATACAGTATCATAGAGATTCACAACTCATACTCAAATCCAGTAATAAGTTCTGTTCTGTTCACATTGAACAGAACACACAGATCATAAATCTAAATGTTCCTTCAGTACAATAAACATCAGAAACTGTGCCACAGGAATGTGCAAAATGGCTGCCAAATAATCATTGTTTCAAAATATTTTGTTTATAATATATAATATATATATAATGTCCAGTCTGAGGTACAATAATGATGAATGATGTGAAGAGGAATACTTTAGCGAGGCACTACAAATTGTTTTTGTAATATATATACCAGTTCTAGAAAATGAACAAAAACATATAAATGTGATGCTGTCAGGGGGTCTGAGGTCAGCGTTACATTGTAGGTGACCTAAGATCAACCTTAGAATGCATTTGTCAACCTGGTAAAATCTCTCCAAATTCTGTTTTGAATTCCATGACAATTCTTTCTCAAATACCAAAATGAACACTGAGGACGGCACAGATCATGTGATCATTCAGAGTCATTTCTGATTGGCCAATCAAATGCAGCCTTGACACTGAAAAGTGGAGAATGTGTGGAGATTCTCTCAATCGACCACGGCAATCTCAACAAAATGACACCTCCGATGTTCGCTTTGTTTGTGACATGTCTGCTCTTGGGGACAATGGGTAAGTTTTACATTTTGTAAGTACATTGTCTCTTTTTTTTCTTAAAATGATTGCTTCCGATATTTTTCATATGTTTTGCAATACATTTTGGGTGTTACAATATCCAATCCAATCCAACTTTATTTGTTAAGCACTTTAAAAACAACCAAAGTTGACCAAAGTGCTGTACAGGAGAATGCTTCCAGTCATGGTATAAAGTGAACTGTGCAATTGTTTGGTCTCCATTTTCTCCTCAGCGGATATGATCGCTCCTAAACTATCATCATCTCTACATTTCCGATCTGTTAGCGTTGGTGAAAACGTGACTTTGGAATGTTTCTATAAAGATGGCATGGCAGTGAAGTTTTACTGGTATAAACAAACTCCGGGACAGAAACCACAGCTGATGTCTAAATTCTATAAGCATGACAAAAATGGCACTTTGAATAGTGAATTTAAGAACGATCCACGCCTTGAACTGGAAACTACCACTGGTAAAAATCACTTGAAGATCTCAGATGTGCAAATTTCAGACTCAGCTACGTACTACTGCATAAGTGGCTTTTCCTATGTGTATGAATTTATTGATGGCGCTATTGTCAGTGTAAAGGGTTCAGGTTTGAAGATCCCAGCTTCGGTCCATCAGTCAGCATCTGAGACCATCCAGCCAGGAGGCTCTGTGACTCTGAACTGTACAGTACACACTGGGACCTGTGATGGAGAACACAGTGTTTACTGGTTCAAAACCTCTGAAGAATCTCATCCAGGCCTCATTTACACCCATGGAGGCAGTAATGATCAGTGTGAGAGGGAACCTGACACACAAACACACACCTGTGTCTACAACTTGTCAATGCAGAGCCTGGATCTTTCTCATGCTGGGACCTACTACTGTGCTGTTGCCTCATGTGGACACATACTGTTTGGAGACGGGACCAAGCTGGACTTTGAAGGTTAGTAACTTTAAACAAATATTGTTAAATAGTGATGGATACTTTCTAATCAGAAAAAAAAAAAAGTACATGTAATGCCTCCTCATGTTCCATATGTTAATGATCTGCAGATGCGGTGCACTCTTTTGCCTTGGTGTATTTCTTGACTGGAGTTTTGGCATTCAGCATCATCCTGCTTGTTTTCCTGGCTTACAGAGCACATACACTGTACACTGCAAACAACTGCCAATGCACAGGTAGGCTAAACTGTCATTCCTTAAAATTGATAGCGGGTAAGAATTAATGGAGTTGAGTAACTGTGGGTACAATTAACATTTAAAGTATCTTGAATAAATTGGTATAATTAAGTATATTAACACTGATATATTTACAAGAATTATGAGTATTGAAGAAGCCTTTTGTTGTTTTTTTCAAAACCAGTATCTCAAGCAAGATCCTCAGCTCCCAATGCAGAGGTGAGTATTTTTAAAGCGCTACTATAACTGCATCATATTGAACAGCAAGAACACAGCATAGATTGTATAGCAGTGGCTGAATAACCTGACCAGACCAGCACCTAACCGTGCCAGATGGTGTATTACATAGAACCATCTGGAAAGTCAGTTTGGAAAAGGGCCGACACTTTCAAAAAATACTCTGCAGGTGATTGGATGATTTATATCTTATTCCCAGGGTTACCAGGATGTAGACAACCTCCATTATGCTGCTTTAAGGACCAAAAATGCCAACAGATCAAGAAAACAAAGAGACAACAGCCTGAATGAATGTGTGTACTCCAGGGTCAGGCAGTAAAAGTGAACGTTTTTCATTTGTTTTTTTGTGTTTGTCAGTTTGTCAGTTTTTTACCTCCATAATCTGAATGTAAAGATTTACCTTGCAAAGCACCAATTAAACAAGTTCCTTCAGTTACAGTTAAGCTGTGTTTCTTTGATCGAGGTGACATATTTCCACTCTCGCTACACTTGTAGTCAACAACGTACAAGCACACAACCACACATAACTGATGTCTGTGGTGACTGTGGGCTCAGGTACTTGATAGCGGAATATAAAGCTTCAACATTGACAGTCTGTACATGTGTAATGTTTCCCCCTTCACACAACACACACTATTTGGGTGTTGTTTGTGGTAACTTAATAAATCAAAAGCACATCAAACTCTCAGCAACACTATCTCACGGTCATTGGGACACAATTAGTATGGCACTGCGACCTTTCAGTATGTTTGATACGATATGGCGTGGTAGCATGCTCAGAAATATCTGCGATGATGCATGTGGCACGAGCTAATTCGTCCAAAAGTGAGCACCCACCCTCAGCGTATTGATAATGCCTGTTCTTCTTCACAGGTTGTTTACTGTAAGTGTGCTGATCACCACAAGCCCAAAGGTGTAAAGCTCTTTTTAGCTCTCAGAATACTTTGGCCATGTACTTTTCTAGACCCCTCTGCTCATTTTGTCTTTGTGGTTTCAAACAGGAAGCCTCTGCAGTGTTTTCATGCACAGCAGCCACACGGTACAACTCTAATGCCCAGACTATTCTAAGATCAGAAGAAATCATTTGAGCAATCAAACTTTTAATTTCATTTGCAAACATTGAGTGATACTATATAACAAGTTTATGATCAATCAAAGTTTTGAAAGCTAAATTAGTGTTGAGTCTTCCTGAACTGGTAAAATAATAAATAGTAACTCTAACATTAGTGCATATGCACTCAACTGTTCTCAGTGTGCAGTTTAACACAGGTAACAATGTCAGGAATCCTCAGGACCAGCCATGAGGGAGTAATGTGCTCATGTTGATGTTAGCCTAAACATCTTATCATGTCCACCCACAGAAACCTGGTACAAGTATTTCTGCCTGACAGACAGTTTAGCCAGCACAGAGGTATTCCATATTATTCATTATCCGTATTACTGTTGAATCAACCAAACAGTGGCCATGATGTGTGTTTGGGAAGGAGCAGATGAGGCAATGAACATCCCTATAGAATATATAATAATAATAATAATAATAATAATAATAATAATAATAATAATAATAATAATAGCTGTTACATCTGCCACTAATAACCACAATAAAAATGTATCATTTAATTTGGTGACGTGATATGGACATAATATTAGGTTACAGCTGATCCAATCTCTAGCAATTGAGTGCCATTTCCCACAGAAAGACTGATGACATGTATTGAATGCAAAATTGGAAACCAGATGAGTGGGGCGTCTCTCAGAAGTCCTGTTTTCAGCTTGTAGGTCTCTCTTAGTGCAGTGCATTCAATGCAGCACTGATCATGTGTTCGTTGCTTCCAAATCAGGATATTAGGTGGTACCTCTCATTAGCCAATCAAACGGAGTCTTCTCTCTGAAGAGTGGAGAAGGTGTCATCGTTCATTTCATTCATCACGGCATTTTGAGCACGATGGCAGCTCTGAGGTTTACTCTGTATCTGATTTATCTGTTCTTGGGAAGAATAGGTAAGTTGTCTGCTGTAACTTCAATATTTAATATGATTACACATTTTAAATTTAGACATCACGATCAATTTATATCACTGCATTAAACATGTTCTTTCTCGATTTTTGTTTTTTTGTCCTCAGCGCAGACGACTAATCTGGAATCGCCCGTATATGTGCGTCAAGATAGTGGTTTTTTATCAGCTAATGTTGGTGAAAACGTGATTATGCGATGTTTCTATCAAGGTGATGCTATGATGTTTTACTGGTATAAGCAAACTCTGGGACAGAATCCAAGGCTTGTCTCTACCTACTATAAACATGAAATAAGTGGCACCTTTCTAAATGAATTCAAGAACAATTCTCGCTTCTCACTAGAAACAGGAAACGGAAATTATCACTTAATAATCTCCAATTTACACATTTCAGACTCAGCAACTTACTACTGCGCAGGTTGCTATGCATATGACTTAGAATTTGCAGAGGGTGTTACTGTCAGTGTAGAGGGTTCAGGTTTGAAGATCCCAGCTTCAGTCCATCAGTCAGCATCTGAGACCATCCAGCCAGGACGCTCTGAGACTCTGAACTGTACAGTACACACTGGGACCTGTGATGGAGAACACAGTGTTTACTGGTTCAAAACCTCTAAAGAATCTCATCCAGGACTCATTTACACCCATGGAGTCAGCAATGATCAGTGTGAGAGGAAACCCAACAACCAAACACACACCTGTGTGTACAACTTGCCAATGCAGAGCCTGAATCTTTCTCATGCTGGGACCTACTGTGCTGTTGCCTCATGTGGACACATACTGTTTGGAGAGGATAAAAAGTTGGACGTAAAGCGTAAGTAACATTATATCATATATATATTAGTAATGATTACTACTTGCTCCGTATTCCACAGCTCTGTAATTTGTCCTATCATCTGTATCTGCAGATAAGGTGCACTCTTTGGTGTATTTCTTGACTGGAGCTTTGGCATTCACCACCACCCTGGTTGTTTTACTGGCGTATGCAGCGTATACAATGAACAACAGAACCAGCTGCCAGTGTAAAGGTAGGCTAACTTTATGTACTTAATACTGGGGGAGAAACTATTTTAAGCTGAATTGTCAATCAAGACAAGAGTGTCAGAAATCAGCATATTTCACTGTGCTGATTACTTGCACACAACTTGGGAATATTTCTATATTCCATGGTTTATTAGTTGCAAATGTCATCAGCAACGTACAAAATACAATTTAACATGTTCTGCCCTCAGTTTATGAAAAACTGAGCCATTCAACATAACAATTTACTAACAAGGGCATAAGTTGATGGAGGTTTTACACTGTTAAATACAATTATGGTTGGTTTTAGTGTGGGTCTTTAGTTTTCATTTATGCTGTTGTGGTTTGTTTTCCATCACTTCTGAGTGGTATAATACTTATAAAATCCAAATGTTTAAAGAATTGGTCTTCTCACCACCAGCTTTAGTGAATTTTGAAGGCTTTTCTTTTGTTGTTTTCTTAACCAGACTCAAGATCTTCAGCTGCCTCGACTCCAAATGCAGCGGTGAGTATTTTTGAATTATAGCATCTCTATAATGTGCTGTAATATAATATATATTACAACACAACAACAAAGTATTGGGGATGAAAAAAGTGACACCTGTGCCCATGAATGCAATTCATATCTCTGACATACATACTACATACTGTAGCTGTTAGATTCACAGGAATTTACCGACCCATAACTTAAACTTTTAGGAAACTGTAGTCTTTGGTTCTAGGTTCTGCCTTGAATTTCAAACCTGAACCTTTTGGATATATATCATTGAAATAGTATGTAAGTATGTCAACATGAGCTACATGTTATGTGTGGTTTTGTTCCTGTGGTGCAAATGGCCTCTTTCAAAGCACAGAGATACTATTTTCTAAGTTCTGTTATGTCCATGTGATCAATGTCAATCGATATTGTATAGGTGTTGGTGTGTACAATATATATAAGACAAGCGATGTATATGTATATGGTGATTAAACGTTAAAATTTTATTTTATTCCCAGGATTCCAGCGATTCAGACAACCTCCATTACGCTGCTTTGAAGGCACACAAGGTCAACAGATCAACGAGACTGAGGAATGACGTGCAAAGTGAATGTGTGTACTCCGGAGTAAGGCAGTAGGAGCTGGAGATATTTCATTTGTACTTTACTTCCGCGTAAGAAGAATGTGTCTATCAAACTAAATAATGTGATTTATTTCTAAACTAGGAACATTGCTGTCAGATTTCACCTCAGTATACTGAATGTAAAGTTTTTCTTTTCCATAAACTAATAAAACATTGCAAGAAACCAAGCTTCCTTGATACAGCAAAGTTCAATTGGTCTACTGTCACTTTAGCAGTAGTTTACAGCATAAAAACACAGCACACACAGCTTATCTATGTGGTGCCTGTGGGCTCAGGTGCTAGAGACCGCACTGGAAGATTGCAATATCAGTACCCAGGTTGGAGAAGGATGTCTGTAAGTGCTGCATGGTTGAAAGAATGACACTTCATCATTGTGTACACTAGCACAGAAACTGGCCACACCCATCTGTTTAATACCCCTCTCTGACTGGGAGACACGTCGTCGTAGTCATGTCTCATTTCATGGTCATAGATGAGTTGATGTGATTTTTTTTGTTTTTTTGGTTCAGTTGGGAATAACTTTTATAAAAATGACAAAGAAAGAGCTAGAGGAAGTGCACGAGAGAATGTGAGAAGGCCAAACATAACAGAAAGTAAACCTCTGTTGAAACGTTACTGGGTTCTTCTCAGTGGTTACTTCAAAGGCAAATAAAACTCAGCAACAATAAGGTAGCAAGCATGAACACATTTCAAAGGCTTTTCACGTACTATACCTTCTGAAATTTAAGAGCAAGCTTTTGCAAACATTATCGATACGGGTGTGACTCAGCAGGACCAGCCTTCTCATAGCAGGGTGGCAACATACCAGTGACCATGTGATATCTGAATATACATTTTTAACATGGCTGGAGCCAGTCTGTCAGATAGTGAGTGTCCGCCTTCATTATATTTAGGCCTTTCCTAAATGTCTATGCAGGATGGTTATTGTCATTAAGTATCTCTTTTAGCTTCTGTGTGGTTGTCAGTCAAAGATTAGCTCTCAGTATACTTGGTCATGTGCTTTTCTACGACCCTTTGCTCTCTGTGTCTTTGTGGTTTCAAACAGGAAGTCTCTGCAGTGTCTTCATGCACAGCAGTCACACAGTATAACTCTAATGCCCAGACTATTTAAGAAGATCATATCAATAAATGAATGTCAAGAGGCTAAAACTGGGTTTTATAAAATAATAACTGGTAGTATAAGTAACTCTGTAACATTAATGTATATGTAGTCAATCAATACATTGTGTTTGTCTGCAAAATTTAGAGTGCAAATGTCATTTTAAAACCCTCAAGACCAGCCTTGCTTAGGGAGGGGCGCTTTACTGCTCAATATGTCCTCCCACAGTAATCTCATCTTTTTGCCTGGCAGACCAACCAAACAGTGGCCACCACACCTATGCATGGGAGAAGCAGCTGAAACAATTTACATTCCCAAGCAATGCCAGCACCATTAGCAACTTGCTGCAACAACACTAACTACTGCAAATAAAGTATTATTTTTGACAAGTCTAGAGACATGGCTCTAAGGTTATCATTGTCGGTTGGTGTGCTGGTCCACCTCTTTGATCCAGACGGATGATTCCACTGACTCTGACTACTGACTTTCCCCTGACTTTTCTTATAGCGCTGCCATGAGGTTGACAGTTTCGGCTTTATGTTTCATGTCTTGACAAGTATTAGATTGATTCAGATTGATTTCTAGGTATTTTGATACATATATCCATGGTGCCTAGAGGATGAACACTAGTGGTCCCCTGACTCTTCCTGTATGGCCCTTAGCAGGTCAAAGTTTACACTTATTCTGTGAAATAACTCAAAATCCCCAGGATGAAATGGCACCAAATTTCTTGCAGACATTCATAGTCCTCAGAGGCTGAATCCTACTGACTTTGGTGATTCCCCATCTTGCGCCACCATGAGGTACACATTTGTTGTGAGTGAAATGTTTAAACAACTATTGGCTTGCTAACATGCAACTACAACAATTGGCATTCACCTTTCTCACTCCTGTGGTGAAGGTGGGGTGTGGAAACTTTGGTCACAGCAGAGCTTAAACACAGGAAGAATAACCTATTAACTGAAATATGTGCTAACTTTGCAATGCAAACACCTTACTTTGTTCAGTAAAGAGTGAGAAATCTTTCTGCTTGTGAATTGTTGGGGGCAGGACAAGAGAAATTATGTAATTTATATTAAATTAATACATTGTAAAGTAAAAGTGGAAGGGTGGGGGATGGCAGACAGTTTATTGTACCAATCCTGGTTCATTTCCAACAACAAAGAAAGTACAGAGTTGAGTCTTACTTTTTCTCAGTTGCCCCTGACGACAAACTTTATCCCAGAGTAAGACTCTTCATCTTATTTCAGCCACCAAGTCTTTTATTTCAGTACTTTTTAGTCTTATACACTAATCTGACTGGAAATGAGTGACAATACATTTTATGTCTTTGTCTTTGTAAATTCACTTCTCTCTGAATATCATGTTTGAACTTTTTCTGCTACTGATGTCGGTTAATGAAAGTGACTGACTTTGGTTGAGCAGTACTAGACTTCACCAGATTATTTCTGTTCTTAGTGATTTTAAACATCGACATTGCAAGTGATATTGTGGTTCTATCCAAGTGTCTTAACTCGAGAGCCAAAGTAGACAATGGTGGGGGCACTGAACATGTGTTCACTGTTTCCAAAATAGGACATTCAGTGTCACTTCTTGTTAGCCAATCAAACACAGTCCTCTCTGTAAGAGTAGAGAACGTATGGAGGATCTCCACATTCATCAAGACATTTTGGTCACGATGACATCTTTGAAGTTGGCTTTATATCTGACTTGTCTTTGCTTGTGGAGAATAGGTAAGTTTGGTATTTTGCTGATGTTTTTGTATCCTTTCAAGTGTATAGTCAATGTTTAGTCATTATAATCAGAATGTATAATCACTATGATAAACTGCTATCATTGCATTCATTTTGTTCCTTTCTCTTTTCTATTCAGCTCTGACAACTGATGTTAAATTGTCCACATCTGTGCGTCAAGAGAGTGGTTTTATATCAGCTAATGTTGGCGACAACGTGACATTACGATGTTTCTTTCAAAGTGATGTTGCAGCAGTGTTTTTCTGGTACAAACAAACTCTGGGACAGAAACCAAGGCTTGTCTCTAACTACTATAAACATGATAAAAATGGCTCCTTTTCAGATGAATTCAAGAACAATCCACGCTTCACGCTGGAAACTAAAAAGGGTACAAATCACTTGACAATCTCAAATTTGCATACTTCAGACTCAGCTACTTATTACTGCATAAGTTGCTATGCATACAAGTTTGAATTTGCAGAGGGTGTTACTGTCAGTGTAAAGGGTTCAGGTTTGAACATCCCAGCTTCGGTCCATCAGTCAGCATCTGAGAGCATCCAGCCAGGAGGCTCTGTGACTCTGAACTGTACAGTACACACTGGGACCTGTGATGGAGAACACAGTGTTTACTGGTTCAAAACCTCTGAAGAATCTCATCCAGGACTCATTTACACCCATGGAGGCAGGAATGATCAGTGTGAGAGGGAACCCAACAACCAAACACACACCTGTGTGTACAACTTGCCAATGCAGAGCCTGAATCTTTCTCATGCTGGGACCTACTACTGTGCTGTTGCCTCATGTGGACACATACTGTTTGGAGACGGGACCAAGCTGGACTTTGAAGGTAAGTACAGCAACATTCTAGCAGAGAACTCACAATCAATCGTCAAATTTTAATAAGGTATAGCCAAATCAATATTGTTCATTTCAATGATGATATTTGGGGGTTTAAAAAAGTCTATGAACAATATATCAGCCAGTAGCAAAAATCTTGAGTCTTATCCCTTTGATTTGTTGGTTTTTGACCGAACTGAGTGGGACATTTTACATTGCAAAAATTAAGCTCTACTAAAGGTTCGTATTGTCTCCTGATGTCTGGCTATACGCAGATGAGGAGACCTCTCCCGACTCTCTTGTGTATTTCTTGAGTGGAGCTTTGGCATTCACCACCCTGCTGGTTGTTTTACTGACTGTCTCAGTGTACAAGATGAACTGGAGAAGCAGCTGCCTGTGTAGAGGTAACTGGTACTGTTTTTACCAAATCGCTTGTATTCACTGAAGACGGCTTATAAATAAAGAGCTTTCTCTATTTCCCAACAGAGCCTCAAAGAGTTTCAGCTTCTGCCACAACAAATGGAGAGGTGAATGTTTTCCATTTACTGTAAAATACATTTTAATTTAACATCCAGACACATTTAACAGTCCAGTTAGCTGTTTCCTGGATTTTGTTCTATTGTGATTCCTTATTAAATTTTTGTTTCCAGGGTAACCAAGATGCAGACAACCTCCATTATGCTGCTTTAAGTGTCAACCATCCTAACAGACCAAGAAGACAGAGGAACCACACCAAGGATGAATGTGTGTACTCCGGTGTCAGGCAGTAGAACTGGATTTTCTTAAAACAGGAAGTTTACACACATACTGTATAATGAATGTAAAGTGTGTTGCTTTTGACTACTAAAAGAAGCTTTTGACAGTACAGCTGTCTGATGTGGTTTTTTATGTGCTGACAAAGGGGCCATTTTTCCACTAGCACTATACTCTAGCTGTTGTATCTACCTCTAGTCATTTTGTTTTTCTACATGTTACTACAACCCAGCTGATGAAAGAATCTTGTAACAGCTTCCATTGGGCTGGCTACAGGTATATTTACAACGGCTATCTTTGGTTTTTATATCTTCACATCTTTCTATAAGCTGTAGGTGATACTCACCCCCCCCCCTCTCAGGAACACTATTAGTTAGGCGTGCTCCAATAGGTTGTTTGCTGTCACGTGACGCTCAGAATGAGGCAGTAAGTGAAGGACAGAATGGATGAGATGGAAAAATAAAAGCCTGTACTATGCTAGTTATTGTTTACTCATGGTGATGTCTCAGTCAATGTGTATGAAATCTTGGACCGCCCAATCCATTCTTAAATCATGGCTACAAACCTATTTTGTGACCTTTGACCTCTGAGTCAAAAATGTCAATAATTCACTGTTCAACTGTGAAATATGGTCAACCTCCCCTTCTGTTCCCGAGTTCTGGTGTTGAATAATGGCCAAAAAAGTGTTTTTCGCAGACATTATGATGTCACAGTGAAGTTGACCTTTGACCTTTTGGGTAACAAACACCATCACTTTATTGTTGTATCACATTAAACATTTGTGTGAATTATTTCATAAATACTGTATCACTTGTTGAGTTATGACCAAACATTGTTGGGTTTGCCAGCTTTGAGAACTAACATTGATCCAGCTGACTCTTGGGGGTATGGGTCACTAGCCTGAGAGTTAAGATGACAGAACCATGAACTGACATGTTACACAGGGTTGTTAGAAGACTTACACTATTTGTGAAGTCTGCTGTTTCTCCTTACTTTCAGAATTTAAGCTAAGCTAGGCTTTAACAATGCAGGAGTCAACGTAAAGAGATGAAACTGACATCAGTTGTCTCATCTAGTTATCTATGAGTAAGGCTGCAAACAAGAGGATTTCCATAAAGGTCTGAGAAATTCTGCACTCATCACCTTGAGTTCCAGCTATTTTTTATCGCAGTATTGTCAAAACAAGCCAGCTGATCAGGTCTTAGTGGACTATTTTGTTGGAATAATAATGTGTAGAAGCAGGGCAAGGGTAATAAGGCTTTACTCTTTCAGCTGAAGGAGCCTTTAATTAAATAGCATGGTAAATTTAGTTCAGTACAATGTTTAACTATGATATTAGCTCTGTCTCTGCTATGAACACAGAAATGAAGCAGTCATTTCACTGAGACCTTTTGACCGTGCAGCCATTTTGTATCTCTTTCACTGCAGCAGCCTTTGTGGTTTACAGCAGGATGTGGAGGTGTTTGCAATCTTAGCGGGCAGTCAAGCTGTAAACAGTGCTGTGTTACCTCCACACAGGGGACTGTGTTTGCGGGGGTGTGTTGTTTAAGACACCAATGAGTGAAATACAATCCAAGAGGTCCCGTTTGATTAACAGATGAATGCATTTAAAGGCCTACTGGGCAGAAAAACACTGCACAACTCTATCATATTTTTAATACTGGGAGAGTATTAAACTTAGATACAACAAGTTATCACAGCGGTAACTATTTAATGTCATCTCAAACAGTAAGTAATCTAGTTTGAACGTGTGCTTGCATGTATGAGATTGGCCAGTGTAGTGCCTTGCTGGATGATGTTGAGCTGCGTTACTGGAAAAGAACCAGGTTCAGCTTTTTTGCCAGAGACCCCTATGTTGGCACCCCCACTGCATCAATAGGCCGAGTTAATTCAAATGAATGAGTTGGCTGTGTTGTCCGTGCATAGATATTCCTAAAGCCAAATGCCATTTAAACATCCCAAGAAAAGCGTACTTATCGCTTCACATTTGATTATACTACTTCTAATATTGATACTCAACCCTTTTACCTAGAAAATATGTTTGTATATTACTACATGTATTCATAATTATGTTGTTGTGAAAACAAATACCTGGCTGGGGACATACAAAGTGGTGGTCCAGGGTTCACATCCAGACTCCAGCACTTTGGTTAAGGTAAGAAAAGATCGTGATTCTGGTTAAATGTTAATGACAATCTTAGGTTTCAAATCATTGCTGACTTTTGAATTTAATTGAAAGTGTACTTTTTAACCTAACTGAGTGGGACATTTTACATTTCAAAAATCAGCTCTTTGTTTAGCTCTACTAAAAGGTTGGTAATGTCTCCCGACGTCTGGCTATCTACAGATGAGGGGAACTCTCCGGACTCCCTTGTGTATTTCTTGAGTGGAGCTTTAGCTGTCACTACCTTAACTGTATTGGGGTGGCGTGAGAAATAAAACTAGCCATTCAGAGTAAGCAGATGGAAAGTGATATTCTTTTTCTTCGTTATTCTTCGATTTAATGTCATCATTTGTTTCTTCACAACAGCACATATAACAAGAACAAGTTTCTGACTCTTCGACTGTATCTTCTTTTTGTATAAAAGGCATTCATTTTGATGATACGATTTTAGATTTAGTGACACTGTGAGGAGACTTGACACACCTTTCACCATGTGATGCTTCTTACGGAACAAAATTGACACTGTAGGCGTTACTGAACATGTGATCATTGTTGTCTGGTTGGCCACTCGACACAGCCCAGTCTGTGAGGAGTGGAAAATCTATCAAGGTGCTTTTCATTCCACACGGCAATTTCTTCATGATGACATCTCCAAAGTTTGTTTTCTATCTGACATGTCTGTTCGTGGGAGAAATGGGTGAGTTAATTTATAGTCAGTCCAGCCAGCTTTTTTCTGATTATGAAATCATTTCAGTGAGATAAAAGGAATTCCGTCTTTGCTTTGTCTCCCATTTTACTGCAGCTCAAATGAGTAATCTGAAAAAGTCCACGGTGGCGCGTCAAGAGAGTGGCTTTATATCAGCTAATGTTGGTGACGACTTGACTTTACAATGTTTCTATGAGGATTTTGCTGCAAAGTATCATTGGTATAAGCAAACTCTCGGACAGAAGCCAAGGCGTATCTCCATTACCTACATGTATGATAAAAATGGCACTTTTTATCATGAATTCAAAAACAGTCCACGCTTCACACTGCAAACTAAAGCTGGTGAGAATCACTTAAAAATTTCAGATGTACAAATTTCAGACTCTGCTACTTACTACTGTGTAAGCAGTTCTTCATTTTTGTTTGAGTTTGGGGCGGGCACTATTGTCAGCATAAAGGGTTCAGGTTTGAACATCCCAGTTTCGGTCCATCAGTCAGCATCTGAGACCATCCAGCCAGGAGGCTCTGTGACTCTGAACTGTACAGTACACACTGGGACCTGTGATGGAGAACACAGTGTTTACTGGTTCAAAACCTCTGAAGAATCTCATCCAGGACTCATTTACACCCATGGAGGCAGGAATGATCAGTGTGAGAGGAAACCCGACACACAAACACACACCTGTGTGTACAACTTGCCAATGCAGAGCCTGGATCTTTCTCATGCTGGGACCTACTACTGTGCTGTTGCCTCATGTGGACACATACTGTTTGGAAATGGGACCAAGCTGGACGTTTTAGGTAAGTAACTGTATAGCTGAGGTTGTTTCATATGATGAGTAGTAAAAAGTTGATGGTAGTTTACCCTTTGAAAGGTTTTTCTGAGGGAAGTATTTGCTTATCTGAGCAACGATGTGAAAATGTAAAAAGAGCACCTTAAGGTAAAATTGTGTATTTGACTTGATTAGTCAAAACAGGTGTCTGTCTCTCTACAGATGAGGTGGACTCTTCTGTCTTGGTGTATTTCTTGAGTGGAGCTTTGGCATTCACCACCATCCTGGTTGTTTTACTGACTGTCTCAATGTACAAGATGAACAACAGCTACAAAGCTTCAGGTAGGTGGTGCTGAACTGTTTCTGAAAGCTTGTATTCACTGGGCTTTGCCATCACTGTGTGAATGTGTGTGAAAGGGTGAATGTGGCACGTAGTGTAAAAGCGCTTTGAGTGGTCGGAAGACTGGAAAGGCGCTATACAAGTACAGGTCTATTTACCATTTACCATTTACTGAATTTGGCTTTTGCAAAAAAATTCATGTCTTTGTTTCTCAGAGTCTCAAGCAAGATCTGCTCCATCCACAGCACACGCAGAGGTGAATTAACAAATATTTATCTTGTGGAACCATATCATCATCCTGTATCTTGTTATGCTGACATATATATTTTTTTATCAGGGTCACCAAGAAGCAGACAACCTCCATTATGCTGCTTTAAATGTTAACACCGCCTACAGATCAAGAAGACAGAGAGACAACACCCAGAATGAATGTGTGTACTCCAGAGTGAAGCAGCAGAACTGCTGAATGTGACACCTGTACTTTCTTTGAGAATAAAATGGTGTCTGTCTTTTGAGGTGTAACATTATGAAGATAAAATCTCTGTGCTTTGGTAACGTTTGAGACCCTCTACTTTCTTTGTCGTTTTTTCTGGGGTTTTAAGCAGGATATCTTCACAGTCGTACTTTTTGGTTGATTGATGTTGCACAAGTGACTCATGGACTTTGAGAATTATTAAAATATGTCTTGGACTTGGACTCATATACTAAATTTTCGTCCAAATGATTTATGTGCATTTTGTATGAGAGATAAAATAAACCAAATATGACTTTGAAACACTTATAGTGTGTGTGTGTGTGTGTGTGTGTGTGTGTGTGTGTGTGTGTGTGTGTGTGTGTGTGTGTGTGCATGTGTTCAATCCATAATAGCATTACCTCTAAATGTCTGGTGGCCCCATGGGTAGTGCATAAAGAAGTGAACTTTAATTTAGAAATCTTTAATTCTCCATTCATTAATGATTTCTTGTTATCATCATTCACTTAATGAGGTGGCTTTCCACCATTTTGCACACTGCAACACTGATTCCACTGAAAAATGAAAATGAGACTGAAGTTCCACCTGGCATTGTTTTCTTACGTCACTTTACTTCATAATGTGTACTCCTTTCTGTTACTTTAGTAGTTTACTGTCAAGAAGACACAAGTGTACAGAACAACATTAGTTATGTGAAAGCTGAGGCAATCATACTCAGGCATGGTACGGAGCAATCATACCTATTTTATAAACGCCCTAAGTACTTCATAAGTCTGACCTCTATCGCCAGTTAAGTTACTGTTTTAGAAGGTTTGTGCCTGAGAATTCTCTTTTTGCTGGTAGCAGTGGTGTAGTTGTGGCTTGGTAGGCCGGTAGGTATACAACTGTGGCTTCAACCTCACCCCCTCATCAGCCCTCAGCCACCTGCTCCCCTAGATGACTCCCCACTGGCCACCCGTAACTGACTTTGTTTGACAGAAATATAATGTAATGTATTGTGGTGGCTCTTTGATTATATTGTACTTTTTACTCCACTGCATTTATTTGACAGCTTTAGTTACTATTTTCTTTACAGAAGAACATTTTGCTGACATTTTCCAATACATTACTTTTAACAACTTACTGTATGTTGGAGATTGTCCTCCCAAGAAAAACAACAGCGTTATTTGAGCTAGTGCCTCATGGTTCTGTTCAACAGGTTAAGCTCTCTAGCCCTCTACTCTATGCACAAAGGAGGAAGTAAGGTGACTTTTTTACAGACTGGTTAAGTCCACATGTGGAGGATGTCTGGGTGGATGGATGGGTTGACCAAACTTTGGACTTTAACACAGTCAACATTTTTAAAGTATGACCACAATAGTTTCCTAACCTTAACCACATGGTTATAAGTGTAAGTATGAAGGTCCCCTATCCTTAAAAGTAGTTATTTTAAGCCTAATAAACTATGTATGTGGAAAACAATGTATTTTTTCGTTTAATTTAGAGGATTTGTTGTTACGTTGCGCGGGAAGGATTATCGCGAGATCGCCTGCAGCCTTAACCTGCAAGATGTGTACCAATACATTGCTGGTATACAGAAACTCCCCCTGCCTAGAGGTGGATATTCCCTGTATACCTGTGCATATGCCCTGCACCTTCCTGACCACCTCCGGATCTGGTTTGTCTTGGATGCATTTACACCTATAGTTTCTTGTGATTATGCACTATCTGACTGAAATCCTGTCACCCAAAATGTATTTTATCGCAAGGTTTAAGGTTTTTTTGAGTTGGCTCTTGCTGGCAGATGCATTGACTCTGTCTGTAAATATATATATTTTTAGAAATACCCAACTTTGTCATTACTTATGCTTTTTAAAACGTCTGGTAGGCTATGCTCATACTGCTATCATTACCAGGAAACCACTCTACGTTGTCTGATTTGATTCATTACTCAAGACAACTATCACATCTCCATTCCTAGTTAAGTTAAATGTGAACTATGACACTGAGTACATAACAGGTAAGCTTTTAACCACACGTCATACTAACTCTAAACCTGGGTTCATTATACACCTAACTACTCGAATACAGGCACTCATTGGTCTGAGGGACTTTTTTCTTGCCGATGTTCTCAAATGTCATCGTGCTACCACACTTAACTAAGGTAGCGAGCATTATTAACATTATACCTGCTAAACACAAGCTTTCTAGTGTTGTTACATGACCATGTTAGCATGCTGAGGTTAACATGTAGCTCAAAGCACAGCCTCAAAGAGCTGCTATCATGTAGACTGTTAGTCCTGTAGCATTGTATCTTTGTCAGTGCAGCGTTTATTGTGGTTTTTAGGAGGGCGTGAAATGGTTTGCACTCTCACACAGATGCACCTTTAGCCTCTACAAACAATAACTGAGTTATTACCAGCATCAAATACTAAACACTTAGAGTATGAGTTAGATTAGCTCACAGAATAGTAACAGAAAATGCTGTTCTTATGAGTTTCTGCATAGCTGTAACATTTCTTAAGGTAGCCATTTAAAAACTATATTTAAACCCCTGAAAGAAAGTAGTTGTTTGTAAGGTGGTTATACAACTTAAAAAAAATGTGTCTCTTCAATACAACACAGAATACAGAAAGCTTGGGGAAAATATCATTGTATCACTGTATAACGTTGAGAGAGAACTCCTATTGTGCATTGGTACTGGTGTTTATATTTGATACAGATCATTTATTTTTGAATCCAATGCCAGTATGAGGTTCTTAATATATTTCTAGCCATGTAAAAGTTCTCAAAAAACAAACTTGACTCTATAGGTGGTACTGAGCATGTGATTGGGTTTCCTATCTGTCATACAGTGTTATATCAGGCCGACCAATCAAACACAGTCTGGTCTTTGAAGAGAGGAGAACTATCAGTATTCCTTCATTCAGCACGACAACTTGGACATGATGACGTCTGCAAAGTTTGCTTTCTATCTGACATGTTTGTTCTTGGGAGAGATGGGTGAGTTGTGTATTTATTCATCCAGTTTGTATCTTTTATTGTATGATCACTCCTCATAGCAATGTGGCTAATGTTTCTAATGTAATAATTACACTGAATTCTGTCACATGAAGGTAACGTGTGTATTTGCTTTGTCTCTCATTTCACTTCAGCTCAGGTGACTGAAGTGAAATTGCTCTCATCTGTTCATCAGGAGAGTGGTTTTTTATCAGTTAAAGCAGGAGACAAGTTGACCCTACAATGTTTCTATGAAGGCGATTCTTCAACATGGCTTTACTGGTTTAAGCAAACTCTGGGACAGCAACCAAGGCTTATCTCTTCCTTCTACATGTATGGTAAAAATGCCACTTTATATGGTGAATTCAAGAACAATCAACGCTTCACACTGGATACTGGAAATCGTAAAAATCACTTGAAGATCTCAGATTTCCAAATTTCAGACTCAGCGACTTATTACTGCGCAAAGCATAATTCATATGAATTAGAATTTGCGGAGGGCGCTACTGTCAGTGTAGACTTTGAAGGTAAATAACTTTCTAGCAGAGCTAGTCTTACTTGATAAATAGTTATTTATGGTCACTTTCCAATCTAAATTTGTATGAACACAGAGCTAAAAGCTGAAAGCTCTGTTTCTTGTGTCTGTCTCTCTACAGATGAGGTTGACTCTCCTGTCTTGGTGTATTTCTTGAGTGGAGCTTTGGCATTCACCACCATCCTGGTTGTTTTACTGACTGTCTCAATGTACAAGATGAACAAGAGAAACAGCTGCCAATCTTCAGGTAACTGGTACTGTTTGTTTCTAACGGCTTGTATTCATTAAATATAACTTTTGATTTTCTGTGTTTCCATCAGATTCTCAAGCAAGATTACCAGCTTCCTCCGAGGCAAATGCAGAGGTGAAATGAATTTTAATAATCCATTCATTACCACTTAAACACTTATTTATTTTTTATGTAATTGTTTTACGGATAGTTCTTTAAATTTCAGTCAGGATCAATATCTTAACAATTATACATATTTTGTTTCCAGGGTCACAGAGACGCTGACAACCTCCATTACGCTGCTTTAAGTGTCAACCTGCCCAACAGATCAAGAAGACCGAGGAACAGCACCAATAATGAATGTGTTTACTCTAGTGTGAATCAGTAGGACTGGACATATTGCATTTCTGGGGTGGATGGCCATATATTGCATTGGACTTCACTAGAGTTCACATCTTGTCACAGACCTGTAGGTAACATTGGCCTTTCTGTACATTTTTCTAAGCTTTACACCAAGTAAATATATTAAAAAAGTAGAACAAACCCTCTCTGTAATCATTTTGGCCTTGATACTTTCTAGGGTTAGTTCCTCTCTCCAGTGTTAGTTGCTTCATGTAGCCTTTGCCTGAATTACCTGAATGAACTGTATTCTGTTGTGTGTTTATTTTTGGCTTCTGTACATCTTTAGTGTGGAATACGTTAATAAATTGCTCTTATTGGCTTTTTGCTCGAGGGTCTATTGTTGCTCTTGCAGTGTGGTTTTGTCAGCTCTTCACCACCGTCTGTCTCTCCTTCAAGCAGGGACTTAATATAGCCGATACCGATTACTTAAAAAGAAAATCTTGATCAGCCTGATATCCTTGACACATGATGATGATCATAATATTGTAATAAATAAGCTGCTGTCCATTGGTCTTGATGATTCTGCTCATACTTTTTTCAAATCATATCTTTCTTGGGCGGTCGGCTACTTATATGAATATAAATATAAATATAATATATAAACCTACATAAATAATTTCCAAATGAAAATAGCAATGTCCATTTTTATGCTTACATCTACTACCAGGAAGGTTTTTCTATTGGCCTTCAGTGATTGAATCATACAGTACCCATGTCTACTTTACTGACCTGACAGTGCAGACAGTACCTGCTGTAAGAAGGGCCAAGCTGTCCAAACAGAAGATACCATTTCAAAAGCATGACAGCCTTAAAGTTCACTATGCTACTGTTTGGGTTACATTACCTTCCAAACACTTATGCATCAAGTACACTTTGCAGTGTTGCTGTTGGTTTACAGCTGTCTGAAGCATTCATAGTATGAGTATGACCTCTACCACAGTCATTTATGCCTTCACCAGTATAGAAATGGAGTACTCTGACTATGCATTTGTGAATACCATCAGTCAGCATCTGAGAGCATCCAGCCAGGAGGCTCTGTGGCTCTGAACTGTACAGTACACACTGGCACCTGTGATGGAGAACACAGTGTTTACTGGTTCAAAACCTCTGAAGAATCTCATCCAGGACTCATTTACACCCATGGAGGCAGGAATGATCAGTGTGAGAGGAAACCCAACAACCAAACACACACCTGTGTCTACAACTTGCCAATGCAGAGCCTGGATCTTTCTCATGCTGGGACCTACTACTGTGCTGTTGCCTCATGTGGACACATACTGTTTGAAGACGGGACCAAGCTGGACTTTGAAGGTAAGTAACTGTATAGCTGAGGTTGGTGCATCTGATAAATGCTCATTGTAACTTCCCAAACAAATTTAGGATGAAAACAGAAAGCCTGCTATCAGCTGTGTTTGTGATATCTTGCTCTATACAGATTCCACTAACAACGACCACGTCATCAGATGTATGAAATATGAAGTTTATTGCATATTTATTGAATGTGAACAGATGTGGTATACTGAAGGATGAGGGATGAAGGGATGAGGGGTAGGGGTCGAGGGATGAGGGTAGGGTCGAGGGATGAGGGATGAAAGGATGAGGGTAGGGGTCGAGGGATGAGGGAAGAGGGGATGAAGAGTTGAGGGATAAAGGGAATAAGAATTGAGGAATGAAGGGGTATCGGAAGCAAGGGTGAGAGCTGAACAGATGGAAGAAAGGTGGGTCTGTTGGCGGATGGATGAATGGACGGAGGGGTTCAGCAAGATGGTAAGAAGGAACCGAGTGGGTTGTGAGACCCTGAGTGGGGGAGCGGTCTCTTCGTATCTCTTGTATGGAGCCCCAGTAGTTCCTGTATTTGGATAAGAGAGACAGGAAAAAATGGAAAGAAAGGGTTCGGGGAGAAGGATGTTGAAACTGAGTCAAGGAGGGAGTGAATGTATAAGGTGTGCTTAAGTAAGTTTTGAGCGGAAATGAGATGAGTGCAAGGCGGGGTCTTTGTTCCTGAACCTAGTTATAAAACTTCATATATTGTTATTGGACAATTTAGCTGTATATTGTTGTAATTTATGTGAGGAACAGAATAATAATGCCATATATGATACACATTTTATATGTGACATATTTTGTTACCAGGGTTACCAAAATGGAGACAACCTCTATTATGCTGCTACAAGTGTCAACCTGACCAAGACATCAAGAAGACAGAGGGATTCAACCTGGAGTGAGTGTGTGTATTATAGTGTAAAGAAGTAGAACTGGACATATCACATTTGTAATACAGGATTTTCTTTGTGCCTTGTTTGGGTTGTAATGTAGATTTTGATTTATTTAAAATAAATAAACTTTTATAGCTTTTATTTGTTCTGCAGCCAAAATTTAATTTGATTGTTTGCTGATGTGCATATGTAGGATGCCGTAACTCAGGCTTCTTCATGAGTGGTTGCTGGCACCACCTTTATCACAGTGACCTCACCCACCACAATAAGTGAGTAAATGGTGAAAGTACTGGCCTATACCCGAGCTGTTCTGTCTGTCAAATACTGCGGAATCACCGGCCAATTGATAATGTCATCGTGCTACCACACTTAACTAAGGTAGCGAGCATTATTAACATTATACCTGCTAAACACAAGCTTTCTAGGGTTGTTACATGACCATGTTAGCATGCTGAGGTTAACATGTAGCTCAAAGCACAGCCTCAAAGAGCTGCTATCATGTAGACTGTTAGTCCTGTAGCATTGTATCTGTGTCAGTGCAGCGTTTATTGTGGTTTTAAGGAAGGTGTAAAAGTGTTTTCACTCTCACACAGATGCACATTTAGTCCCTACAAACAATAACCAATAGTTTATACCAGCATCAAATACCAAACACTTAGAGTACAACTTAGACAGAATAGTAACAGTAAAAATGCTGCACTATAGGTGATACTGAGCATGTGATCATGTTTCCTATCTGTCATACAGTGTTATTTCAGGCCAACCAATCAAACACAGTCTGGTCTTTGAAGAGAGGAGAACTATCAGTATTCCTTCATTCAGCACGACAACTTGGACATGATGACGTCTGCAAAGTTTGCTTTCTATCTGACATGTTTGTTCTTGGGAGAGATGGGTGAGTTGAGTATTTATTCATCCAGTTTGTATCTTTTATTGTATGATCACTCCTCATAGCAATGTGGCTAATGTTTCTAATGTAATAATTACACTGAATTCTGTCACATGAAAGTAACGTGTATTTGCTTTGTCTCTCATTTCACTTTAGCTCAGACGACTGATGTGAAATCGTCCTCATCTGTTGGTCAAGAGAGACGTTTTATATCAGCTAATGTTGGAGACAGTGTGTCTTTGCATTGTTACTATGAAGGCAATAATTCAGTATGGCTTGTCTGGTACAAACAAACTCTGGGACAGCAACCGAGGATCATCTCTACCTTCTACAGGTATATTAAAAATGTAACTTTTTATGGTGAATTCAAGAACAATCCCCGCTTCACACTGGATACTGAAAATGATAAATATCACCTGAAGATCTCAAATATACACATTTCAGACTCAGCTACTTACTACTGCGCAACAGGTAGCTGTACAGCTGTCTTGAATTTTATGAAGGGCACTATTGTCAGTGTAGAGGGTTCAGATTGGAAGATCCCAGCTTCGGTCCATCAGTCAGCATCTGAGAGCATCCAGCCAGGAGGCTCTGTGACTCTGAACTGTACAGTACACACTGGGACCTGTGATGGAGAACACAGTGTTTACTGGTTCAAAACCTCTGAAGAATCTCATCCAGGACTCATTTACACTCATGGAGGCAGTAATGATCAGTGTGAGAGGAAACCCAACACACAAACACACACCTGTGTCTACAACTTGCCAATGCAGAGCCTGGATCTTTCTCATGCTGGGACATACTACTGTGCTGTTGCCTCATGTGGACACATACTGTTTGGAGACGGGACCAAGCTGGACTTTGAAGGTAAGTAACTGTATAGCTGAGGTTGGTGCATCTGATAAATGCTCATTGTCACTTCCCGAACAAATTTAGGATGAAAACAGAAATCATGCTATAAGCTGTGTTTGTGATATCTGGCTCTATACAGATGAGGCTGACTTGATGTATTTCTGGAGAGGAGCGTCTGCATTCACCACCATCCTGGTTGTTTTACTGGCTTTCTCAGTGTGCATGATGAACAAGGGAAACAGCTGCCAATCTTCAGAGGTGAATAAAAACTGTTGACTGTAAAATGACTGTTGAATTACCATTCAGATATATTGTTATTAGACAATTTAGCTGCATATTGTTGTAATTTATGTGAGGAACAAAATAATAATGCCAAATGTGATACATATTTTATATGTGATATATATTTGTTACCAGGGTTACCAAAATGGAGACAATCTCTATAATGCTGCTTCAAGGGTCAACCTGACCAAGACATCAAGAAGACAGCGGGATTCAACCTGGAGTGAGTGTGTGTATTATAGTGTAAAGAAGTAGAACTGGACATATCACATTTGTAAGGCAGGATTTTCTTTGTGCTTCTTTTGGGTTGTAATGTAAATTTTGATTTACGTTTAAAATAAATAAACTTTTATAGCTTCTTTTAGGTCTGCAGCCCAAATTAAATTTCACTGTTTGTTGATGTGCATATGTAGGATGCTGTTTTTGTGTCTGTGAGGTCTGAAGCAGGACAGCTCTACAATGCTGCTTGTTTCTTGCATATTAACCATCTAAAATTATACGGTTGTCTTTACAACATATGAGTAAAGGATTTTTGTGACTTCAGTAGTATATTAAGAAACTCTGATTCATTGGGCTTTCAGGATCAATATTGTCTTATACTTCGAATATTTACTCTCATTAGATTTGAAATAAATCATACCAGTGTTTGTTTATGTGAATTTTATGTAGTAAAGATCAAATAAAATATAAAAAATCTGGAGCACTTTGAGTTTGAAACATTATGTTTGTGTGCGTTCAATCCAGCCGTAACTTCGGCTTCTTCATGAGTGGTTGCTGGCACCACCTTTATCACAGTGACCTCACCCACCACAATAAGTGAGTAAATGGTGAAAGTACTGGCCTATACCCGAGCTGTTCTGTCTGTCAGAAACTGCGGAATCACCGGTCAACTCACAATAGGTGTCTTCAGGGGTGCTGTATACATGGGTATCAATCACGTGACCTTTTTGTTGTGCCCGCCATCTTTAGGACCGCAGCGCCACCAACCGATTCCAGGGAAATGGTTACCGTAAACGTCAAAGAAACGGGCTCTGCTAACGTTAGTCAGATGATCTCTCATCTCTCTGACAAAGAAAAGCAACGCTATTCCAAAAAAAATCATATTTTAGGTTTTGATCAGTATTTACTTCCGAATCAACTACTGACCCCGCTGAAATCTGTCCTTAACTTGCCGAACATGTCTTTTGGCGACATTTACATCTACCTCGTCCACAATCCTCCTCCATACACCGAGGAGTCCCTCAAGGCATATAAGAGCACTGAAGCGTACATGTATTTTAAATCAGGATGGTTGAATGATCCTCAAGTTTATAATCTGGAGATGAAGAAGCTGTTTTTATTTACAGGAAAGGTAAGATATGTGTTTACTTAACTTTACGACTCTATGATACTAACTTGCTCGGTGGTGCTAGGTGGCAAAGCTAGTACTAGGTCAATGCTAGGATAATAATTAACAATTGCCAATGGTATTTCGTTTTTTAAAACTGACCTTATGTTTGTTAGCGAAAACATATTTAATGTAGAAAATAGCTAGGAGTCTTAGATAATGTTATGTTTAACTTAAACATCATTGGTCTGGCTATATTGCTAAACTTATAATTTGCAATTTGCGTTCCTAACTTAAGGTGAAGCATTCACAAAACCGTTCTGTGACCCCAACACATCCCTGGCTCACAGTCCAAGAGGACGAACAGTACTTATGGCTCATTGCACCTGTAAGGCAGGCCTAGGAGAGGTCTGCTCTCATGCAGCAGCTCTTCTATACTCTGTGTTGGCTGCTGCTGATACTAAAAACGGGCAGGCTTGCACGGAGAAGCCCTGTGCTTGGGCTCAGACAAGTATGAACTCTGTCACAGGGGTCCCATATGAAGAGATCTGCAACATCAGTTTCTTTCATAAACAAGAGCCATGTTCAAGCCGTCAAAATCAAGGTCCTGGTGGTCCTGATATCAGACCGTCAGATAAAGACTGCCAGGCATTCTTTGAGGCGCTTCATAATAGTGAATTGCAGGAGTCCAAACTAAAGAAGAGTGCCATCCTGTCTGTCATTGAGGGCCACTCCCACAGGTAAGATACTCTGCTCCACAGAAAGACTGAAAAGCTCTTTTGTGGCTTGTACATAAGACTTTACAACTCATCTTAGTTATGACAGGGGGAAAACACATGGGGTAATTATAATGAGTAATTACTACAGGACTAGAATATTTAAATGCACACTTTTTCTTTGGTCAGTTTAAATAGTCTGGACACTTTATATGGTCACTTAAAATGTCTTGTTTCTGTTTCTCTCTCACAGGTACAACGGTGATGCAACTGGACTTGCCAACTCCTCTTTCCATCCTGTACTCCAGCACCCGGCTGGAGATGGACTTTCCCTTGCTACTGGTTGAGAGTACCAAGGTCTTTGATGATCTACATCTAACGAAGCAACAGGTAAACAATATAAACATTCTCCTTTTAGTTTGCCATAGGCCTACTTCAATTTTATTTTATAATATTTTTTATTTCCAAACTAATTTTAGCTGATACCAATATACACACACTTGTGTGATAGTTTACTTCGCAAAACTAGTAGACTAAGACCAACACAAAACAACTTTACAGGAAACTCATAAGTAACAGCCTTGTATAACAAAACAAAGATTCAGATATATTTACATTTGTACACAATTGTTTAACATTGTAACACTAAGGAAAACAATGTTACTGACACCCATGCTATTGCGAGGGGACAACAGATTGGCAAATGTTGCACAGAGCACAGCACACTCTGACCATCTTGTCAAGAGATGTAAGCTCTCAAAAATGGTGTACTTGTTCCTCACAAGACCAATCACCCGTTCAACATGAATTCGAACAGCTGCTAGCCCCCTTGAATACTCAAGTTCACTTGGATGCAGTTGCTTTTTCCCTCTAGTGAAGGCAGGTATTTTGAGATGAGCACTGTACAATCCCACAGCTTCTCCTACTGTGAAACCTCGATTTGCTAGGACCAAATCACCAGGTAACAGATTTTCCAGGTAGCCACAGTTCTCTGTCACTTGCTCGCCCTCCCCAGCCACGAGACACAAACGATATGACTCCCTGTGGAGTTATTGATATCAAGCACTTGGCAGTATTGTGGTGCTTATATTGTGAATATGTTTGTGTTTTTAGGTCTCTAAATGAAAATTTCAAAGCAGTCTATTATGGATGTACAATTTCTGTAACTACTATTTTTGAAACACATGGGTAAACTAATTTGAATCTGTTCCTTACTGGGCCACAGTATGAATCTAGACAACCTATCATGCAAGACATTTAATGTACTGTTAAAAACTCGGCTCACAGTAGGCTTTGACACATGAAATATATATGAAACAAAGTGCAGAGGTAAATTCAGTCTCATTCTCATTAGAATCATTAAAAAGCTTTGAAAGGGAGACAGTCCAGGTCCCACCAACTCTCCACAGTCATCAATCTGCATATGACTGCTGTTATCACACGGTGCCACCGGTCCAACATCATGCGTCCTTCTCCTTCTTTTGACAGCTTGAATTTGCTCAAATTTGCTGTGGCTATTTCTTTTTCTTTTGCGTTGCTCAGGTGTGAGATAATCAAACAAAGTTGGCACATAGTCGGGGTGTAATGGATTCTCGCTCTTCTGACCTACAGTGGTAGAATGAGATATAGTGACACATTAATGAACCGTGTTTGAGACTAACAGGTGGGCTACACTGGGTAAGTGAAACGCTCCGTTCGCGACGCGCAAATATACTTTTAGAAGACTAGTTTATTTTTTTATTTTTATTTTTTTAACGTACGCGCGGCCATCACATCTGCTGTAGCCAGTTCACTGATCATAGCGGAAGGTAATTGCTACAGCAGACACAACGCGAACGGAACACTTCAGTTACGTGCCTGGTGCAGCCTCCTTGTTACATCTCTACCAGAAATAAGTAATGATACTCGACCAAAAATCGAATAATGCAATATAGATGAGGGGAAATGAAATAATTGTGAGTGATCTTATTTTGTGAATCACTGTCATCATCAACATTGTTGTGTGGCATGTCATTGTATCATCTTAGGGTTGCTAGCTAACATGGCTATCGATAGCTAACGTCAGTTAAGGAGTTAATTTACCGAAATGAAGTGTTCATTGCAGTCTGGAGTGTTCTGTGGGAGTCCAGTGATCCCTTTTAATGGCAACTAACCACTTATGTCTCCTTTCAGTGTTTATAGGAATGTTATAAAACATATGTCCTGTTTTTTTTGACTTGCTGTTATCACAGCCCACGGCACAGCCGGTAGAAGGCATTTTTACGGTTTACTTCCAGACTTTTGTGCCGCGTACGGATGTTCCCGTGAAAGAAACGCCGAAATGAAGAAACACGGAATAACATTTCACAAGTAAGAAGTTGTTTTATATTATTTGACTGTTATGAACGTGTTGAATTTGATGTATCTCTTAAGCTAACATAAATGAAAGTAGCTTATTACTAGCATATGTCAGGAATAGAAAACAAAAGATGTTTTTGTAAATAAGACATCAGTAAGATGATGAAAGTGACATTTGGCAATCAGCCACTGTATATAAATGTCCTAAGTAGGCCATGTTATTCCTAAATTATCTATTAAATCAGTTTCATGGCACTAACATTAACGTTAACTGCTAATGTAAGTTATGTACCTGAATTGTAGCTACACTGAGAACTGAGTGTTGTTCAGATGGAGTTGTTTTGTGTGTCGGTTTCCAAAAGATAAATGGAAGAGGCAGGCGTGGGCAGCAGCACTCAGGAGGAGAGATTTTGTCCCAAAGGACCGTTCAGTCGCCTGCAGCTGTCACTTCAAACCACAAGACTTTGACAGGACTGGACAGTCAACTTGTTTAAAGGAAGGAGTGATACCATCAGTGTTTAATTTTCCTGACCATCTTTGTAAAGTTAGTGTCATGACAAATTCTCATATAATCTAATCCTGCTGATCTTGAAAAACAATGGAGGCCTGCTAATTCCAAGCATAGGCACAGTCAAGGTGACCCGCGCAGCAGAGCACTGCGTCCGACGCTCCACAAACATCTCATCTGCAGCACATCAGTGCACTGTGTCTTTGGTCAACCATGTTGTCATGGTTACAATAAAAATTCATTGAGACTGTAAAAGATGGCCTTTAGCACATTTTTTATGGTTGCTTTTAATCTGGCATCAAATAGTGAACTGCATACTGTATGCAGACTTGCATGCATGTACAAATCACCAGCAGTAAATATTGTGCTTTTACTACCATTGAACTCCAAGAAGCAAGACAGTTGCAAGCTTTTAATTAGAGTTATGTAAAGCTTTTGATGGGACAGTTAGGTCCTAGAGATGTGGTGACAACAGCTGCACAGAGGGGGCCCGATTAGATTTTTTTGTCATGGAGCCCAAAATTCCTGGTGGCGCCCCTGGGTATCTTCCTCAAAGAGCCTTTCATCCACAGAGGCCAGGACACCTTTTCACATTACAATAACTACTCCAGCTGCTTGTTGTGGATGAAATAGTTAACTCTAGGGATTTCCCCATCAAGATTTTTTGGGTTAACTAACTACTTACTACTGTTAATTTGATAATGTCATCGTGCTACCACACTTAACTAAGGTAGCGAGCATTATTAACATTATACCTGCTAAACACAAGCTTTCTAGTGTTGTTACATGACCATGTTAGCATGCTGAGGTTAACATGTAGCTCAAAGCACAGCCTCAAAGAGCTGCTAGCATGTAGACTGTTAGTCCTGTAGCATTGTATCTGTGTCAGTGCAGCATTTATTGTGGTTTTAAGGAAGGTGTAAAAGTGTTTTCACTCTCACACAGATGCACATTAAGTCCCTACAAACAATAACTATGAGATATAACTAGCATCAAATACTAAACAGAGTACAACTTAGATTAACTCACAGAATAGTAACAGTAAAAATGCTGCACTATAGGTGATACTGAGCATGTGATTGGGTTTCCTGTCTGTCATACAGTGTTATATCAGGCTGACCAATCAAACACAGTCTGGTCTTTGAAGAGAGGAGAACTATCAGTATTCCTTCATTCAGCACGACAACTTGGACATGATGACGTCTGCAAAGTTTGCTTTCTATCTGACATGTTTGTTCTTGGGAGAGATGGGTGAGTTGTGTATTTATTCATCCAGTTTGTATCTTTTATTGTATGATCACTCCTCATAGCAATGTGGCTAATGTTTCTAATGTAATAATTACACTGAATTCTGTCACATGAAAGTAACGTGTATTTCATTTGTCTCTCATTTCACTTTAGCTCAGACGACTGATGTGAAATCGTCCTCATCTGTTCGTCAAGAGAGACGTTTTATATCAGCTAATGTTGGAGACAGTGTGTCTTTGCATTGTTTCTATGAAGGCAATAATTCAGTATGGCTTGTCTGGTACAAACAAACTCTGGGACAGCAACCGAGGATCATCTCTACCTTCTACAGGTATATTAAAAATGTAACATTTTATGGTGAATTCAAGAACAATCCCCGCTTCACACTCGATACTGAAAATGATAAATATCACCTGAAGATCTCAAATATACACATTTCAGACTCAGCTACATACTACTGCGCAACAGGTAGCTGTACAGCTGTCTTGAATTTTATGAAGGGCACTACTGTCAGTGTTGAGGGTTCAGATTGGAAGATCCCAGCTTCGGTCCATCAGTCAGCATCTGAGAGCATCCAGCCAGGAGGCTCTGTGACTCTGAACTGTACAGTACACACTGGGACCTGTGATGGAGAACACAGTGTTTACTGGTTCAAAACCTCTGAAGAATCTCATCCAGGACTCATTTACACCCATGGAGGCAGGAATGATCAGTGTGAGAGGAAACCCGACACACAAACACACACCTGTGTGTACAACTTGCCAATGCAGAGCCTGAATCTTTCTCATGCTGGGACCTACTACTGTGCTGTTGCCTCATGTGGACACATACTGTTTGGAGACGGGACCAAGCTGGACTTTGAAGGTAAGTGACTTTCAAGCAGAACTTGTCCTACTTGATAAAAACATTCTTAGCCCCTCAAACTTAAGATGAACATAGAGTTAAAAGCCAACACCTCTGTCTGTCTCTCTACAGATGAGGTGAACTCTTCTGTCTTGGTGTATTTCTTGAGTGGAGCTTTGGCATTCACCACCATCCTGGTTGTTTTACTGACTGTCTCAATGTACAAGATGAACAAAAGAAACGGTTTCCAATCTAAAGGTAACTGTTACTTTTTATATCGGACAGCTTGCATTCATTGAATTTAACTTTTGAACTAACGAGCACGTGTGTTTTTTAAAATCTGTTTCACAATCAGATTCTCAAGCAAGATTATCAGGTTCCGTCCCAGCAAATACAGAGGTAAAATGTATTTTTAATAATCCATTATTTACCACTTAAACACCTTATTTATTTTTATGAAATTGTTTTACGGATAGTTCTTTAAATTTCAGTTAAGATCAATATTCTAATAATTCTACATATTTTGTTTCCAGGGTCACAGAGACGCTGACAACCTCCATTATGCTGCTTTAAGTGTCAACCTGCCCAACAGATCAAGAAGACAGAGGAACAGCACCAATAATGAATGTGTGTACTCCAGTGTGAAGCAGTAGAACTGTGCATTTAACGTTTCATGCCTTTTATTTCTTGGATAGTCATGGATGGTCGTATATTGCATTGGTCTTCAGGGCAAGACAAGCGTTCACATCTCACAGACCTGTAGGTAACATTGGCCTTTCTTTACACTTTTCCTAAGCTTAATACTAAGTACATTTCCTGCCTAATTCTTTAACCACTGTTTATTTCATTTTACTGCATAACCATGATCTTTCCCTGGCATCAATCATACCATAGTTTCCTTGCACAGGTATTGTTGAAAACATAAACAACAATACATTAGGTGCCTTTCTCAAAGAGTCCTTCATCCACAGAGGACGGGATAATAACTGCTCCAGCTGCTTGTTGTGGATGAGACTGCCCTGTCTCTCCTCTGAACAAGTGCTGAGCCCAGCCTGTGTTGGAGTATCACTACATCGCTGCTCTCAGACAGACACACGGAGCTCAGCAGGGTGGAGGAGAGACAGGCAGCAGAGAACTCGTTGCTGTACATGAAAGCTTCGCAAGTAAAAACACCTGTGTGAATGGAAAACAAAAGATCTGATCGGGATTAATATACAATCAATTGACCGGCCCGATACCGATCTTTGAGACATGAACTCACTTCATAAAAAGCAACATTGTACAGCGCTCTTTGTAGATCTGTCCAATGCTGTTGATGCTGTTGATCATAGTATTTTAATAAACAAGCTGCCTTCCATTGGTCTTGATGATTCTGCTTATACACTTAGTATATTCTTTTTATATACTTATGGTAAATTTAAGATGCACACTTATGGCATTCCTTGGAACATACCACTCCCCAAACATCAATTTCCAACATCTCTGACCATCCCCAGCAGACTGGTCTCAACAATATATTCCATCCTACATAAGGCCTCATGTAAGCCCCTATCTACTGACAGATTAGTGGACCTCTCCTCAAATAGCTCCAACACAAATCAGAAACTAATCTGGCAGAATATTCAACTATCTTCCAGGAACCACAACCATCGAGTTATTATTTTTAATAACCAAATCCTCTTATTTCTTCCTGTTGTGTTGGATTTTGTTTGTTGATTTTTTGCTTCCTTGTGTGCTGATTAATGTACATTTATGATTATTGCTTGAGGGTCTATTGTTGTTCTTGCAGTGTAGTTTTGTCAGCTCTCCACCACCGTCTGTCTCTCCTCCAAGCAGGGGTTTAATATAGCCGATACCGATTAGATAAAAAAAATGCCTTGATCAGCCCGATATCTTTGACACATGAACTCACTTGATAAAAAATAACATTGTGCTGCACTCTTTGCCTTTGATGATGTTGATCATAATATTTTAATAAATAAGCTAATGTCCAGTGGTCTTGATGATTCTCCTCATACTTTTTTCAAATCATATCTTTCTTGGGCTGCCGGCTACTTACACTAAACTACATAAATCATTTCCAAATGACAATAGCAATGTCCATTCTTATGCTTACATCTACTGAAAACCAGGCATCCACCAGATCACCTTTCTCTGCCATCACACATAACACAGTTTCCTTGCAGATCTGGTTCAGTTAAGTTCAACCAAACCTAATCATGTATGTGCTTTCATATGTCCATTCTATGTCAATAGTGATCAATATATTCATGGCACACTTTGATCTTCAGATGATACAGAATTAGAACAGAAATACTTTATTGATGCCCAGGGGGAAATTTGTTCATTACAGTTGTTCCACTCACACAACGTTAAAGAATAGTATTTATATACAATGTCTAACACAATATAATAAGAGCCTAAGAGATATAAAGTACAAAGTAAATGTAAATCTTAACATAAGTGTAAACATATTCCACAGTATTGCTTGACCCGGATATTGCACTTAATCGACTTATTGCACATTAACAGCACCAGTTTAATGACGAATGACTCAGAGTTTTGACACTCTGAGGGAGGAGTTGTACAGTTTGATGGCCACAGGCGGGAATGACTTCCTGTGCCGCTCTCTGGTGGATCTAGGTGGAATGAGGGATGAACGAATGGAAGAAAGGTGGGTTTGTTGGAGAATGGATGAATGGACGGAGAGATTCGGCAAGATGGTAAGAGGGACCCAAAGGGCTTGTGAGACCCTGTGTGGGGGAGCCGTCTCTTCTTATCTCTTGTAGAGAGCCCCAGTGGTTCCTGTATTTGGATAAGAGAGACAGGGAAAAAGGAAAGTAAGGGTTTGGGGGGAGGGATGTTGAAACTGAGTCAAGGAGGGAGTGAATGTATAAGGTGTGCTTAAGTAAGTTTTGAGCGGAAATGAGATGAGTGCAAGGCGGGGTCTTTGTTCCTGAACCTAGTTATAAAACTTCATATATTGTTATTGGACAATTTAGCTGCACATTGTTGTAATTTATGTGAGGAACAAAATAATAATGCCATATGTGATACATATTTTATATGTGACATATTTTGTTACCAGGGTTACCAAAATGGAGACAACCTCTATTATGCTGCTTCAAGTGTCAACCTGACCAAGACATCAAGAAGACAGAGGGATTCAACCTGGAGTGAGTGTGTGTATTATAGTGTAAAAGTAGAACTGGACATATCACATTTGTAATACAGGATTTTCTTTGTGCCTTGTTTGGGTTGTAATGTAGATTTTGATTTATTTAAAATAAATAAACTTTTACAGCTTTTATTTGTTCTGCAGCCAAAATTTAATTTGATTGTTTGCTGATGTGCATATGTTGGATGCCGTAACTCAGGCTTCTTCATGAGTGGTTGCTGGCACCACCTTTATCACAGTGACCTCACCCACCACAATAAGTGAGTAAATGATGAAAGTACTGGCCTATACCCGAGCTGTTCTGTCTGTCAAATACTGCGGAATCACCGGTCAATTGATAATGTCATCGTGCTACCACACTTAACTAAGGTAGCGAGCACTATTAACATTATACCTGCTAAACACAAGCTTGTTGTTACATGACCTTGTTAGCATGCTGAGGTTAACATGTAGCTCAAAGCACAGCCTCAAAGAGCTGCTATCATGTAGACTGTTAGTCCTGTAGCATTGTATCTGTGTCAGTGCAGCGTTTATTGTGGTTTTAAGGAGGACGTAAAAGTGTTTTCACTCTCACACAGATGCACATTAAGTCCCTACAAACAATAACTATGAGATATAACTAGCATCAAATACTAAACAGAGTACAACTTAGATTAACTCACAGAATAGTAACAGTAAAAATGCTGCACTATAGGTGATATTGAGCATGTGATTGGGTTTCCTGTCTGTCATACAGCGTTATATCAGGCCGACCAATCAAACACAGTCTGGTCTTTGAAGAGAGGAGAACTATCAGTATTCCTTCATTCAGCACGACAACTTGGACATGATGACGTCTGCAAAGTTTGCTTTCTATCTGACATGTTTGTTCTTGGGAGAGATGGGTGAGTTGTGTATTTATTCATCCAGTTTGTATCTTTTATTGTATGATCACTCCTCATAGCAATGTGGCTAATGTTTCTAATGTAATAATTACACTGAATTCTGTCACATGAAAGTAACGTGTATTTGCTTTGTCTCTCATTTCACTTCAGCTCAGACGACTGATGTGAAATTGCTCTCATCTGTTGGTCAAGAGAGACGTTTTATATCAGCTAATGTTGGAGACAGTGTGTCTTTGCATTGTTTCTATGAAGGCGATAATTCAGTATGGCGTGTCTGGTACAAACAAACTCTGGGACAGCAACCGAGGCTTATCTCTACCTTCTTGAGGTATATTAAAAATGTAACATTTTATGGTGAATTCAAGAACAATCCCCGCTTCACACTGGATACTGAAAATGATAAATATCACCTGAAGATCTCAAATATACACATTTCAGACTCAGCTACATACTACTGCGCAACAGGTAGCTGTACAGCTGTCTTGCATTTTATGAAGGGCACTACTGTCAGTGTTAAGGGTTCAGATTGGAAGATCCCAGCTTCGGTCCATCAGTCAGCATCTGAGAGCATCCAGCCAGGAGGCTCTGTGACTCTGAACTGTACAGTACACACTGGGACCTGTGATGGAGAACACAGTGTTTACTGGTTCAGAACCTCTGAAGAATCTCATCCAGGACTCATTTACACCCATGGAGGCAGGAATGATCAGTGTGAGAGGAAACCCGACACACAAACACACACCTGTGTCTACAACTTGCCAATGCAGAGCCTGAATCTTTCTCATGTTGGGACCTACTACTGTGCTGTTGCCTCATGTGGACACATACTGTTTGGAGACGGGACCAAGCTGGACTTTGAAGGTAAGTGGCTTTCAAACATAAGTTGTCCCACTTGATAAATACATTCTTAGCCCCTCAAACTTAAGATGAACATAGAGTTAAAAGCCAACACCTCTGTCTGTCTCTCTACAGATGAGGTGAACTTTTCTGTCTTGGTGTATTTCTTGAGTGGAGCTTTGGCCTTCACCACCATCCTGGTTGTTTTACTGACTGTCTCAATGTACAAGATGAACAAAAGAAACGGTTTCCAATCTAAAGGTAACTGTTACTTTTTATATCGGACAGCTTGTATTCATTGAATTTAACTTTTGAACTAACGAGCACGTGTGTTTTTTAAAATCTGTTTCACAATCAGATTCTCAAGCAAGATTATCAGGTTCCGTCCCAGCAAATGCAGAGGTGAAATTTATTTTAATAATCCATTAATTACCACTTAAACAACTTATTGATTTTTTATGTAATTGTTTTACGGATAGTAAATTCAGTTAAGATCAATATTCTAATAATTCTACATATTTTGTTTCCAGGGTCACAGAGACGCTGACAACCTCCATTATGCTGCTTTAAGTGTCAACCTACCTAACAGATCAAGAAGACAGAGGAACAGCACCAATAATGAATGTGTGTACTCCAGGGTGAAGCAGTAGAACTGTGCATTTAATGTTTCATGCCTTTTATTTCTTGGGGGTGGATGGTCGTATATTGCATTGGTCTTCAGGGCAAGACAGGCGTTCACATCTTGTCACAGACGTGTAGGTAACATTGGCCTTTCTTTACACTTTTCCTAAGCTTTATACCAAGTACATTTCCTGCCTAATTCCTTAACCACTGTTTAATGTTTGCGTAACCATGATCTTTCCCTGGCATCATCATACCATAGTTTCCTTGCGCAGGTATTGTCGAAAACAAAAACAATAATACATTAGGTGCCTTTTTTAAAGAGTCCTTCATCCACAGAGGACAGGAAATAACTGTTGCTTGTTGTGGATGAGACTGGAAACTCGAGGGATGCCCCGATCAAGATTTTTTTCCACCGATCCCGTTTCGAGTCAATCCAATACTTGAATTTTCCTAGATAATACACTTGCACAGTGCACAATTAATGTACAGTAAAGTTATGAAAATCACTCCAATGCATATGCTTAACAAGTAAATAGCTCTACAAAGAAATTGCCTGCATCCAAGCTGTTAAGGAACACTTAATGTCTCACTTCAGTGTTTGTTGCTGCCTGAATAGCTTTATTCTGTTGACTGTTTATTTTTGTCATCTGTACATCATTTAGTAATGATTACATGAATACATTACTCTTATTAGCTTTTTCCTCGTGGTGCTTTTGTTACACTTGCAGCGGCGTGGTGAACATGGTTGTGTCAGCTCTGTGCCGCCCTGTCTCTCCTCCGAGCAAGTGCCGAGCCCAGCCTGTGTTGGAGTATCACTACATCGCTGCTCTCAGACAGACACACGGAGCTCAGCAGAGTGGAGGAGAGACAGGCAGCAGAGAACTCATTGCTGTACATGAAAGCTTTGCAAGTAAAAACACCTGTGTGACATGGAAAACAAAAGATCTGATCGGGATTAATATACAATCAATTGACCGGCCCGATACCGATCTTTGAGACAGGAACTCACTTCATAAAAAGCAACATGGGTACTGTGCTCTTTGTAGATCTGTCCAATGCTTTTGATGCTGTTGATCATAGTATTTTAATAAACAAGCTGCCTTCCATTGGTCTTGATGATTCTGCTTATACACTTAGTATATTCTTTTTATATACTTATGGTAAATTTAAGATGCACACTTATGGCCTTCCTTCCACATTCCGTGGAACATACCACTGCCCAAACATCCATTTCAAACAGCTCTGACCATCCCCAGTGGACTTGTCTCAACAATATATTCCATCCTACATAAGGCCTCATGTAAGCCCCTATCTACTGACAGACTGGTGGACCTCTCCTCAAATAGCTCCAACACAAATCGGAACTAATCTGGCAGAATATTCAACTATCTTCCAGAAACCACAACCATCGAGTTATTATTTTTAATAACCAAACGCTTTTATTTCTTCCTGTTGTGTTGGATTTTGTTTGTTGAGTTTTTGCTTCCTTGTGTGCTGATTAATGTACATTTATGATTATATTCCCCTCTTTTTGTCATTTATCAACTGGTAACCCCACCCCTTTAAAATAATGTCTAACTACCTATTTTAGTTTGATCACAAAATGTTTTTATTGGATTCTTACACCAAAACAGATTTTTCTTTGCATTTCAAAACAGAAACATTATACCATTACATAATATTCAATTCAATTCAATTCAGTTTTATTTGTATAGCGCCAATTCATAACGGAAGTTATCTCAGTTAGTAACATGCATTAATGGAACATGAATGAGTGCAGAAAGAGAGAGGAAGGGAGGAGCTCAGTGCACCATGGGAAATCCCCCGATAGTCTAGGCCTATAGCAGCATAACTAAGGGGATGGTTCAGGACTCACCTGATCCAGCCCTAACTATAAGCTTTATCAAAGAGGAATGTCTTAAGCCTACTCTTGAATGTGGAGATGGTGTCTGCCTCCCGAACCACAACTGGAAGCTGGTTCCACAGGAGAGGAGCTTGGTAACTGAAGGCTCTGGCTCCTGTTCTACTTTTAGAGACTATAGGAACCACAAGTAGCCCAGCATTCAGAGAACGTAGTGTTCTAGAGGGGTAATAGGGTACTATGAGCTCTTTAAGATATGAAGGGGCCTGACCATGAAGAGCTTTATAGGTGAGGAGGAGGATTTTAAATTCAATTCTACATTTTACAGGGAGCCAATGCAGAGAAGCTAGTACAGGAGAGATGTGATCTCTTTTTTAGGTTCCTGTCAGTACTCGTGCTGCAGCGTTCTGAATTAATTGGAGCGTTTTAATGGACTTATTGGGGCAACCTGATAATAAAGAGTTGCAGTAATCCAGCCTTGAAGTAACAAATGCATGGATTAGTTTTTCTGCATCTGTCTGTGATAGGATGTGTCTAATTTTTCTAATATTACGTAAATGAAAGAAGGCAGTCCTAGAGTTCTGCTTTTTGTGGGAGTTAAATGACAAATCCTGATCAAAGATAACTCCAAGATTCCTGACAGTGGTGCTAGAGGCCAAGGTAATGCCATCTAGAGTAACTATATCTTTTGACAGTGAGTCTCTAATAACACACTATCTTCACTCTGAGGGCTCTAGCTTGCACTCAGCGTAATTGACTTTGTACACTTGCGCTTGTATAATTCCTATTTTGCACTTGACGCACATTGGAATTTTCCCTCCACCGATGCATGTCCTTAAATTAGGGAATGAACTTGCGCTCCGGGGGGGCGGTTCGGCGAAAACAGGAGGCATGTTCCGGCACAAACGTTCCCTGGTGCTATTTTGCTGTTTCAGAAAACAATTCTGCCACAGACCAGGAAAAACCTAGTCTAAAGTCAGTGGCGCTTATTCAGATGCTATTTTAAGGGCGCAGACTTGAGGGGATGCGCCTGAGAGGCAGCAGCAACATCGCCACCTGGTCAAGACGGGCATTAATACTTTGCCGCATCCCGGACAGCTCTCGTTCCAGCATGTCAAACCCGGTTTGCTGCAGGAACGGGTGGTCCTCCGGCGAGTAGTGGGTCTGGATCCTCTGCACCTTGGTGTTGGCGCTGCTCCCTCCTCAGCTGGCCCTTGAGCACTGCTCGGCCCGTGCACACTGCTCCCGAGGCCAGGGTCTTCTTCCTGCAAAACTTCGTTACATTGTTTAGATTTATTGTATGGCTGTGTTACATTTATTTCATGTCAATAATGTCATGAAAGGTCTTTCACGGCCCTGACGAGAACGTGGGTCTCCTCGGCTGTGAACCGCTCCTGGCGTGCGCCTGGCAAATCCGCCATTATAATAGCAATCCGCCATGGAACAAGCGCGCCTGCTTTTAAAGGGAATGTGAGATGACGGTCTGATTGGTTTATTGCACGTTGTGTATGTAGCTACTTCAGACCAACCCATTTTAGATTTGCTCCGGGCGCAAGAGTCATTTATCCTGCTGGCATAATAGCAACAGTGCCCGAGATCCGCCCACAAAGCTACTTGCGTTTTGCGTTTGATACTTGCGTTTCAGATCGGCAAGATAGGGCCCTTAGTGTCAATCATATGGAACATTTGCCAAAACTGTCCTGCCAAAGGATTTGCACATGGATGGTTCATAAATTGCGAACCTTTTTAGAATGTGATCCTCCTTTGCACTAGAAGAAAGCAAACAATTTGGAGTTGTTGCTTTTCATAAGTTAATGTGCGAGGGATTTGCAGCTCACTTGAGATCAAAATAGACTGTATGTGGCCGATGAACCAAAATGATTGTCAACCCTGATCTAGACTGAATTCTTGAAATCCTGTACACTCATGCTGCTACCACTCCCCCGAGACCACAGGATATAATTTACCACAGTGTGATTCTTTATTCGAGACAAATAAATGGATCTCCATTATATTCGTATTGTGTACGCAGACAGAATGCTACCCTGCTGACTGTGAACTGGTGAGGGTGAAACTGTTTTATGAACAACAAATTGCACCCAACTTTTTGCTTTTTGTATTGCCTCTTTCGTGGAAGTCACATTTGTGGTTTTCAGCAGGACGTAAGGTCTAAGGCAAAGCCAACGTAAACCCTCAACAGCAGCAGGGTCCTTATCAGGTCAGATTTATATGATTATATCGATATATTTAAATGTTAAAAGTATGTCCCACTTTATGCCAAGTGGTAGTTATTCATGAAGATAAAACAGATTTTATTTGTCTTCTGCTGCCAGTCTAGTACAGTGGAGGTAAATGGAGCTCAATGACTCCTGATTATGCCGCCCAAAGCGTCAAACTCTTTCAAAAAACAGCAACAAGTCTGCTGTGTCTTTTTACCTGTTACTAAAAATGGAAAAAACTAAGATAATTAATTTTACACTGATTTTAAATGTAATGCCGAGATGTGGAGAGGTTAAGAACTTCCTTTATCTCTCACCATGTGAACCTTTTTTTTTTTTACAAAAACCAAGACTGTGTCAGTGAACATGTGATGTCTGGTAAGTAGGGCACACAGTCGAGCGTCACAACAGATTGGCCAATCAAACATAGCCCTGTCTCTAAAAAGTAGAGAAACCATCAGTTTTCTTTTCTTTTTACACAGCAGTTTGAACACGATGGCATCTTCAGTGTTTGCTTTCTGTCTCACTTGTCTGTTTTTGGGGAAAATAGGTAAGTTGCATTTTAGTGACTTTTATATGTTAGAGTATATGATCTCATACAAATGTTTCTGATATTGACATTTATTACATTACATTAACTCTACATTCCTATTTATTTCCCTTCAGCTCAGACGACTGCTCTGACATTCTCCTCGTCCGGTTATGAAGAGATTGGTTTTGTATCAGCAAGTGTTGGAGACAATGTGTCTTTGCACTGTTTCTATGAAGGCGATATTGCAGCAAGACTTTACTGGTACAAACAACCTCTGGGACAGAAACCAAGGCTCATTTCTACCTTCTACATGTATGATAAAAATGGCACTTTTTATGGTGAATTCGAGAACAATCCACGCTTCATACTGGATACTGAAAATGGTAAAAATTACTTGACAATCACAGATTTGCACCTTTCAGACTCAGCTACTTACTACTGCATAAGTTGCTTTTTATACACATTAGACATTTCTGAGAGCATTATTGTCAGTGTAGAGGGTTCAGGTTTGAACATCCCAGCTTCGGTCCATCAGTCAGCATCTGAGAGCATCCAGCCAGGAGGCTCTGTGACTCTGAACTGTACAGTACACACTGGGACCTGTGATGGAGAACACAGTGTTTACTGGTTCAAAACCTCTGAAGAATCTCATCCAGGACTCATTTACACCCATGGAGGCAGGAATGATCAGTGTGAGAGGAAACCCAACACACAAACACACACCTGTGTGTACAACTTGCCAATGCAGAGCCTGAATCTTTCTCATGCTGGGACCTACTACTGTGCTGTTGCCTCATGTGGACACATACTGTTTGGAGACGGGACCAAGCTGGACATTGAAGGTAAGTAACTTTCTTGCAGAAGTTATCCTTTCTGAAAAAAGAAAGCATGTTATAAGCTGTGTTTGTGATATCTGGTTCTATACAGATGAGGCTGACTTGCTGTATTTCTGGAGAGGAGCGTCAGCATTCACCACCATCCTGGTTGTTTTACTGGCTTTCTCAGTGTGCATGATGAACAAAGGAAACAGTTGCCAATCTTCAGGTAACTGTTACTGTTTGAATCTGACAGCTTGTATTCACTGAACATTTTGAATAAAGAGCTTTTTCTGTTACACAACCAGAATCTCAAACCAGATCACCAGCTCCCTCCACAGCAAATACAGAGGTGAATAAATTCAGTTGATATGTTGTTAATATTGTTTTAATTTATGCAACAAACAAAATAATTATGTTATACGTGCTATATATTTTATTAGCAGGGTTACCAACATGCAGACAACCTCTATTATGCTGCTTTAAGCGTCAAACTGACAAAGAGATCAAGAAGACAGAGGGATCCAACCTGGAGTGAGTGTGTGTACTACAGCGTAAAGAAGTAGAAGTGGACATATCACATTTGTAGTTTTGATTCTGAGTAAGACAGCATTTTCTGTGTGCCTCTTTTGAGTTGTAATGTAGATTTGGATGTAAGTTTGAGATCAATTTTGTGGTCTGCAGATAAAATTAAATTGCACTGTACTAAAGACAACCTTATAATTTGAGATACAAAGCACAAAAGCATCACTAATATGTACATCAGTGATGCTTTTGTGCTTTGTATCTCAAATTATAATGCTGTCTTTAGTACATACAAGTTAATTACATTTTTGACATAACCAGTATATGTAAGTCTCTCATGGTCTTTCATGATCAAGACAGTCCCATACTTTCTTCATTTATCCTTATCACTTTTAAACCAAAACCTGCAAGTGTTAATGTATGTGAATTTTATGTTGTAATGATCAAATAAAAAAGAAAGTTACTTGTGTACATGTTTAATGTAACTCAGGCTTCTTCATGAGTGCCTGAAATTGAAATTGTACATCTATCCGAACCATTTCCAGAGTACAAGTCTGAGCTTCTACTCTCAACTTGATTATTATCCCAGAGGGAGATTGTTTTGCACACAAGATACACAAAATGATGTAAGTTAATTTACAAATCTGTTTATAAAAGTGTGTTTTAAGAAGGGATTTAAAAGATGAAACAGATTTAGCTGGCATACTTTCCTACAGGCGTCCTGATAGAGAAAGTGCGGTCTCCTTTAGTCTTGAGCCTCGACTGTACAACAACCAAAAGGGCCGTTGCCATGAATCTAAGGCTCAATTCTAGCTCATAAAACTTTAAAAGGTCAGCAATGTATACCTTTATATGCTCTCAAAGTAATCAGTAGCATCTTAAAACTGATTCAGAACCTTATCGGTAGTCAATGCAGATATGTGAAGACTGCAGTAATATGTTCTCTATATATAGTGGCAGTTTAAATTCTAGCGGCAGCACTCTGCACCAGAGACGTGAGACACATTTTTTTTTTTGAAGGGTTGAGGAATGAAGAAATGAGAGTTCAGGGATGAAGAGTTGAAGGTTGAGGGATGAAGGGGTATCAGAAGGGGGGTGGGGGATAAATCGATGGAAGAAAGCTGGTTGTGTTGGCGGATGGATGGAGGGGTTCGGCGAGATGGTAAGAGGGAACCGAGTGGGTTGTGAGACTGAGTGTGGGAGCTGTCTCTTTGTATCTCTTGTAGAGAGCGCAGGTGGTTCCTGTATTTGGATAAGAGAGATGGGGAAAAAAGGAATGAAAGGGTTCGGGTGGAGGGATATGGAAACTGAGTCGAGGAGGGAGTGAACGGACAAGGTGTGCTTAAGTACGTTTTGAGCAGAATTCAGATGAGTGCAAGGCTTTGTTCCCGAACCTAGTTATAAAACTTCATGTAGAGAGAGTTACAACAGACTAGATTGAATGGAATAAAAGCATCAATTATTTTCTCTAAATCAGAATTGGATAACATGACTTGATTTAACTATTAGTATCTGTTAACTGTTGATAAGCCCTCCAACATACATGGATGTAAACTGACAATTAGCTAGATAATTTATTGACTGTATGCACTGTTAACACACGTGTACTAGCCTAGTCACTGTGAGCATGAGCATGCTGACATTAGCAGAGCTGCCAACTCTCACGCTTTCGCCGTGTGACACACTGTTTTGCCTGATTTCACACGCACTCACGCCACACATCCAATTTCTCCGATCTTGGGCTGTTTCGGTCCCCTGCAGTTTGTACCGTCCAAAAAAAATGTTCCGCTATAGTAAACAGAGACTCGTCAAGCACTAGGACCAAGCGGTAAACGGCCGCTCAAGCTGAAGCCTGTTTCCCTTAGTTTAGACCGCCCACAAGCTCCTCGATTGGCTCTGCCGGTTCTTGTGTGATTGGCCGTCCCCGCTGTCACTCCATCTTGCTTGCACACCGGTCTGCTGGTGTTGCCCAGGTAATATTAGAGGTTTCATTTACATTCACGTTTGAATCGGTGTCCGCGTGCGTGCGTGAGTGCGTGCGTTGTGTGTCCAGAATATTTTTTCTATATTTACATTTACATTCTTTACAACCAGTCAAATCAAAAAGGGAACAGTAAATGTAAAAGTAGCAATAGAAAGCTAGAAGTATGACTTGGGGGCGCCTGCCGGTTAGCTCAGTCGGTAGAGCTGGCGACCCATATACGGAGTCGCTACAGCGGCGCGGGCTCGAATCCGACCTGCTTCCGTTTGCTGCGTGTCATCCCCTCTCTCTCCACCCACCATCACTGTCTCCCCACAGCTGTCTCTATAAATAAAGCCATCAAGAGGCCAAACAAATAACTTGAAAAACCTCCAAAATCAGAAAGTCGTCCTTGATCTGAGCTGAGACTAGGTATGTAACAATGAAATGTCGTCCAATTGTGTACTCACTCTCTTAAACTTTAAATCTTGAAATAAATGATTTGTTTGTGCGTGTGAACATGATTTAGTGTGGTGAAAGCTGTCATAACAAGCAGCAGGAGAGCACCTTGTTAACCTTGTGGTATACTGCATGCTCAAAATATCAGCTCATTGCATTGTTTATTTACTCACAGTTTAATACCATTCTAATCAATCAACCTACAGGTACCTAGGTCCAATCTTAAACACTGGTCTATGAATAAGGCTTTATTGTGATACAGGCAGTCATTTAGGCACAACAATAGTTTTCTGGTTGAATGTTCAGCTCAAGTCTAGAAGGCCCTACGAGTCATGATGCCGAACATGACTCAGAATAAGTTCAGGTATTGCACATCTTTAGCAGACCACCCAAAAATCCACTAGAATGCAGGAAATCACATCTACTTAATCCAAAATTTCCTGGGGGTGGACCTTCAGCTATGTCTGCTTCTCAGAATGTAACCAATATTGTCCATCTCCAGTAAGCTGCCCCTATCAGCGGCTTTGGGCCTCCCCACAAACCACCAGAATGCAGGGTACAACATGGGTACAACATCAAATGAATTCCAATTCTCTGATATCTGAGCCACCAACTTGTGTGGCTGCGTGCGCGGCATAATTTTGGTCACCCCCGACAAAATCTCACTCCAAGGTTTTTTGAAAAGTTGGCAGGTATGTATTAGCATGTAGCTGCAATGCACACTGCCTGCTTTTGCAGCGCATGTGTGTGGCAAAATGTCTTGCTTTTTATTTTGGTGCCCATGTTTACAGATTAGAATAGTCACACTTCCAAAGTGAGTCGTGTGTTTCAGCTGTGGTTATAGCAATGCTTTACTAGAGAGTCAAGGTCTCACCTTTTTTTTTTTTTTTCGCAAGCTGTGCCTGGTTCCCAATACACAGTGACAAGGGTCTGTTCATAGACATGTCGACATAGCAGCAACATATACACCTTTCACTGTAGTTTCAATGTCTATATCTGTAGAATATGTCTCATCTGTTTGTATCTGTTTCAGATTAAAAGCTGTCTGGCCTTTCTATGGGCAGAATCCATTCAAATGTTAACAAGGTTTCTTTTTATGGTATTTATCAAAGGTAAAATCAGTATAGAAAGATAGAGCTGGCAGCAGCAGCTTCGCAGAAGCCATGCTGTTGGTGTAAACACTGCACATGTGCCAGATGCACCGTGGTGAGTACATGCTGGTCAAGGCTGCAAGTGTGAAACAGATACAGGAGGTGTTGATACATTATATATTATATTTACATTATTCTTCAGATACAGAAATCTCAACTGCAGTGAAAGGTTTATATGTAGCAGGTATATTATCGGTATGACTTTAATCAGATCTTTCTCTTCTTCTGTGCTGCTTGAAAACGTCATATATATATTTTCAGGTGGATTTGGAAACTGTGCGGACTGACGCATTTTGTGTGTGCTGCTGGCGCTAACTTAACTTGTGTAATCTTGGTTAGTGGTGTGTACTCATCAAACCCGGAATCTTGGGCAAGCTCTCGTGTCAGTATCAGTGCCATTATACTATATCTTTTCTTTGGTGCGTCTGCTTTATGAAAATCACACACAGAAGTTCAGAGAGCCCATGAGCCGGTATGAGGTGAAAGAGTTCAGAGAAAAGACAGAGAAGAAAGGGAGACCTGGTGTTTTTTGACCTGGTCAGGGTTACAGTCACAGGAAGTGACTGGAAACATAATGGTTAACGTTTCATATGAAAAAGTTCAGAATAACTCACAAAATAAACTAAATTCATCTGCGTCCCAGTGGCACTGTTGGTGTTTTTAAACAAGATAGAGAGATGCAATCCACTTAGCAAGATGTAAGGATGTTTGCACTCTCACATGGATGCCCCTCAATCCAAACACCAGTTGCAGTAAACATCCAAAACATCTTTATCAGGTCACATTTAACAATACTGCAACTACTAATACTTAGAGAATACTTTCTCATTGGAATATCACTGACAACAATAAATACAAGCGATTAAAAGTAATGTTTGTTTTGATGCACTGAATCTTATTTTGATTCATCTTTCAGTTCATTATGACAATCAAAATATTATACAGTTTACATATATATTAAATTATTGCCTCTACAATACAGCAGACAGCACAGTGTTGTTTCTCAGTACTACAGCTGGAAAAAAGAGTTGAGTATATTGGTATATTATGGAGGAAGTGTTACAAATCTTTTTAAACATAATGACAATCAGTCCATAGCCAAACATAAATGCACTGCACCGTGTCTTGTTACTGGTGTGTTTATATCGGACATAAAGTTATATGTTTGTGATTTAACTTAATCTAATCCCAGTAAGGAACCATAATAATCTCCATGTCTGTAACAGTGTGAACTAACTTTTCACCATAGGTGCAGTGAAAATGTTTCCTATACAGGGCATAGGTTGTCACTTCAGGCTGGCCAATCAAATGCATTCTTGTCTCTGAAGAGTCAAGGAACCATCAATGTTCTTTCATTCAGCACAGCAGTTTGAACATGATGACATCTCCAGTGTTTGTGCTCTGTCTCACATGTTTGATCTTGGGGGAAATGGGTAAGTTGCATTTTTGTGACTTTTATCTGTGAGAGTGTATGTTCTCATATCAGTGTTTCTAATATTTTTACACTGATTAAGTTGAAATCTGTCACATCACATTAACTTTACATTTCAGTTTATTTCCCTTCAGCTCAGACGACTGCTCTGACATTCTCCTCGTCTGGTTATAAAGAGAGTGGTCTTGTATCAGCAAGTGTTGGAGACAATGTGTCTTTGCGATGTTACTATGAAGGCGATGTTGCAGCAAGACTTTACTGGTACAAACAACCTCTGGGACAGAAACCAAGGCTCATTTCTACCTTCTTCAAGTATGATAAAAATGCCACATTTTATGGGGAATTTGAGAACAATCCACGCTTCACACTGGATACTAAAAATACTAAAAACCATTTGACAATTACAGATTTGCAAATTTCAGACTCAGCTACTTACAACTGCATAAGTTCCGCTTTAAACACATTAGAAATTTCAGAGAGTATTACTGTCAGTGTAGAGGATTTGAACATCCCAGCTTCGGTCCATCAGTCAGCATCTGAGAGCATCCAGCCAGGAGGCTCTGTGACTCTGAACTGTACAGTACACACTGGGACCTGTGATGGAGAACACAGTGTTTACTGGTTCAAAACCTCTGAAGAATCTCATCCAGGACTCATTTACACCCATGGAGGCAGGAATGATCAGTGTGAGAGGGAACCCGACACACAAACACACACCTGTGTGTACAACTTGCCAATGGAGAGCCTGGATCTTTCTCATGCTGGGACCTACTACTGTGCTGTTGCCTCATGTGGACACATACTGTTTGGAGACGGGACCAAGCTGGACTTTGAAGGTAAGTAACCTTCTAGCACAAGTTATCATTTCTGAAAAAAGCTGTGTTTGTGATATCTGGCTCTAAACAGATGAGGCTGACTCGGTGTATTTCTGGAAAGGAGCTTTGGCATTCACCACCATCCTGGTTGTTTTACTGGCTTTCTCAGTGTGTATGACTTTCTAGTAGACGGTACATTTTTTCATTTGATTTCATTTTGACCACTGAACTAGTAACTGCAATAATGCCAGACTCCCTTTAAAAATAGAATTGTGGTGGGAGCAGGACACACACTTCTACTTTCTCTAGTATTAAAGCCTTTCTTCGTCAATGTGAAAACATTAGATGTCCACACAGCAGAAAAAGTGTGTCCTGCTCATAAAGTTCAGGTGTAATGCCACAGTGCAACAGCGTCTCTCCTGCACTGCAGGGCTGCTAAACTGAAAAAATTATAATAATGGACATTGAGTCACAGAATTTTGAGTAGGCTACAGCCCAAGGAAAGTCTTTATTTGCATAAATAACAGGGAACACACATGGTCACTCGAGACGCATGCAGAGACACATTCTAATGCCAGGTGTAATTGACGTAAAATAAAGCTGTCCACATCACCAAAGACACATGTTAAAACCAGGTGTACACACACCATAAACACAGACGTATAAAAAGGGGTCTAGCAGGGGTTGTCTTAAGAGTAAAAGTATAAACAGGATGTTATAAAAGGATGTGACACTATATCATTAAAGTTAAACAGCTATACAAATATGTGAAGATTCAAATTAGTGAGATGAAAAATGTTTAATGGTACTCTTTTTAAACAGCAGATTGTCCCATCTGCTTTACTTTTTTGACATCCTACGTCACTCGTGTCAGTAGCTGTATCAAGGTGCAAAGACATGGCGGCCGTAGTTGATGACTTTTAAACTGAGGATGTACCATTCTGTTTAAAATCGGAGGTGTGGCAGCTTTTTGGCTTCCCTAAGTCAGACAGTGAAAAAGCTAAAAAGGTAACAGGCAAGACATGGCAAAAGAGATGAGGCCGTTTTCCGTAGTTGACCACGTCGTATTTTTAGTTTCACTTTTAAAAAGAAAAAGAAATATGCATTGTTTTACACAGTTTATACCTACCGCAGAAATAAGAAAGGATTCTTTAATTGTGTGAATAAACGGCGGTATTTGATGCTCTGGGAAATGAGAACGAGCCAGCATAATACTCACTATTAAAACTCAAGCTTGTAATGTCTCCTGATGTCTGACTAGTATATATATAAAATCAACTTGACTCGTCATTGTTACTTCCAACCAAACTTGGGATAAAAACTAAAAACACACCCAAAGCCCTGTTTCTAATGTCTGTCTCTCTACAGATAAGGTGGACTGCCGTGTCCCAGTGTATATGTTGAGTGGAGCTTTGGCATTCACCACCGGCCTGGTTGTTTTACTGACTGTCTCAATGTACAAGATGAACAAGAGAAAAGGCGGCCAATCTGTCGGTACGTAGTGCGTTTTGTATCTCTCAGCTCTGGTTTGGACTGCATTGCTTTTACAATAACTACCTTTCACTGTGTGTTCTGGACAGAGCCTCAAGCAAGAGTTTCTGCAAATGAAGAGGTGAGTTGGTTTGGACCAACAGTTGAATTAAAATTGAGACAAATTTTTATTGCACAACACTACATTTCTGACAGGTCCACTATTGGGATTTATACTTGGTCAGCAGGGTTACCAAGACGACCTCCATTACGCTGCTTTAAGTGAAAACAAGGCCAAAGGATCAAGAAGACAGAGGAACCACACTAAGGAGGAGTGTGTGTACTCCAGTGTGAAGCAGTAGAATGGGATGTTGGATGTTTCATTTGTTCTTCAAGGTCTAGTGTTGACTTAGACAAAGATGTTGATTTAAATAGATTTTCATATATTCCAAAGATGAGATCTCATTAACCTTTGTTAACATTAGCTAACATTTAACTTTTACTGACGTGCACATTGAGGAACCCCTGCTGTTTCTTTTCTTCTGTTTTTTTAGTTTCAAACAAGAAGTGTGTTGAAAGAAACCCAGCAACCAATCTTAGCATTATTTTTGGCAGTGGAGGCAATACTTGTTTTTTGTGATCAAACCAGTATATTTAGAATCTGAAGTTCACTGATGCTGCACATCAAGTTACTTTTGATATCACACTGTAATTGTATGATGTGTATAATTCTCAAAAAATCCTCAATCACCAATTAGGGCTGCTCGATTATGGAAAAAATCATAATTAAGATTATTTGGGTCAAAATTGAAATCACGATTATTCAAACGATAATTTTTTTAAACTTCAGAAACATGCTGTATTTATTGGACATTTTTCAAAAACACTTTGCAAGGAAGTCCTCAGTTACACTTTCCTTTCCCCATGAACATTTGCAAGTCTCCGCGTTACCTGTTCAAATGAAAACAACGTGACAGGAGAAGACTGCAACTAGTGTCGCGACCACCGAAATACGTCCCAATGTGTCCCAATTCAGGGGCTCAGCTTTTTTCTATACAACGTTGCACAACAGAAAATGAAAAAAAATGTTTTTTTATTAGTTTTGAGATCGTTTGGCCCCAAAATCGTAATCATGATCAAATTTCGATTAATTGAGCAGCCCTATCACCAATTAGGATCTGAGCCTAATGACATTAACATTTTCAGCTATGCTTCTAAGCTGTTTATGTGTCGGCTGGAATAGTTAGCACACCTTTCATTTATTGTCAGATTCTGACCCTTTTTAGCAGCACAGATGACAGTGTGGGTCCTATGGTCCACAACATGGGAAGATTACCGTCAGCTATCAATTGTCTGCTCAAAATAATATTGATAAGATGTATTCACTTTATTCCTTAAATAAAGACAAATCTTGAATGTTTAATTATTATCTTTATGATGAAACAACAGAATGATTTTGAATCAGTCTCTTGAAGACTGTAAGTAAACACACCATGAATGATGTCAAGTGTTACTGCTGTGGTAGGGATCATGTGATCAAGTTTCCTATATAGGACAAACAGTGTCACTTCTGGTCGGCCAATCAGACACAGTCCTGTGTATGAAAAGTGGTGAAAGGACTGAGAATCTTTTCATTCAGCACGGCAGTGTGAACACGATGACATCTCCAAAGGTTGTTTTCTATCTGACGTGTTTGTTCTTTGGGAAAATGGGTGAGTTTAGTCTTTTTTTAATTATTTGGTCACTCCTCGTGACATTGCTGCTGATATTTATTTGTCTCTCCTGTCTCTACAGCTCAGACAACTAATCAGAAATTCTCCTCGGCTGTTCATCAAGAGAAAAGTTTTGTATCCGCTCAAACTGGGGACAACTTAACTTTGAAATGTTTCTATGAAGGTGATGTTGCAACAAAGTTTTACTGGTATAAACAAATTCTGGGACAGAAACCAAGGCTCATCTCTACTTACTACAAGTACAAGAAAAATGGAACTTTTAATGGTGAATTCAGGAACAATCCGCGCTTCACTCTGGATACTGAAATAGGTAAAAATCACTTGAAAATAACAGATCTACAGCTTTCAGACTCAGGTACTTACCTCTGCATAAGCAGTAATTCACTAATGTTGGAGTTTATGGAAATCATTACTGTCAGTGTAGAGGGTTCAGGTCTGAACATCCCAGCTTCGGTCCATCAGTCAGCATCTGAGAGCATCCAGCCAGGAGGCTCTGTGGCTCTGAACTGTACAGTACACACTGGGACCTGTGATGGAGAACACAGTGTTTACTGGTTCAAAACCTCTGAAGAATCTCATCCAGGACTCATTTACACCCATGGAGGCAGTAATGATCAGTGTGAGAGGAAACCCAACAACCAAACACACACCTGTGTCTACAACTTGCCAATGCAGAGCCTGGATCTTTCTCATGCTGGGACCTACTACTGTGCTGTTGCCTCATGTGGACACATACTGTTTGGAAATGGGACCAAGCTGGACTTTGAAGGTAAGTCACTTTCTAGCAGAAATTATAATTTCTGAAAATAGAAATCATGCTATAAGCTGTGTTTGTGATATCTGGCTCTATACAGATGAGGCTGACTTGGTGTATTTCTGGAGAGGAGCGTCTGCATTCACCACCATCCTGGTTGTTTTACTGGCTTTCTCAGTGTGCATGATGAACAAGGGAAACAGCTGCCAATCTTCAGGTAACTTTTTATATCTGGCAGCTTGTATTCTCTTAATTGGACTTTTTTTTTTTTTTTTATTTTTCTGGCCTTTTATCCCTTTATTTAATAGAGAGGGATAGACAGGAAAGGGGGTAGATAGAGGGGATGATATGCAGCAAAGGGCTGCAGGTTGGACTCCAACCCGGGCCGCTGCGTATATGGGTCGCCAGCTCTACCGACTGAGCTAAACGGCCACCCTTAATCTGATTTTTGAATAAAATAAAATTTTCTGTGTTTCACAATCAGATCCTGAAACAAGATCACCAGCTTCCTCCACAGCAAATGCAGAGGTGAATAAAAACTGTTGACTGTAAATTAACTGTTTAATTTTACTGGTTATTGTTTTAATTTAGGTAAAGAACAAAATATTTAATGTTATACGTGCTATATATTTTGTTACCAGGGTTACCAACATGCAGACAACCTCTATTATGCTGCTTTAAGTGTCAAACTGACGAAGAGATCAAGAAGACAGAGGGATCCAACCTGGAGTGAGTGTGTGTACTACAGCGTAAAGAAGTAGAAGTGGACATATCACATTTGTGCTTTGATTCTGAGTAAGACAGCATTTTCTGTGTGCCTCTTTTGAGTTGTGATGTGGATTTGGATCCAAGTTTGAAATAAATTTGCTTTCATAACTTCTTTGTATTCTGCAACCAAAATTGCCCTATGCTTTGCTAATGTGCATATGTAGGATGCTGTTTTTGTGTCAGTGAGGTCTGAAGCAGGATATCTCTATAATGTTGCCGTGTTTCTTGCATATCAACCATGTATCTAAATATATACGGTTATCTTTAGTAGATATGAGTTATGAGTTAAGTACAACATAAAGGATGTGACTGAGGATTGTCTGATTGATTGTCTTATCATCTTTACATTTACCCTCATTAGATTTTAATCAAATCATGCAAGTGTTTGTATATGTACATTTTATGTTGTAATGAGCAAATAGAAATAAAAATCTTGAGCACTTTGAGTTCGAAACATTATGGCTTCATTATGGCACTATCATGGTTATCATTACAGTAAATGGTGAAAGTGAGTTGTTATGGTGCCTAAGTAAAATGGCACAGGAAGGTGCTTTTACTGACTTTTTTTAAGATTAAGGCTTTGCTAGTTGAGTTCAGTCTACCTTCACACTCATGAATGAACTTGCTACTGTTTTCAGTGTGGCAGTTAGTCTGTATCTGCACTGATGACTTTCTAATTCACTGGAAAACCATAAGAAATGATACATCTGACATTTTACATCTATCTGGAGCACTTATTTTCATAGTACAAGTCTGCCCTCCTCTTGTGCACAGTCTCTTTTACCCTGTAACTCTACTGGTTTGCATCGTGGTTTGTTGCAAACTGGATTCCACCAAGAGCATTTCAGAAGTGTAAAGTCTTCCAGCCCGACGTTGTTTACTTGCAAAACTTCTCCACTTCAAATCTCCTCTGTCTGATTGACTTCTGACCTGAGCCACAATGTAGTGTGATAATCCATCCAGAGTCTGCACAGGGATTGAATGGATTTCCTATGCCGTTTCTGTTTTTGACTTCCTGTCAATGCAATCTGCTCAGTTATGGTTGACATGAGTGGGTCACAGCTTCCATCACAAATAGACCAGCAGCGTATTTTGTCAATGGAGCATAGAAGCTGAGATGCACCGCTGCGCCAATACAGACTGCAGTGATATATTCCCTCCGTATAGTGCCAATTAAAACTTTTGCTTGTTGGAGACTTGAGACTGGCTTTTACTGAGAGAGTTGCAATAGTCTTGACAGGATGAAATAAAAGCATGAATTACTTTCTGTCAATCAGCATGGGATGAATATGACTTGATATGACCATTAGTATCCATTAGCGTTAGCTGTTGGTACCACTCATTCACAGTGTGAGCCTGATAAATCCTGGCATTGTCATCTTGGAATATGCCTGTGCCATCAGGGAAGAAAAACTCCATTGATGGAAAGACCTGGGGTCTCATTTATAAAACTGTGCGTGGGATCGTTACTAAAAGTGTACGTACGCCCAAAAAAGCCAAGTTTTACGTGCGCCAAAAAATATTCAGACTTATAAAACCCTGCGTACAAAGTAAAGCTGATTTCTGTTTTTTATAGATTTTTTTTTATTATCATTGATCATGTATAGTGCAAGCTATTTCGCTTGTGTGTCATCCAGAGTCAGCGGTCGGTGGGGAGGAGGACGATGATGCCGGCGAGGGGCCCTCGGCTGCAGGTCATCCAGCTGCCCCCACCCCCAGCACCACGTGTCAGTCCGCCAGTCGGGTGCTCACAGACACAGTTCTGCAGCTACAGAGGGAAACAATACATGCAGTCAACAACTTGACTGAGGAGGTGAGGCAGATTCGAAATGTTATCACCAAAATTGCCACAATATTAAAAGATACTGTGAAAAAATGAACCTTGAGTTGTCTTCATTTCAACGCCGCACGTACTCTTGCACCCTGTTGAAATCCCACTTGCCTCGGAGGGGGCTCGGCCTCCGGGTCAAGCTTGGGGGGAGGGAGGTCGGGGGGAGAGGGATGCCGTTCCTCTGGGCCAAATTGTGCAGCACGCCGCAGGCTCTTATAATGCGGCACACTTTGGCAGGCTGGTATAAAAGCCTCCCCCCGACGCATCCAGAGCACGCCACCGGCACTTCAGGAGGCCGATGGCGTGCTCCACCACTGACCGAGGACGTCATCGTACCTATGTTCCTCTGCGCTGTGCGCGTTCAAAACCAGGGTGAGGAGCCAGCGTCTCAGGGGGTATCCACTGTCACCTGCAAGGCAGAAAATCATTAGTTATGTCAAGAACCACAATGTTACATTTTTCCTCTCTTTAAAACTCACCTAGAAGCCAGCCATCCCGCCCGGCGCCTGCCTGTAGTCTGTTCCCTACACTACTGTGTGTCAGAATAAAGGAATCATGTGTTGCACCAGGCCAACGTGCCACTATGTTTGTTAAGATCATATGGCCATCACATATAACTTGAACATTAATAGTGTGCACGTGCTTTCGGTTGACGTAAACAAACTCATTTTCAGATGGAGCCCGTATAGCAATATGAGTGCAGTCAATTGCGCCGATTACGTTTGGGAAACCGGACATTGCTGCAAATTGCCTTTTAATCTCGGCCTGTTCTTCCACTGTGTAGGGAAACCTTATGTTTCGACTGCCCATACGTATGATGCCATTCAAAACGCTAGGCATTATGGCACTGAGGGATGGCTGTGATATACCGGATCTACAGGGTGGAAAACAAAAAACAAAATCGAGCCAATTATGCTATGTGAAATCAGGTTCTAAGATGTAGCTATATGAAACACTTACCTGTCTTCCAATTCCCGTTGGAAACAGCGGGTTGCCAGGAACCCCAAAGTGGTGAGGACCTGCGTCTGCACCGGGATAGCGTGGTTCCTACGTGTTGCCCTTTCCAATGCTGGACCCAGTTCAGCACATAGATCCAAGAGCATAGCTCTAGAGAATCTAAAACGGCTCATTAGCCAGTCATCATCATGGGCCAATAAATCGTTATGGTCCCTGAAGACCCTCTCCCTCCGAATCCTGCCATTTGCATGGTCCTCCAGCAGTGCCATGGTGCAGCATTACGCACGGGGCTCACTGCTGTATTTATAGGGTTACGGTAATCAGACTGACTGAGAACACCTTGGATAATCAGTTTGTAATCACCCACGTAAAATGTTCTTGAACATAACCCCTTTTTAATGCCTGATTTGTCATGAAAAGCATCAAGAGGAACGGACAATAATATAACGATTGTGCTGAGGAGTATGTGGCTTGGTTTTCCACACTTGGGATTTAATTGACATTTGATTATGTGTTTACAGTGTCACATAAAAATATTATGTTATTGACACATGTTGGACAGATGCTTTATTCCATGCAGTCGCGCCGTCCTCTCCTCCTCCTGCGCTCCGGGAGTGGACAGTATGGAGTGACGGGATTAAATATAGAGAATTTTGATTTTGAATTTTGATTTCGATTCTAAGGAGATGTTTCTGGATTAATAACTGAGAAATAACGCAGTTGACTTAAATCATTCTGATTACATAGATTTAACGCATGGTTGAAATTAAACTTATGAAGGGCGATGATAAAACATAATCGTTCTTCAGTTCACCACCACACCGTCTGTGTCGCCAATTCTCCTTTTCCTCCAAACCATGCGTATGCATGGGTCAGAGTTTGCTTAGGGCTGCGCACATTCTCCCGTCAAGTTTGTTTTTTATAGATCACAACCTTGGCGTGGAAAGTCACGTACGCCACTTTTAGCCCCGTTTTGTGCGTACGCAACGGTTATAAATGAGACCCCTGGTCATTCAGTATATTCAGGTTGTCAGCTGACCTCATTCTTTGGGGACATAACTTTGGGGACCTGACCAACTATAGCAACCCCAGATCATAACACTGGCCCCACAGGCTTGTACAGTAGGCACAAGGCATGATGGGTGCATCACTTCTTACCCTGATGCGCCCATCACTCTGGAACAGGGTAAATCGGGATTCATCAGATCACATGACCTTCTTCCATTGCTCCAGAGTCCAATCTTTATGCTCCCTAGCAAATTCAAGCCTTTTTTCCGATTAGCCTCACCGATCAGTGGTTTTCTTATGGCTTTACAGTTGTTCAGTCCCAATCCCTTGAGTTCCCTTCACATTGTGCATGTGGAAATGCTCTTACTTTCACTACTAAATATCTTAACTAACTAACTAACTAACTTATATCGAGTAAGACAATTTGATACTAAATCTTCCTTCCTTAAAGAAGGGAAACACTAGTTCAAAAGGTTGTTTGCATTCACTCTTTAAGGGTCCAGTGTTTAACAGTTAAAGGATATTATATTTTCATTTACAATGCAAGGTTGTATAAATTAAGTTTTATAACTAGGTTCGGGGACAAAGACCAAGCCCTGCACTCACCTAATTTCCACTCAAAACATACTTTACTTACATACAACCTTATTCGTTCACTCCCTCCTTTTCCACATCCCCTCCCCCCCAAACCCTTTCTTTTTCTCTTCTTATCCAAATACAGGAACCACTGGGGTTCTCTACAAGAGATACGAAGAGACAGCTCCCCCACTCAGTGTCTCACAACCCACTTGGTTCCCTCTTACATGGCGCCGAACCCCTCTATCCATTCATCCATCTGCTAACAGACCTTCATTCCTCAACCTTCATTCCTTCATTCCTCAACCCTACCTCCATCCCTCAACCCTGGACTCCTACCCCACATCCCTTTATCTCTCATCCCTTCATCCCATCATCCCTCAGTATACCACATCGGTTCATATTTGTTCATTATGTGCAATACACTTTTTTTATTTCATACATTCGATGGTGTGTTCTTTGTTAGTGAGTAAAATTAGATAGAGTTCCCCTTATGTTACTTTTAAAAACAAAATAAAAAAATGGTTAATGAGTCATAACATTTTTTTTATTTTTCCTGATGAAGTGCTGAGGATCATTCAAGTTCTCTCTCAGCCTAAGGGAAGAAGCTGTCTTTTACGTCTGGTGGTACGACTGCAGAAGCTTCTGTACCTCCTCCAACATAGCAGCAGGGTGAATGGACTGTGGTTGGGGTAGGTGCTATCTTTTAGTATCTAGCGGTCTTAGATGAATAGTGCATTCATTATGATGATCAAAGCATCATGCAGTTTACATATATATTTAATTATTGCATTTACAATACAGCAGACAGCACAGTGTTGTTTCGCAGGACTACAGCTTGAAAAGAGAGTTGAGTATATTGGTATATTATGGAGGAACTGTTTAAAATCTTTTTAAACATAATGGCGGTCAGTCCATAGCCAAAGATGAGCATAAATGCACTGCACTGTGTCTTGTTACTGGTGTGTTTATAATGGTCAAAAAGTTATAATTTTGTAATTTAAAATGTAATGCCAGTAGGGAGCTGTAATAGTCTTCATATGTCTGTAACAATGTGAACCTTTTCTCAAAAACCAAACATGGCACTTTAAGTGTTAATGATCATGTGATCATGTTTCCTATACAGGACATAGGTTGTCACTTCAGGCTGGCCAATCAAATGCATTCTTGTGTCTGAAGAGTCAAGGAACCATCGATGTTCTTTCATTCAGCACAGCAGTTTGAACATGATGACATCTCCAGTGTTTGCGCTCTGTCTCACATGTTTCATCTTGGGCAAAATGGGTAAGTTGCATTTTTGTGACTTTTATCTGTGAGAGTGTATGTTCTCATATCAGTGTTTCTAATATTTTTACACTGATTAAGTTGAATTCTGTCACATCACATTAACTCTACATTTGCTTTGTCTCCTATTTAGTTTCAGCTCAGACGACTGCTCTGACATTCTCCTCGTCTGTCCGTCAGGAGAGAAATATAGTTTCAGTTAAAACTGGGGACAAGTTGACTTTGCAGTGTTTCTATAAAGGTAATGTTCCTGTAAGGATTTACTGGTACAAACACACTCTGGGACAGAAACCAAGACTCATCTCCAGTTACTCCAAGTATGACATAAATGTCGCTTTTTATGGTGAATTCAAGAACAATCCACGCTTCACACTGGATACGGAAAATGGTAAAATCCACTTGATGATCAAAGATTTACACATTTCAGATTCAGGTACTTACTGCTGTGTTCATTTTTTATACACATTAGAATTTTCTGAGAGCATTACTGTCAGTGTAGAGGGTTCAGATTGGAAGATCCCAGCTTCGGTCCATCAGTCAGCATCTGAGAGCATCCAGCCAGGAGGCTCTGTGACCCTGAACTGTACAGTACACACTGGGACCTGTGATGGAGAACACAGTGTTTACTGGTTCAAAACCTCTGAAGAATCTCATCCAGGACTCATTTACACCCATGGAGGCAGGAATGATCAGTGTGAGAGGGAACCCGACACACAAACACACACCTGTGTGTACAACTTGCCAATGCAGAGCCTGGATCTTTCTCATGCTGGGACCTACTACTGTGCTGTTGCCTCATGTGGACACATACTGTTTGGAGACGGGACCAAGTTGGACTTTGAAGGTAAGTATATTTCAATCAGAATTTGTCTCATCTGATGAATAGCAAAAAGTGAACAGTAGTTTCCCCATTAAAGGGTTTGTCTTTGGTGTGTTTTAGCTTATAGATGGTGTTGTATGTCATACAGACTGTAAATTTGTGATTTTGGGCTATATACATAAAATGTACTTGACTAGTGATTGTTACTTCCAACCAATCTGAGAATAAAAACTGCAATCACACTGAAAGCTCTGTATCTGATGTCTGACTCTGTAGAAAAGGTGGACTCTTCTGTCTTGGTGTATTTCTTGAGTGGAGCTTTGGCATTCACCACCATCCTGGTTGTTTTACTGACTGTCTCAATGTACAAGATGAACAAGAGAAGCAGCTGCCAATCTAAAGGTAACTGGTACTTTTATTTCTGGCAGCTTGTGTTCACTGAATTCAGCTTTTGAATAAAATTACATTTTCTGTGTTTCACAATCAGATTCTCAAGCAAGATTACCATCTTCCTTCACAGCAAATGCAGAGGTAAATGCAGTTTTGATTAACTGTTTAACAGCCTTCATAGAAGCACAATTAACTGTCTCATTGACATTTGTTTTGTTAGGAACCAAATTATGATCTGCTCTATATATTTTATCCAGGATCACCAAGAGGCAGACAACCTCCATTATGCTGCTTTAAGTGTCAACCTGCCCAACAGATCAAGAAGACAGAGGAACAGCACCAATAATGAATGTGTGTACTCCAGTGTGAAGCAGTAGAATAGTGGATTGTGTAAGGAGTCAGTTTCTTAGAATCTCTTGGGAGATGTGACGTAGATTTAGACGTAGCTCTAGAGGTAAACGTCTGTTGGTAGCTTCCTTGTGGTAAGATTTTATAACGTGGATATTCTTTGTTGTATTTTGTCATGGTGATTTCCACTGTTACTTTGATATCTCACTAAAAATAAGCCTGTATTTTAACTCTTATTATTTTTGTTAATATAGCAGTACATTTAGGACTGATTTATTTTTCTCTGTACGAACTCTCTTGTGCTGTAAGGACCACAACACAAATAGGAAGTGTTATTTGTATTTTATGCTTCGTCTCTCCATATTGTTCCTTTCCATGTGCATTAATGATCAAATAAATCTATCTATGAACCATATTTGACCAATTGACAATATGTGTGCGTGTGTTCAATCCCCAGTAGCTGCACCAAAGCATCTGACTGAACTCATCCATCCATTGCTAATGATGTAAATGAGAACAATCATGACCATTGACCCGTTTTTACATTTGGTGCAGATATAACTATAACTACAACTCAGACAAAGTGTGTAACACTTGAACAGACAGAACAAAGTTCAACAAAAGTGAATAAAGCACAGAAACTCAATCAAACTAGATTTTGATTTGCATTTCCCAACGACTGAATAAAGCACAGAAACTCAATCAAACTAGATTTTGATTTGCATTTCCCAACGACTGTCATAATGGGCTGCTTCCAAGCAATGATGAAACAGATGAAAGTGGAAAGATTAATAGTGATGGACAATCTCTTCTTAGCCTGTAGTGAACATACCAGGTCAAAGAAAATATATCTTCTTTGGTCATTGTGTCTTCTTCCTCCTCCCCTATCCAGATCTTTCTTCTAGGTCTTATAATGAGATGACTGGCTGAGATAAAAAAGGACCCCATGTCTATGACTTTCATTCAGACTGTCAGGCTACTCAAGGTTATTGAATGATTTGGTTGAGTGAGGATCCTAAATACTGCGTATCGTCAATAGAGCAATATAATTGACATGATCAACAATTCTGTCATCAAAATTTCTATATAACAGGATTTTCTTGGTCTGTTCTGTTTGATCGAGATCTATTGCATGGCCTCTGGGGCTCTTCCTGAGATTTCTCCTAATTTCATAGTTTTTTAGTGGGGGGGAGGGGGTTTCCTTAAACGAACCAGGCCGATTTACTAGTAAGCAGTGCTGTTGGTATCTTTCAGCTCTAATTTAGACTGCATTGCTTTTACATGAAATACCTTTTTTACTGTGTGTGTGCCAGAGCCTCAAGCAAGAGTTTCTGCAAATTAAGAGGTGAGTTGGTTTTGACCAACAGTTGAATTACATTCGAGACACATTTTTATTGCACAACACTACATTCAGTAGCAATCAGCAGGGTTACCAAGACGACCTCCATTAGATAGATAGATGATAGATTTATACTTTATTAATCCCCTATTGGAGAAATTCTTCTTTTCACTCTTTTTTTTATTTTATTCACACACAGGCTGAAATGCACACTCATGCCCATCCAGGGCTTGTGGACATGCAAACAAGGAAAGAGATGGTGGAGTGGTGGGCTGCCACGTTAGCAACGCCACATAAGCTGTTTTTGGGGTTAGGTTGCCTTGCTCAAGGACACCTCAGCAGTGCCCAGGAGGTGAAACTGGCACCTCTCCAGCTACCAGTCCACACTCCATACTGTGGTCTGTGGCGGAACTAGACTTTTATACGAGGGATGGCCAGAGGGTGGTCAAGGCTTTATGAGGGGGGCATATACTAGGCCTAATAAAGGAAAAACCTTGGATACCGCAAAGGATCAAGAAGACAGAGGAACCACACTAAGGAGGAGTGTGTGTACTCCAGTGTTCTTCTTTGGTGTAATGTTGACTTAGACATAGAAGTTGATTTAAATAGATTTTTACTGCTTACGTGCACATTTTGGAAACCCTGCAGTTTTTTTTTTTTGCTGTTTTTCTCCGTCTATGTAGTTTCAAACAGGAAGGGTGTTCAAAGCAACCCAGCAACCAATCTGTACATTTTTAGAAGCGGAGAAAATATTTGTTTTTGTGGTCAAACCAGCATATTTAGAATGTGAAGTTCACTGATGCTGCACATCAAGTTACTTTTGGTATCACACTGTAAATAATTCTCAAAAAATCCTCAATTGTTCCCAACAACTTGCTGTAATGTTAATTTTGTGTCAATACTGATCAAATACATATAGTTTATATTTTAATGTGACATTTGAATGAAATGTGTGTGCAATAATCATTGTAAACGAACTTGTGGGGTAACTGTGGCTTACAAGCCAAAGACAACATCTTCTTAGCGTTGGTACTGACCAAAAAGGACCACACCAATTAGCATCTGGGCCTAATGACATTAACATTTTCAGCTACATTTTTAAGCTGTTCTTCTTTTCAGTGTATCTGACAGATGATTACTGAAATTTTAGCATGGCTGAACTCAGACTGTAGTTAAACACACCATGAATGATGTTATCAGTGTTACTGCTGTGGCAGTGATCATGTGATCAAGTTTCCTATATAGGACAAACAGTGTCACTTCTGGTAGGCCAATCAGACACAGTCCTGTGTATGAAAAGTGGTGAAAGGACTGAGAATCTTTTCATTCAGCACGGCAGTGTGAACACGATGACATCTCCAAAGGTTGTTTTCTATCTGACGTGTTTGTTCTTTGGAAAAATGGGTGAGTTTAGTCTTTTTTAAATTATTTGGTCTCTCCTCGTGACATTGCTGCTGATATTTATTTGTCTCTCCTGTCTCTACAGCTCAGACAACTAATCAGAAATTCTCCTCGGCTGTTCATCAAGAGAAAAGTTTTGTATCCGCTCAAACTGGGGACAACTTAACTTTGAAATGTTTCTATGAAGGTGATGTTGCAACAAAGTTTCACTGGTATAAACAAATTCTGGGACAGAAACCAAGGCTCATCTCTACTTACTACAAGTACAGTGAAAAGGGAACTTTTAATGGTGAATTCATGAACAATCCGCGCTTCACTCTGGATACTGAAATAGGTAAAAATCACTTGAAAATAACAGATCTACAGCTTTCAGACTCAGGTACTTACCTCTGCATAAGCAGTAATTCACTAATGTTTGAGTTTACGGAAATCATTATTGTCAGTGTAGAGCGTTCAGATTGGAAGATCCCAGCTTCGGTCCATCAGTCAGCATCTGAGAGCATCCAGCCAGGAGGCTCTGTGACTCTGAACTGTACAGTACACACTGGGACCTGTGATGGAGAACACAGTGTTTACTGGTTCAAAACCTCTGAAGAATCTCATCCAGGACTCATTTACACCCATGGAGGCAGTAATGATCAGTGTGAGGGGAAACCCAACAACCAAACACACACCTGTGTCTACAACTTGCCAATGCAGAGCCTGGATCTTTCTCATGCTGGGACCTACTACTGTGCTGTTGCCTCATGTGGACACATACTGTTTGGAGACGGGACCAAGCTGGACTTTGAAGGTAAGTCACTTTTTTAGTAGAGGTTGTCTTTGAAAGTATTAAGTAAATTACTGCATATTAAAACTCAAACGCTGTAATGTCTCTGATTATCTACAGATAATGAAGACTCGCTTGTCTTGCTGTATTTCTTGAGCGGAGCTTTGACATTCACCACCATCCTGAGTGTTTTACTGGCTTCCTTAATGTGTGTCATCAACAAGAGAAACAACAGAAAATGTCCAGGTACTGTACTGCTACTGTTTGCAGTCGTCAGTTTGTACTCACTTGACATGATAGTAAAGTAAAAACACTTCTCATTCTCTTCCAGAGTCTAATGCAAGATTTTCTGCTCCTTCCACAACAAATGCCGAGGTATATTTTGTTTACTCTTGTTTTAACATCAAAACATTTTTAAAGCACAACATATTTTTACTTCAGTTCTAATTTCAAATTTTATATTGTGATTTATCTCTTTATATTTTTCTATCAGGGGGACCAACATGAGGAAGACATCCATTACGCAGCTTTAAGCGAAGTCAAGGGCAACAGATCTAGAAGGCAAAGGAACAACGGCGAGAATGAATGTGTGTACTCAAGTATAAAGCCGTAGAGCTGTACGTTTTCTATTTGTTTCTGAGTAAGACTAAAAAAAGCTTATAAGAGTTTCTTTGCAAGCCCATAAGACACTGAAGTCATATTGTCCTCTGTACAAATCAAATGTATTTAGCTAGCTACTATGGTTGTGTTAGGTTGGATTGCATTATATTAAAAAGAAAAACGTTTTAAATTCGTCCACCAAGGTAACTTTTTAGCAGATCAAATAGCTAAGGAAGTTTTGAAGAAAGGCTTTGGAACAAGTGTATTTCAAAGAGAATGGTATGGATGCACGTTGGCTGACAGTATGTGACAGGCAAACCGACACTGCGTTTGATAAAGGGAGAGAGGAAACGAGAAAGCGGCACAGAGGAGGTGCAGGGGAGAAAAAACAGGGATTATGATAGTAATATGTCCTTCAATCCATATGTAACTTAAAGCTTGCATGTTCTGGGTTTTAGAGAAACCGAGTATCATCGTACATAAATTGGCTTCAGCATTTAAAGACTCTGAAAACAACCAGCTTTAAGATGAGATCTGTGTTATTCTCAGTGGTTTAAAGTGGGCGGGGCTTAGTCGGAAAAACATTATTTAGCATATTTCTGTCCACCAATCAGAATGTTGCTATATTTGAACCAGAACTTCATTGTTGCTAAGGTTGTTCCTTATTTTGTCAGGCCACTGTCAATCAAATCTGTACTAACCACACTAGCACAGTCCTGAGACTGAGATCAGCTGATGTCACTCTTAATAAATAATACCTAAGGATGTTATTTTCTGAGCTTTAACTTTGCTTGTTGCTAATAAATGAATTTTATAATCAAATACTTCTCAGTGGCTGTGAGTGTTGTGTAATGGTTGGCATGAGTTTTGTGCAGTAGTAATACATTTGGATGATGAATGAACAAACTTTCTGTGCTATGTTTTAGACATAAAACCTTCTGGCATAGGTGGTGCCACCTACTGTCTGTGACTACCAATGACTGTGACCTGACATCTGTGTTCAGCATCTAAACTTAATATTCACTTTACATATTGTGATATTTCTTGTGAAAGTTTAGATGTTAGGGAGGTTGTTTATGAGAAATTCTGTTAGATGCAATAAAGACCATGGACATAATTAAAATGACTACAGCCATGCCACTGTCTGTACTACTACCAACAATAGTCAAGACATTTAAAACTATACCAGCAACACTGTGGTGATAGAGGAGACATTGGGATCTCCAAAGTCATAAGGAAACATCCTCTAGGGACCATGACTGTGTACAAAGCTTGATGGCAATATAACACTACCTACCTTGACCTACATTGCCAGCTCTCAAGCCACACTAACAAGTTTGGAGGAGGGCAGCCTCACAATGTTCAACCCAACAAGAAACCAAATGTAAAGTTTGTTTGAGGACTAATGGATCTGCCTGAGAAAGGTTCATTTCCTCATCAGCAGATAATGGTGGAAAAACTAGTGAACAGCACAGTCTGGAGTCACAATACAGTATTCTGCACTGCTTGATTACATGTCAGTTTGTTTTGTAAAAATTGAAAAGAAATGAATCACACTGCATACATACATACTCTAATGACCTAACTTACTCAAATGTCACGGTTTTAGGCTTACTTTAGTTATTTCCTGTTTTATTTTGTAATACTCCTCCTCTTGCATCTTGGTTATCTTCACTTCCTTTGACTGTTTGGATTGTCTGCCGCGCACTGATTATTTCCACCTGTGTGTAGTTGTCCTCCTTATCTATGTGTCTTTCTGTCCCCTCCTCATCCTGGTTGCTTTGTCCCTAGTTTCCTTGTTGTTGTTGTTGTTGTTATTTTGTTTTTTGCCTGGACCTGTATGTGTTTACCTACCTGCACCTTCCTGTAAACTACAATCTCTGAAAACATCTGGCTGCCTGCTGGCATTTTGCATTTGGGTTCAATCCTGTGTTTTCTGAGCTGAGGCAACATATCACCTGTCAATCATACAACAATCTGAGGTACAGTATATATTTGGACATTTTTCGCTGTGGACAATAAAAAACAAACATTACAATTAAGCATTTCAACCAGAAAATAAAGCAAGTTTAAAAAAACAGACCAGAGCCCAAGGTCCAAAGCTCCTGCGCTACCGATGTAGCATTAAACTGTCTTAAAGAGACAGCTTGTTTCAGACAGAGGATGAACTGAGGGGCTGCATGAATGGCCAGTATAAGATAAAAAAGGATGGTTATGAAGAGTGAATCATGCAAAGCTACTTCTAGTGTAGGCTCAGACTAAGAATATAGAGCTAGAAATGAGTATAATAGGTTCCCTTTAATGAACAAAAAACTAATAAATACTGAAAGTTAGTTTGGCTCACCAGTGAGATCAGCATGGAAGCATGGTGTTATATAAGTGTGGATGTCTATGTTATATTTAGGTCATTTTAAAGCTACTGCTCTTGTTGACAAATTTGAGAAGCTATTATGTTCTTCATTTACTCACTGCAGAGTTTTTAGAAGAACCAACCTTGACACCACAGGTGGCAGTGAGCATGTGATCATGTTTCCTTAATAGGACATACAGTGTCACTTCAGGCTGGCCAATCAGACACAGTCTGGTCTGTGAAGAGAGGAGAAGAGATCAAGATTCTTTTCACTCAAGTCAGCAGTTTGAAGACGATGACATCTCCAAAGCTTGTTTTCTGTCTGTGGACTTGTTTGTTCTTTGGGGAAATAGGTGAGTTGTGTTTTTATGGCTCTTGTTCATATCTTTTAAATGTATGGTCACTCTTAGTGTCACTGCTTCTGATCGTTTCTCATGCCTTAAGTGTACTTCCTATCACGTTAAATGAATTGTGTATTTGCTTTGTCTCCCTTGTCTCTTCAGCTCAGACGACGTATCTGTCCTCATCTTTTAATCAAGACAGAGGTTTTATATCAGCCAACGTTGGTGACAACATAACTCTGCAATGTTTCTATGAAAGTGATATGGTAGCAAGATATTACTGGTATAAACAACATCTGGGACAGAAACCAAGACTCGTCTCTACAGTCTATGTGTCTAACAAAAGAGTCGATTTTTATGATGAATTCAAGGACAGTCCGCGTTTTTCCCTGGATACGGAAACTGGTAAAAATCACTTGAAGATTTTAGATTTACACATTTCAGACTCAGCTGCTTACTACTGCGCAAGTAGCTTTTCAGTAAAATTTGAATTTGCAGAGGGCATTATTGTCAGTGTAAAGGGTTCAGGTTTGAAGATCCCAGCTTCGGTCCATCAGTCAGCATCTGAGAGCATCCAGCCAGGTGGCTCTGTGACTCTGAACTGTACAGTACACACTGGGACCTGTGATAGAGAACACAGTGTTTACTGGTTCAAAACCTCTGAAGAATCTCATCCAGGACTCATTTACACCCATGGAGGCAGGAATGATCAGTGTGAGAGGAAACCCGACACACAAACACACACCTGTGTCTACAACTTGCCAATGCAGAGCCTGGATCTTTCTCATGCTGGGACCTACTACTGTGCTGTTGTCTCATGTGGACACATACTGTTTGGAGACGGGACCAAGCTGGACTTTGAAGGTAAGTCACTTTCTAGCAGAGCTTGTCTTATTTGATAAATAGTTCTCTATGGTCACTTTACCAACAAACTTTGTATGAACACAGAGATAAAAGCTGAAAGCGCTGTGTCTGTCTCTCTATAGATGATGAAGGCTCTCGTGTCTTGGTGTATTTCTTGAGTGGAGCTTTGGCATTTAATACCATCCTGGTTGTTTTACTGACTTTCTTTGTGTACTTTATAAGTAAGAGAAAGAGCTGCCAATGTCGAGGTAAATGCCACTTTTCCTATCCACAGTGTGTTATTACTAAACATGTCATTATAGAATCACAGCTTCACATTGTTTTTCAGAATCTAATGGGAGAGTTTCAGCTTGTTCCACAACAAATGCAGAGGTATTTCCTATGTAGATCAATTATTTTATTACCATCCAAACACATTCTTACATACGGAAGCGAGTAACATCCGTGCTTGTTATATTTTTAATACCAGTTAATTTCTCTGTGAGTTTAAAGAAATTGACGTTGAAGATGGTGCATTCTCATGAGAATGCACCTTTTGTTTTCTCAAAGGAAGGCTTCATAAGTGAGCTAAAAATTGTTGTTACCAGACTGTACGTCTGAGAGTTCATTTAAGATATTCATTTCCTGGTAATGTGATGCAATACTGACAAAATATATCAGATTGAGATTAATAATGAGCTCAAAGTTTCAAACTTTTTCCTGGCTGCTGGCTCATTTTGGTCAGTACAAAAATGAATATTAACGGACACGTTGCATATCATGCCTCCATGAATTATCTAATATCTTAAACCGATGTTGCATTGACAATTATAACGGCACTCCTGATCTGTAATTGACATTTTAAGTAATCTAATAAGAGGAAACAATCTTTTGTTTTCCCGTGATAATGGTTGATTATCTCATTATCTTGAAATAAAACTTATTTTCTTGAGATAACATATAAAAAAAAAACGGCTGTTCTCTGCTTCCGTACTTGGAACAATTTCTGCTGTATTTGTTGAAGTTCCTGTCTTGTACCATATTGTGATTGTGACCGCAATGTATTTCATTACTAGGCTCACAAAAATGAGGATAATCTGCATTACGCTGCTCTAAGGGTGAACAAGGCCAGCAGATCAAGAAGACAGAGGGACGACGCACAGGATCAGTGTGTGTACTCCAGTGTGAAGTAATAATAAAGCTGGATGGACATGCTTCATCTTCATCTCTGTGTAACAGGAGATGACCCCTACTGGGTCTTTTAAAGTGTACAAATGTCATGTAAAGCTTTACCTTGTAATAAACAAATTAACTAAAGAAGCTCTTGTAATGGCAATAACAATGATTTCCTCTTTCTCTGTGCCAGTGGGTTGCAGTGACCTTACAGCTTTGGTTCTGGTGATATAAGCTACTTGCTAAAAAAAAATATATATTCAATTTGTGATGATCTACCTGAATTTATTGTCACAGTGTGTAAGGGTGACAGCCACAGCAAATGCAGATGCAAAGTCATCGCAGACAGAAACCACACTGTAGATGCAGGAATTGTGCACAACTGCATACCACAAACCCAAACTCAGTTTATAGCTCTCACGTGGTCGACAGTGTAATGATAAAATCTCTCTATGGTTTTGAAAGGTTTTGTGTAAACGTTTTCCCTTGTGTGTGTGTGTGTGTGTGTGTGTGTGTGTGTGTGTGTGTGTGTGTGTGTGTGTGTGTGAACCCACAAACCATAAATGTTACCTATGTGTGGTGAAGAAGATGTAAACTGCCATGCCAGGATGGGTCATTCCTGAATATTCAGATAATATTCAGTTTTTATGTCTGTTAAGCACTTTGTAAATTTGTTTTTGAAAAGGCCTATATAAATATAATGATAAATATTATCATAAATATTATGATCATTTTATTAATTTAAATAGGTTTAAAAAAAACAAAAAACATAGTGTCATGTGAAACCAGGAAAATAGAGCACTTAATTTATAATTCTACTCATCTGAGCTGCTCTGTGGCTTCTGTGTAGGGTGGGCTCAGATCTTTCTAAGGGGCTGGTCAGAGACACATCGCCACAGGCACTGCAACGTCAAAATCACCTTGGCAAAGAGGTGTAAACAGGTAAAACAGCTAGTGCACCTGTGGAGCATGGTTGCACACGCAACCGGGCGATCAAATGAGATGTCGAGCTCTTGGTGTTGCTCTCCCTCTCTCTCTCTTCCCCTCTTTCCCTCTCACATACTCGTTCTTATCACACAACATCAAAACAGGAAGGAAGTGGTGAAGTAGTAAAGTCCTCCTCTTGCTTGATTTGATTGGCTGCCTGGGCCCAGTGCAAAGTTGAGAGTATTTAACTGTTATGCGCATCTAAAAACTGCTTGAAGAAGCTCAAGAGAGCAGACACCAGGCAGTGCTGTACTGTAGGAAAAAGATTCTTGTTTCTAGTGAGTGACGCATCTCGGTGTAGTCTCACGATACCAGATTACTGGAGATCTTCTGTGGTTAATAAAAGCAGTTGCATGCAATGTAGTTGCTTGAATGACCGTGAACAAACGCACACCCTTCACTTTATTCCTTACATAAAACCATACTCACCCCCCATTCAAAATCTGAAGTGGGATCACAGTTTTAGTTCCCTTGATCACTGAGCCATTTATCACAGCACCTTGAAGGTAAATAACTTTCTGGCAGAAGTTGTGTCATATGATAAATACTTGTTCTAAAGACGCCCTAATAAAAGAAGCATAAGAAGACACAGTAAGAAAACATTCTCAGTTCTGTCTGCTGTCAGTTGTCTCTTTCTAGCATAGAGCTTCAACATTTACCGCCATCCTGAGTGTTTTACTGGTTTTCTTAGTGTGTCTGATGTACAGGAGAATAAAGCAGACTTTGTACAGGTTAGAGGTCTTGTTGATGATCGCTATAACAATGTTGTAATAGTTTATAATAATACAGGAAAGTAAAGATACAGCCATTTCACACAGGAGATGAGTGTATACGTTAAAAGAGACTCCAGTCTGCAGTGTAGTTCATACACCTCACTGAGTCAAGTCCCACCAGGCTTCATCAAAGTTTTTTTCACATCTGCACATCTTCATACAAATAATTAAGTCTCCCCTTATTGAATGTTACCTGCAAGTGTGGTGAGGAACATCTAAATTGATTTTAAAAAACTGGATTGAGCTTAATGAGTGTTCTTTGCAAAAAAATGGTTGAAACCCAGTGAAATCAGATTAAGAGATACAGAATTCTATTTAAACTGCTCTGTGGTTTCCTGGTATGGGCGTCTGACATTGTTCTCTCAGAAAGGGTCTGGGGGGAAGACGCTGTTAGAAACGCGATCCTCACAAGATCCTCAGTTGAAAGTAAATACAAAGTTGGATACAAAAATGCGTCTGGTGGAACTATGTTACAGCAAAGACTGAGGTGAAACATTTATTTATTTTTTGCTCCATTGTGACCAAACCTATTTGATTTACTGAGCAGCCAATCAGGTGAGGCTTGATGAATATGATGAACCAATCAGATAGCTGACAGATTTGACAACCTTTCGCAGCACTTGGCCCTGCATGGTGAATCTGTTAAGACTGGTGTCACTGCCACTTTATTTAACTCTGTGCAGAAGACACGGACACACGCAGAGAAGATGATGGTCTGCCTTTTGCATATTTCCCTGCTCTGGTCTCTGTGTAAGTAACAAAAAGTCCACTTGTGTGTCTTTTTATGTGGATTTACACACATCAAAGAGACTGTATTATTTAGGCTTTTCTCTTTCTTTCAGGTGGAGCACAGTTAAGCGACATCTCTCAGCCTGCTTCTTTTCAAACAGTGGAGCTAGGACACACAGTCACTATTACATGTTGCATTGCTAGTGCTGTGAGAACGAGGGTATGGTACAAAGTAACCACTGGGAGAAGACTGCAACTGGTAGCTTCAACAGATACTTTCTATAATAGGACAACATTTAGAGAGCAATCACATCATTATACAGTCAAATTTGACAGATTGAGCAGTCATCTGAGCATATCTGCAGCAACGTGGGACGACGCTGGAACATACTACTGTGGAGTGATTAACTTAAATGATGTTAAATTTGGATCAGGCACCTTTTTGATAATAAAAGGTATTCAGTCTTTGTAGCTTATCATTCTTATTGATACTGAGCTCATGTCTGCTGAATGTGAACATAATGCTAATGATCACAGCATTTAATTTCTCTCCCAAGGTGCAAACATGATCAGCGACTCTGTCTTCCAGCCAGGAGACTCTGTGACTCTCAGCTGTTCTGTTCACACTGGCCACTGTGCAGCAGAACACACTCGTGTCATGTGGCTGAAAAACTCTCACCATTCTGCTCCACAAATGATTTACTCCTCTGGAAATGACAACCACACCTGCCAGAGGACTGAAAGTGGAGAAACTACCTGTGTGTACAAGCTTCCTATGAGCAACCTGAGCTCTGATGATGCTGGAACCTACTACTGTGTTGTGACGTCCTGTGGACATTCACAGTCTGGAAATGGGACCAGGATTAATATTCACAGTAAGACAGAAAGTGGAAGATTTCTTCCTTTCCTCAAAAAGCTTCAGCTTTTTCAAAATGCAGTTTTGTGCAACTCCCACATTTCATAATAGCTACCACAATATGTAATAATTCATTACAAATGTGGAAAATGTATTGAGTGTTGGGTTCAGGGTGTTTATTACAAAATGTGGCAGATAATTACAAAATACAGGTGTTAATGAAGTGAAAATGTATTACATTTTGTTGAGTTATTACATAATGCATTGTTATTACATAATGCATTGTTACATTCACAAATCAAACTTGAGATAAACACAGAGTAAAGGAGCTTTGTGGTGCACTTTTCTCTGTTGCATTAGACAAAAGCGCCTGCCAAATAAATTTAATGAAATGTTTTCTGGATTCACAGGTAACATGGACCTTAGACTTGATTTTCCTTCGACATTGGAAGTATTTGTTGTTGTCACCGTCACCCTGGGGTTTTTACTGGCTCTCTTAATGTGCATGATCATGAAGAAAAACTGCTTTCACTGTACAGGTAACTGGTACTGTTGGTATCTATATTGTGTCTTCATTGAGCAAAGCACTACATACTTAGAAGGGTTTTCTTTGTTTCTTATTCTTCAGCTCACTCCACAACCACTGCAGAGGTATTTACTGTTTAAATTAATATTTCTATTTCATTTACATTATTATTTCTGTCATATTAAATACGATATTCTGATGTATTGTTTGTCATGTCTAGGGTTATCAAGATGAAGATAATGTCCAACACGGTGCTCTAAGGGAGAAGAAGATCAACAGATCAAAGAGACAGAGAGATGAAACCTGGAGCGAATGTGTGTACCACTGTGTAGATAGATAGATAGATAGATAGATAGATAGATAGATAGATAGATAGAAAGAAAGAAAGATAGATAGATAGATAGAAAGATAAAAAAAATATAAAACAAAAAAGGAAAAAAAAAAAAAAAAAAAAAAAAAAAAAAAAAACATGACATAAGTGTTTATTAGTGTATCTTTTGATGCTTTTTCTGCCTTATTTCATCTAAACATGATCATTGTAAAGCCTTACCCTGCCATAAACACATTAAACTAAACTTTTCTAAAGATAATGCTCTAAGTGCAATTATTTCCACTGCCTTTGTGCCACTATTGCAAGAGACTTACCTCAGTGGTTCTGAAGCTGATAGCTCATGATTTCCTGACAGCAAAATGAGCATTAACACCAGAATTAGTGCTATCCACACACTACACAGTCTGTACTTTTTGTTATTGTGCGTTTGTGGTTTCAAGCAGGATGTCTCTATAGAGGCAACCAACTGATGTCATAGCAGATAAACTTTTTGTGACCTTTTTAGATTCAAACTAATACAGTTAGGTTAGTGATGCTGTCTGCCTGTCATAATGGAAATTTGCGTCAATAAGATTATCACGTGTCAACAGTCAGTACAAATACAGCTACATGCTAGCATGAACAAGGGTAGCGTTTTCTGCCATTGGCTGTTGAGGGCTGTGACATCAACTGCCTGACCTCAATAAATATGTGTATGCACTCACCAACCACTTGTAGTATCTGCTAATGTAGTAAGTAACAATTTAAACTGACAGGACGAGATGGTACAAATTATGAATATGTAGGTTTAAAAAATTCTTGAAGTAAAGCTAAGAAAAGGCTCTTTATGATCAGTGCATTGTATGAAACTGAAAGATGACTGTTGCACTCATTTAAACACCTATGGTTTCCAGATGAGGGGGCCTCATATTCTCTGAGAGATCTGGTAGGAAGTGATTTTTGCTTTAGAGTACATAAACGTAGGTATCCTTTTGGTCAATAAGGCATAGCAGAGACCAGGAAGCTTAATACAATAGAATTCAAATTCTATATAACCTTAGTTAATCTCATTTAGATCAATATTTGTTTTGCAAGACAGACCTTACAGCAGGTAAAAAAAAACATAACATATCCAGACAAACAAAGCAGATATACATACTAAGAACTGTTAAACTGTCTGAAATCTGGTGAGCAGTGGTTTTGTATTTGAGGAGTGATATACTGAGGCAGCATTTGCAGGATACTTTTATAAAAAAAAACTATGTGGAATTAGGGGTGTCTGAGAATATAACACATTTTGTCTTACTGACATTCAGTACAAGATGGATATAATGCAGAGATATCCGGAGAATGTGAAAGGAAGATTGTAATGCATAAAAAATAATATAAGTCAGTGCTGCACTGATAATATTTTTATGTAGAGTGTAAATAGTAAAGGACCCAGCACAGAACCTTGTGGTGCCCCCTTTTTATTTCAAGTGAGGTTTCTAAGAACTAAGAACCATTTTGACAACCTCATTGTGGTATACCTGTACATTGTTATTTAATATCAAGGAGTTGATGACAAACCGCAACATAGAGACAAAAAAGATCTTCAAACACTGCTGACACTGACATTGATGTCAAAAGAGGTCAGGATGAAGGGTTTTTTCTTTCACTGTGAACAACCAATCATGCCCTGCAAGGGGGAGGACGATGAACCAATCAGGACTTACAGATGTAGCTGAATGTAGGACAAGTGGTGTATCTGTTAAGTCTGTTTCAGTAAGTCAGAACTGCTGTGGAGAGAAACAGGACCAGAGAAGAAGACCAGATGGCGGTGTACTTTGTGAATGTTTTCCTGCTCTCGTCTTTGGGTGAGTAACAAAAATCCACTTTTTTATGAGCGTCTTCACATACTAAGCTGATTGTATGCTGTCTGGATATTTCAGGTGTGGCAGCGTTCAGTGACATCTTTCAGCCTGTTTCTTTCCAAATGGTGAAGCTGGGTGACTCAGCTACTATTGAATGTCACATAAACAGTGAAATGAAAAAAAGAGTGTGGTACAAATTGACCACAGGGAAGAGACTACAGCTTGTGTCCACATTTAATTACCAGTATAATCGGACTATATTTGCTGATGAATTTCATCATCATTCAGCAAAATCTGACAAATTCAGAAGTCATCTGAGAATATCTGCAACAACATGGGACGACGTTGGGACATACTACTGTGGAGTGGTGAACCTAAATGACATTCAATTTGGACCAGGCACCTTTTTAATGATAAAAGGTATTACTTCTCTGTAGTTTATCATCCTTACTCATATCATTCTCATTTCAGCTGAATATGAACACCATGCTAATAATAACAGGTCATTTGATTTCTTTCCCAAGGTGCAAACATGATCAGTGACTCTGTCTTCCAGCAACCAGAGTCTCAGTCAGTCCAGCCAGGAGACTCTGTGACTCTCAGCTGTTCTGTTCACACTGGCCACTGTGCAGCAGAACACACTCGTGTCATGTGGCTGAAAAACTCTCACCATTCTGCTCCACAAATGATTTACTCCTCTGGAAATGACGACCACACCTGCCAGAGGACTGAAAGTGGAGAAACTACCTGTGTGTACAAGCTTCCTATGAGCAACCTGAGCTCTGATGATGCTGGAACTTACTACTGTGTTGTGACGTCCTGTGGACATTCACAGTCTGGAAATGGGACCAGGATTATTATTCACAGTAAGATGTCACCATAAAATACCTTCACTTTTTGCAAATAATATAATTAATAAATACACAAAAAAATGTCAACATTAACAATTGTTTTTTGACACAGTTGCACAATAGACCGCGTCCCACATACAAAATGCCTTTCACTTTTACTGAATGCAGACAAAAGCATTGATATCATATAGTCAGCAACTATTTTCATAGTCAATTAATTGTGTATGAGGTAATTTTTCAAGCAAAATACTAAACATTCTCTCAGTAAACACTGCAGCCCCTACAATTTCAGGACTTTCTGCTTTCCTCTGTTTTGTACTGATAGTTATTTTCTTCTGTTTAACGCAGACACTTCACGGACCAAACCAGTTGAACTGAGTCCAGCCGTTATTGCACTGATGCTGTCAAACATCCTTCTTGCGATTGTGACAGTCATTCTCATATGGACTGTGTGCAAGAGTCAGAGGAAACATTCCACAGGTATTTAAAACTACGTGTTGTATTGATCAGCTCATATCTGCAGCACAGTCAGATCCACATCCTGTTACACTGTGCAGGAACTGGAATTGACTGTAGTTATCTTTGTTTCTGCAGAGGCAACTGACGGATCTACTGAACGCAATCAGGTAAGAGTTTGTCTCAGCACCCACAGCGTCACAGTTCAGCTGTATATGGCCATTCTGTATGATGTACAGCTTTCAAAACAAGTCTTCACTTTCTATTCCTCACAGACTAGTGATGCAGTTATCTATGCAGCTGTGTGTTCAACCCCCAGAGGCCTCCCCACAAGACCAGCTACAGTGAAATACAGTGGAGACTCTGTAGTTTATTCTAAAATCAAATACTGTCAACAGAACGGAGACGTTTCATCTTCAACAAACCAGAGAGAGTGAAGATGGATGGAGCAGTGCTACATAAACAAGTTTCAAATAGATCCAAAGAGCTCTTTATCTCTGCCAAATATGAACAAATCAGGAACCGGAGCGCAACACTTCTTCGTGACTGTAATTAAAGCTGCACAGTTCACATCTTTGCAGCTCAAATGGTATATTTTAATACGAAAGACTTAAATGTGCCCAATTTTCAGTGATGGCCATATCTACCAGCCTACCTAATGGATTGGAAATATCTTGCATTGATCAGTGCTGCTTACTCTGCACGAACCATTGCCAATGTTTTATAACATTTCGATTTAACTTTAACTTTATTCTTGAGTTTAAATTTATCGCTTACGTTTTACTATCTATTCTCTGGAGTGCTGTACCATGGGATATACTGTAGATTTTACTGTGCTGTGATACTTGGCAAAAGGCCTGTCAGTCGACTGTTACATTCCATTGTAACATGGAAATAATAAACTGCTATAATTACAAATAATTGCTCCATGACAACTAACTGAATGCATTTCTGTGTCTGAATCTGTCTGGCATGCTGAACATGTCGATAATGTTTTTCTCATTTTCCTTTGACCTGCTTTTCTTTCATGTGTCACATTTCTGTGGTCCCATCACCAAGTAAACTAATTGGCCAAGTAACAAGTCAAGTGATTAGAGGTTGACAGCGCAGTCTGGTCCATTGTTTCAGTGTTGTGAAATGTGACCCTCATATGACTGCCAGATTAGACAAGGTTTTGGACTGGACATGGGCTCATGTGTTCTCAGAAGTAGGCCAAGTTATCAGCATTTGGGCTAGATTTTGGCCAGGTCAATGAAAGACATAGTAAACCTAAGCTCCAGTAATTGGCTACAGCATTGTAGAGAAATGGCCAGTATTGTGGATGTCATAGACCAGCATCTCTCATGATTAGTATGTCGGAAATAAAGGTTAAACATCTTTAAGAATAGTTTTCATTGTTAGGCCCTTCCCACCAACAGGGAACCTGCTCTGTTCTGGTTAAAGAATCAAATTTTGAAATGTTTGGAGCATTTTCACGAAAAAACATAGAGGACCTGAAAAGTTGTAACCCAAAATTGGGAACCGATGTGGGTGTGTCATATTTTGTGGGTTATTGTGCATCGTGCATCGCGTTGATGATGCTGGTGATGATCACACTGGCTTGCTAGATAGCACCACAAGGTTCCACACAAGTTCTGAAAAAATTTACTCACAACTTTGTGAAATGTGAAATGTAACTTTTCAAAGCTTTTAGCAACACAGATAAATTCTATTCAAATTTACTGTATGAAACAAATCGCATGAATGATGAAATGAACAGTGGTCGACCAAATAAAATAACTAGTAAGATAAGATAGTCAAAGGTAATAACTATGGAAGCTTTTTAAATATTATTGCTTTACAGAATAAAAGAGGACCTCACAGGAACAAACACTGCAAATGACAAAACAAATATTATAAGCACTCTGGATTTGCAGAGTAAAAAAGAAAAACATTTTACCCTTTCATTCTCCCAACTCCACCGGAAGCTTCACAAATGACAAACAGAAAAAGCAAAACCAACAACACAAAGCCACTAAAGTGAGTTAAAAAAGGGTTCAGCTAAAAGATTTGGTGTCAAATGTGCAGTCTGTAAAGTAAAATCTATGTGTGCCAAAAGAAAATGCTGTCATATACAACATTGGATGCAGTCACATACAGAGCATTTTCAAAAAAACCCTTTGATCTATTTATACCGTCTGACCAGAAATGTAAGCGGAGGGTGCAACCTTTAAACTGGGCGGCTCTCAGCATTTTTGACGTTCGCTGTGACTCCTGTGCTCATATGAGGTGTGAACTACTGTCAGCAGGTTTCCGCTGGTGGAAACTTAAGTCCTAGCTTGAACCCAGGAAGACCGGCTTGCGGCCTCCAGCCACAGCACACAGCAGCTCAGAGACAACCCACGAGCAGAGAGAAGTCATTTTGAAACGGTGGCTGTGTGAAAGGAGGGCCATGTTTTCAATGCAGATAACATGCTATGTACACAAAATGAAGTTTTATAACTAGGTTCGGGAACAAAGACCACGCCCCGAACTCATCTCATTTCCACTCAAAACATATTTAAGCACACCTTATCCATTCACTCCCTCCTTGACTAATTTTCTACATCCCTCCCCACAATCCCCTTCTTTCTTTTTGTTTTTTCTCTCTTATCCAAATACAGGAACCACTGGGGCTCATGAAGAGATAAGAGACAGTTCCCCCACTCAGCGTCTCAACACCCACTCTGTTCCTCCTGATCCTCTCGCCGAACTCCTCCCTCCATCCACCTATCCTACCAGCTTTTCCCCCTTTCTATCAACCCTCACCCGTCCTTCCTATACCCCCTCATCCCTCAACCCTCGACCCTTTCCCCCATCCCTCGACCCCTACCCCATCATCCCTTCATCCTTCCATCCCCTCCATCGCTCGACCCTTTCCCTCCCAGTATTCCACATATGTTTATAACGTGTAATACAATTGTTCTTATTCCATACAGCCATTGGCGTGGTCTTTGTTAGTGAATGGGAAATACAAGCCCTCACCAGGACGGGACTGAATGGCTAACACTGTAATGTGTGAGCAGCGTCTTCTAATATTTAGACTCATTAATTCACTGTAACACTAATTGTTATGTATTATAAATTATTTTATAATGTTATATAGTTCTAGTATTTAGCCTCACATAGCAGTGAAAAAAGACAGAAGAAGTGACTTAATTAACATTTTTCGACCAATCAGCATGGTCTCTGTGTGTGTCTGTGTCACAGTGGAAGCCGTTATAAACAGTTTTAACATCATGCAGTTAATTACTGATCACAATTATTATGTTTATGTATTTGTTTTTTGTTTTTGGAAGTCAGTTTTTATTTTTTCCTTTTCCAGATTTGTAGGTCGTAGGCCTAGGCATTGCGTTGATTTTCATCTGACTGTAGATAGGTATGCAGGGTGCGAACCACAGGGGCCAGGGGGAGCTTGGCTCCACTTAATGAAGACATGAGCTCCCCTGAAAACATGATTTGGGGTTCTTAAAAATATGCTATTTTCACCTTGCATTTCTTTTTTACTGCATCTTCTTCATCATGGATCATGCGTAAAATGTATTTTTGATGTATGATATAATTCACTTTAATAAAGATACTGGCATGCATGCTATTCGTGCCATCACCATCGCAGCGTAGTGGCGCAATATCATGAACGTCACTCACTTTAACTAAAATTTCAGAAATTGACTAATTGACTACTCGGTGAAACATAGGCAACCGCCAACCCCCCCATTACCATCATCACCAAAAGCGCTGGTATAGTTTGCACACTGTAGGTACGTATCTACGTGAACACACTTTCATCTGTCACACACTGCACACTATACATGCACCGGTGGACTCCCCCGATAGTACCCCCGTGTTAAAAAAAAGCTGCAAAAGTCCCGTCTTTGATGCTACTATGGTAGATAAAACATTATTAAGTGCCCTCTAGGACACCCTTCTAGTGGAGAAAACATGCAGTGCACTAATTGGTGCACTTAAACTGTAGAAAACTCGATGCAATATAGGGTGCCCCACATGCTAGAAAATTAAGTGGCATGCTAATCAGTTAAAAGTAATTAACATTTTGCCAGCATGCAAGAAAATCTGTCAAAATACGTTATATATATCCTAAACCCCCTTGCTTGTGATCAAAGGCTTCACTGTATTACTTATATATAGTATGTGCTTTTTATTTCTTCTCATAAAGCTATTGTCAGGTTCAAAAGTTATGTTGTTGTTATTATTGTTGCTGCGGATGAAGCTCTTATCAAGGACCAGCATGGCCCAGGTAGGGGGCACTGAAGTGTGTTCACTGTTTCCAAAACAGGACATACAATCTCATTGGCCAATCAGACACAGCCTTTGCTGTGAAGAGTGGAGAACGTGAAGAGGTTCAGTTCATTCATCACAGCATTTGAAGCATGATGACAGCTCCAAACATTGCTTTGTATTTCACATGTCTGCTTGTGGCGAATACGGGTAAGCTGTGATTTGTTACCACCTGTTGTTGACTATACTATACTGCGATTATATATTATTAGCCTTTTATATACTATAACCATATGTTTGCTTGTAACATGTTCATGCTTTCTACAGATAATTGAAATATACCAGCATTAAATTAACTGTGTATTTGTTTTGTTTCTTCACTTTCTCCTCAGCTGCTGGGACAGCTTTAAAACAATCATCATTACAGTTTGAATCAGCTAATGTTGGAGCTACTCTGACTTTGCCGTGCTTCTGTCAAGATGATGCAGCAGTGATGTTTTACTGGTACAAACAAACTGTGGGACAGCAACCAAAGCTGGTGTCTACATTCTACAGGCACAATGACAACGGTACCTTTCATGGTGACTTTAAGAATCCACGTTTCTCCCTGGATACTGAAAACGGCAAATATCACTTGAAGATATCATATTTGCAAATTTCAGACTCAGCTACTTACTACTGCGTAGGGAGTAATTTATATGACTTTGAATTTTGCGAGGGCATTACTGTCAACGTGGAGGGTTCAGGTTTGAACATCCCAGCTTCGGTCCATCAGTCAGCATCTGAGAGCATCCAGCCAGGAGGCTCTGTGACTCTGAACTGTACAGTACACACTGGGACCTGTGATGGAGAACACAGTGTTTACTGGTTCAAAACCTCTGAAGAATCTCATCCAGGACTCATTTACACCCATGGAGACAGGAATGATCAGTGTGAGAGGAAACCCGACACACAAACACACACCTGTGTGTACAACTTGCCAATGAATCTTTCTCATGCTGGGACCTACTACTGTGCTGTTGCCTCATGTGGACACATACTGTTTGGAAATGGGACAAAGCTGGACATTGAAGGTAAGTAAATTTCAAGCAGAATTTGTCTCGTCTGATAAATGGATTTATACGGTTTATATTGTGTACGTTTTTCTCACATTCTAACTGGAATTACTGGACACTGTAATCGCAACTCCACTGTAGGAGAAAAATCAACAGTCATTGTTAAATTCAATTTCTTTTCCAAAGTAATATCATTGGAAGATACCCACTTTATTTGTCTAATGTACTTACACTGAAATGGCTTTAGGAAGGAATCTCTTTGTGGCCAGCAGGAGCTAACATTACCACAACCAATAACTCTGTCAATGTACAAATGTGCATGTGAGTAATGTTTTAAGATAGACTTAAATGTACCCAAACATGTCCTTTAATCAACATTGAGATAACATCTAAAAGCTCTGTAACATCTCCTGGTGTCTGTCTCTCAACAGATGAGGTGAACTCTCCTGTCTTGGTGTATTTCTTGAGTGGAGCTTTGGCATTCACCACCATCCTGGTTGTTTTACTGACTGTCTCAGTGTACAAGATGAACAAAAGAAACTGCCAATGTACAGGTAACTGGTACTCTTTGAAGCTGACAAGTATCGAGTTCATAACGTATTTGAGTGAATTGACTTTCATTTTGTGTACATTTTCAGCGGCCTCTACTGCGAATACTGAGGTAAGTTTCATGTTATACTGAAAAACAAAGAATTTTAATAGTGCAGCAATATCTTTACTTTTCTTGACCTGTCGGCAGGTGTCATAGGGATTTATTTTCTTCAAATTTGTGTTCTCAGAGGTTTCAGCAAAACTGGTCAACTTTGCCTGCTATCAGTTAGATGTCGCATGATGTAATTGGCCAGAGATACATTGATATGTTTCTCGCATCAAACAAGACTGTGCTATCTTTGACAACACAAATTGACAATGACAAAAATTAACAATATGTTTTATGCTATGTTTAGTTAATTAGTGCACACAAAGATTAATTTAGAGCATTAGTTTTTTTCCCCCATGGCACCTGCTGGCTTCCGTACAAGTTTTTCTTGCGCTGTATGTTTTATAATATTGATTAAACATTTTACATTTTGTTAACAGTTAAATCAAGATGCAGAGAACCTCCATTACGCTGCTTTAAGGAATCATAAGGCCAACAGATCCAGACGACAGAGAGACAACACTATGAGTGAATGCGTGTACTCCAGCGTGAAGCAGTAGAGCTGGACATGTTTCAGTTTCTGTGTAACAAGGCATTTTTCATTAGGGTCATTTGATATTGAACACGTCAAGATGATTTCACCAAATTCAATGAATATATCTGCTTGCCTTGCAATAAACTAACTCTTCCACTGAAAAAACACTTGTCTTGTTTTTGAGGGTTTCTTTGAAGTGCCACCAGTTGTGAAGCACACTGATTTAGCTCCTCTGAGAGTTTCCACATATCTAACCAACCTTGCATCATTGACATCACATGTACTCTATGTACATACACAATGCCAAAGTCATCACAAAGAATCAAAAAAAGAATGTTCTTCTTTGTAGGTTGTTTATTGTGAATGCTGCCACAAACCCAGAGAAGTAAGAGGCTTCTTAGCACCTCTTTGCAGTGAGCAGTAAAGAGAGGAAATCTCAGACCCATGTCATGTCTGTGGTTTCAGGCAGGATGTCTCTACATCAGTAGTTCTCATTTCTTCTCTGAATCTGACCTATAGATCCTATCCACAACACAAGTGTTTAGATCCTTTGCTTAAGTAGATGCAGAGATGTCACAAAGTGTAAGTGCACACATAAGATCAGTTTGCCCATGAGCGGTACTATCAGCCTGTGAGAGCAGTTATATAATGTCAGCTTTTGTCAAGTCTGACAATATAGCTCTTGTGATGTTCAACGGGTTTTGAAGACTGCCTTACATATGGTGGGTGGTTGACTAGAGATGTAGGGGTCTAATGAAAAGATTGAGGTGGATTGTGGTAACTGTAGGAACCTGTTATACACTGTATCTGGGACTAATATCTTGTCCTCACAGGAGGCGTTTTAGCAGTGTAGTTCAGTCTTCTACACACTTTTTGTGGGGGCAAGGGTTCCTTTATTAGACAGGACAGCTTGAGAGATTGACTTGACCACAGCTTAGACCTGAACCCTTGCCCCTGCAGCAAGGACCCAGCCTTGGTACATGGGCCGCCAGGTCAACCAGGTGAGTTTTGCTGGTGCTTTATTTAAATTTTTAAATTTTTAATTAATTTTATCACTATATCAATCCCACAACTTGTCACAGCAGCATTTACGTGAAATAAATAAATACAGATATAAAAAAGCTATGGTAAAGTGGTAAAGCTATGGTATGGTGGTAATTTGAAAACAGAAACTACAACTTTGATCAGGTTTTGTAGAGTCTGACAGCGGCAGGGATGAAAGACCTGCGTAACCTCTCCTTCTTACACCGAGGGTGTAACAGTCTGCTGCTGAAGGAGCTACTCAGCGACCCCACAGTGTCATGTAGTAGTAGTGTCACATAACTGCAACTCAAAGCATAATTTTAAGGCAGTTTTGTTTTTCATTGTATTGTCATTTTGTGTATTTGTGTCTTGGACTGCCAAAACAGACACTCACTACAGTGCCTGAATGCATCTTGTGCAGACACTGAAAGTTGCTTTTAGTTAGGATATCTAAGCCATATTGTATTTAACATGTGCATTATTTGTTTTAGCTGATGCAGTTTGTATAATTTCAAGTACAGCAATTCAATCTCAGCAGTAAGTGCCTCCACTTGTGCAAAAAAGTCAACTCTACCATGTAGATATGAACCAGTGCAGTGTTCATGGATCCCACTAAGGTTTATCTCTCTATGTTGGACTCTTCAACTCTTTTGATCTTAAGATTTGACAAGTTAAGTTTTCAGCGTTCTGAATGTTGAGATCTGTCTTCCTTCCAGGGGTTTATGCATCTGGTAGTTAAGAGTCTGCCTCCCCCTATCTTGATGATATAGTCTTGCAGAACAACAATGAGAGAGAGTATATTCTACATTCTACATCTGTGGACTGCAGACCAGTAACCCCTTCAAGTATTTCCATTCCAGGGCAAAATGATGAACCAATATTAAGCCGCAGAGGCTCCCAGCTAGAGGTATTTACAGGTTTACTCAATTCTGGAGAACTGAGACACGACATCAGGTCAGTTCTATGTGTTATTAGACATATATTACTGTTGATGCGGGGTGTTTAGTTTGGGCTTTCAATGGTTATCTTTCGAAGTGTAAAACTAATTATTTTTGTTTCTGCGTGCTAACTGATCACACATCATGCTGCTAACTGTGTTGATGTTCTTTCTTTATATCAGTGTCTGTTCAGGTGGACGGTATTGTGCATTGGGTCAAATTATCCCCAGGTCCATTTGGATCTGTAGAGACCTCTAACAGAAACCGACCTTTCAAGCAGACCGTACAAAACATATTTTTTACACACTGTACATGTGTGGAAAGGATGTGGTCTCCTCTTCCTGTCACAGACTATAGAGGCAAGAAGAAAAACAGCTGAACTTGTTTTTTGACAACAGAGCATATATTTTTTATGAACTAAAAGTTTGACAAGACATTTTGATTTTATAGCTTTTCAAATAAAATATGTTTTCGGGTATAAAACAATCCAGCAAAGTTTCTGTAGCATCCAGTGTTAAAAGCAGTGTAACGCATTTGCAAAGATAACAAATTAATACATTTAATTTAGAAGAAGTACTGAAATCTAAATGGACTCCTTACTTTTGTCTTACCTGTATCCTTACTGTGCCCGGAGACAGCTGAGGCAGTGTGAGCTTGCTTCCTGTACATAAAGTAATTATTTATTAACTAACAATGATAGCAAAGCTTGGTTAATGTGTGCTTCAGCGTGGGTCTTCTGCAAAGTTTGCTTAAGCTGAGAATCAACATGTTTGCTTCTTGTTGATATATTGTGTTTAAATTGATATATATATATATATATATATATATATATATATATATTATATATTCTTGTGATGTAATCATATGAGGCTGTTAGAAACACATTAAGATCTTCAGTTGAAAGTACAGAGTTGGATGCCCAAATGCGTCTGGTGGAACTATGTTGTAAGACTGAGGTGAAAGATTTTTTTTGCTCCATTGTGACCAAACATACTGAGCAGCCAATCAGGTGAGGCTTGATGAATATGATGAACCAATCAGATAGCTGACAGATTTGACATCCTTTCGCAGCACTTGGCCCTGCATGGTGAATCTGTTAAGACTGGTGTCACTGCCACTTTATTTAACTCTGTGCAGAAGACACGGACACACGCAGAGAAGATGATGGTCTGCCTTTTGCATATTTCCCTGCTCTGGTCTCTGTGTAAGTAACAAAAAGTCCACTTGTGTGTCTTTTTATGTGGATTTACACACATCAAAGAGACTGTATTATTTAGGCTTTTCTCTTTCTTTCAGGTGGAGCACAGTTAAGCGACATCTCTCAGCCTGCTTCTTTTCAAACAGTGGAGCTAGGACACACAGTCACTATTACATGTTGCATTGCTAGTGCTGTGAGAACGAGGGTATGGTACAAAGTAACCACTGGGAGAAGACTGCAACTGGTGGCTTCAACAGATACTTTCTATGATATGACAACATTTAGAGAGCAATCACATCATTATACAGTAAAATTTGACAGATTGAGCAGTCATCTGAGCATATCTGCAGCAACGTGGGACGACGCTGGAACATACTACTGTGGAGTGATTAACTTAAATGATGTTAAATTTGGATCAGGCACCTTTTTGATAATAAAAGGTATTCAGCTTACCATTCTTACTGATATTGAGCTCATTTGGAGCTGAATGTGAACATAATGCTAATGATCACAGGTCATTTGATTTCTCTCCCAAGGTGCAAACATGATCAGTAACTCTGTCTTCCAGCAGCCAGAGTCTCAGTCAGTCCAGCCAGGAGACTCTGTGACTCTCAGCTGTTCTGTTCACACTGGCCACTGTGCAGCAGAACACACTCGTGTCATGTGGCTGAAAAACTCTCACCATTCTGCTCCACAAATGATTTACTCCTCTGGAAATGACGACCACACCTGCCAGAGGACTGAAAGTGGAGAAACTACCTGTGTGTACAAGCTTCCTATGAGCAACCTGAGCTCTGATGATGCTGGAACCTACTACTGTGTTGTGACGTCCTGTGGACATTCACAGTTGGGAAATGGGACCAGGATTAATATTCACAGTAAGATAGAAAGCAGAAGATTTCTGTCCAAAATAATCTCAAGATTAAGATTTGTAGTACGGGAGTAAATAAAATCTAAAGGAAATACTGTTTGTTCATTCTCATATGTGTAAAGGAGACATGATCGAAGCAAGTGATCTGAGTCCAGCTGTTATTGCACTGATGCTGTCAAACATCGTTCTTGGCATGGTGATAATTCTACTGGTATGGACACTTTGCAAGAAACACAAGAAAGATCCCACAGGTATGTAAAACAATGTATTATGTTGAGTATCTGAAGCAAAAACCGAGCCATAGGGTATGTTGTGTAATATTGTGCAGTAGCCAGCAATGACAGACGTTCTCTGTGTTACAGCAGCATCCAGAACCAGCAATGAATCTCTTGAAGGCAACAAGGTAATCCATTTGTTTCATACAGCTTTTCCTGTTCTTCTTAGTTTCCTTTTCTTTACAATTTTATATCTTTAAAGGTTCTCACATAGCATGTACCATGAAGTAAAAATACCTATTTACCATCTCAAGTATAAATTATGTGCATTTGCTTGTCTTTCAGACTGAGGAGGAGCTTTTCTATTCAGCTGTGTGTTCAGGTCCTAGAGGCTCCTCCTGCAGACCAGCTCCAGTGGAATGCAGTGGAGACACAGTAGTTTATTCTGAAGTCAGGAAGTGTCAACAGGACTAACAGACTTATGAGCAAAGATACCAGGAAGAAATAAACCAGGACTTTGTTGTGATTTGGCAGGGATTTCTACAGTAAGCACCTGCACACCATCATCAGACATTTTCAATCAATGTGAATGATTCTCCCTCTCTGAGGCATCAGCTGTTCCTACAAGTGGCAGCACTCGCTTTGCTATTGTTGGTATTCGCTTCCAATTTTCCAGCTGAAAAATATGGTGGCTTCTGGCAGCGTTCTCAGATATATATGTTTTTTGATGTTTTTTAATTACTGGTTTAAAAAAAAAATTAGGTTAGAAAGAGATTATTCTATTTTCAGATATTTTCTAAATCCATGCACCTTTATTATCATTTGAAATAATTTACTAAAGGCATCATTCACATCCCTACATAAAGTGAATGACTCACCCTGGCATTTTTAAATTACTGTGTGCAGCTTTATTGTTAACTTGTCTGATGTATCAAACTACAGTAAACAAACCATTAAAGCAGTGAGAAATGTAAAACAACTAAATAACAAATGTCAACAACTTTACAATAATATTAAAATATAGGTTTATAATGGTATCCTAATGATGTGGAACAGTTATTCATGTAACTAGTTGATTATCTTGTCAGCTTCACATTTTAGTATTGTGCTTTTATTTTTTTTTATTTAATTGCAAACCAAGCTTAGCCTTGCATGACAAAACATATATGGTTTGATTAAGAATGCAGAGTAAAAGCCTGTTTGTACGAATGCAAAACAATAGAACACTTTTATTTTCATTTTCAGTTAATTTATTGTATTTTACTGCAGTACTACTTCGAACTGCAGATATGGTGATAATGTGAATCATTGTTATTTTAAATAAAAACTGCATAACAAGTACATGAGGTAAAAGTATAGTTGTAAAATAAAACCTTCCATTAACACGTCAATGTGACCACATAAAGCTTCAGTTTAATCTGTTTTTCTGTATAATCTGTATAGCAATGAAAACTATTTAACAATTGATCAAACTGCATCCACTGAGGAAGACCATGAAATGTGTCTGAAAGTTCTGGAAAAAGCAAATAATTGGACCATGAGTTGATATTTTAGTCAAACTGAATAAATGAAAATGTTTCCCTTCAAAGGTGAATTTCGAATTTTTTGTTTAAGCATGATTGTACAGTTTTATTGATTATGAATCATTATTATACAACAGTGTTTTTACAATGTGAACAATTGAATTCATATATAAAGTAGATAATTAAATAAAAACGATGAAATAACTTATGGTAAGAAAAATATAATGAATAAACAAACAAACATATTCCTGATTCATATGGAATAAATTACAATACATTTTGTATTGATTAATATCTAAAAAGTCAATCTTAAATGCTGTTATGATAATGAATCGGTTTTTAATTATTAGTTGATGATTATCTGTCATCTGCCATTTCATATTCATATGAAGCACTGTCTTCGTGTGTCATTCTTAATTTATAAAGTCAGAATTAGAGTCTTGGCACAGGAACTAAATACTACTTCCTTATCAACAGCATATTAGCTACTATACTTGTGTGTCAGGTGCTGCAGCATATTGAGTAAGGCCATACTGGTTGTTTACCTGTCTTATGATGAAAATATAAAAAAATAAATTTGCAGCTTCATATCCTGCGGATAGAGAAAACTTCATCTTTATTACCATAAAAACACATTGTACACCACAACAATCAAGTGTGTCGCATTTCTTCCATAACACTGTTGCAATGACATTTCCGCTTCATCACAGAACACAGGCCACATCCTTCACTATCACTATACCAATCTCTTTATACCTGAAAATATAACGAATTACCTTGTTTCAATGAAGTCTGAAAGTAAAGTTCAAAAGGTTGATTATACTACAATGTTTTAGTTGTCAGTATTGTTTTTAACATGTTCAAAGGGCTTAAGTTTAATCACTTGTTCTTAACTTGATACCATTAGTTGAAACAAAAAAATCATTATACATCATCAATACATGAAAACTTTTAATCACATCTTGTTTAAACTTAATACTTGATCTGAGTTAAAAATAACTAATAATATTTATACGACTACCCATTTGAAGTTAAGGATTAAAATTCCAAATTTGTTTCAACTTGTATGGTAAATGGCAGAGCTTCACACTGAATTCTTGCATTTGTCCAAAAATAGAACATTTATTTTAAAAATATACATGTTTATATAAACTTCAGCAATTTTGAAACTGTAAACGAGAGTAAGTATGGTGAAGTTGTACAGAGGAAAAATGTGGTATATGCAAAGCTTTAGAAAACATCCACATCTAAAAGATTCTTAAACCACAATGTTTTCATTATATATACACCTCAGAAAATGTTTTGCACATTTAAACTATTTTAGATTTTTCAACTTTACCCATTTGTCACTTGATTTGCACATACCTGACTTCTGCTGAACAAACTAGACTGATGAAAACCTGTATAATGTTAGTGTAAAGAACAAGACAAGCTTCCCAAATAACTGCTGCCTCCTAGTAGTTGCTTGACAAGTACATTCCTTTGTTTACATGTGATATCTAAGCAGTTTATTTCTGAGTCCATGGATTCTGGCTGAACATTCGTCCAGTTTAATGTTCATGACAACCCTCTGAAGGAACTCAAAAGAGTACCTCATATTACGTGGGTACTCAAGGTTAAGGCAGTGGATTGCGCCCAGTAACATGGCAAAGATCTCTGAGGTCATGTAGGATGATTTTCTCCTCTACTACCACAGCCATGTTGAAAACATGCAAAGGCAATGCATCATGCAGAGGGCCTTCGTGTCCAATCAACAGTCCAACTTGCATTCCTCTCATTATCACGTCAAGGGTTTCACCATGAGGCTGAAAACATAAAGACAAAAACACACATCTTAACTGACTGACTTAAACATCACTGCTATTCTAATAAAGAAAGGCTACAAATGTCTTTGAAATTAGTTGAGTGAGTGTTTTTGAGTGCCTTTCTGCATGTTCATTGTTAAACCCAAATAATAAAATAAACCAAGTTATTTTGGCCACTATGTGGGTAAACTGGGAGAATGTACTGCATTGAAATTTTTCTATTTCTCAAAATGTAGTATATTGGGTTTTAGTATGAATAATAATGCAATGTTATATACACTGCATTTGAAATGAAAGAATGATTATTATAGACTATGCATCATACAGCTACATGCACATGGACAGAAACTCCGGGACACACCTGTTAACTAACATTAACACGTGGTCAATAAAAAAAATAAATAAATAGTAGCCTACTACTTTATCATTCCATCAAACTTTTTTCTGATATACTGATATACTATACTATATACTATAGCTATTTTAAAAAGTAGCCTAATGTGATAGTTAGATTCCATTATTTAAAAACAATATAAGTCTGGGTATTTTATTACATATTGGTTAAGTTATTGCATTTTGGGTTTCATTACACTTTCGATTTAAATGAAGGGCACATTTCATGAATTTTTCAGACATTACTACATTTGCTTGTCATAGGGACAAAATTCTAATTATTTCAAGGAAACCCCATCAATGTTGGGTGTGTGCCAAACATAGGGCGTCATTATTTTTACAATATAAAATGTGTAAATAGTGTCTTACATCACACATCCTGATTATGTCGGAGGAATCTTCTCCAAGGTAGCATGGAAGACCAAGTAGGGCAGCTGTTCTTTTGTTTTGATTTGTGTCCTATAAAAACAGACAAGAGTTTGTGAATAGGATACCCAAGCTACAATACTAATTTTAGTACATCAACAAGAACTGATTTCTGTGCAGTACATACCTCCTTTTGAAGACAACTGAGAACACTGCTCAGGCGCAACCTCCTGCCTGATGCAGCAGCTTCTTCGAACATCTGTAGAACACCTGGCACCAAGGCATCAAGTCCATCCAGGAATGACTCCGGCAGGTCTTTGGTGACGATTCTACTGAACTCAGCACTGAGCTGAAACCAATAATAAACAGCAGGAAAGGGGCATAGATATAGATAATGATTAGTTAGCATTAAATATCCTATCCTTCCTTTCCTACCCTCTGACTAAACATTAAAATAAAGTATATAGTTGAAACTACATTTTTATTATAAATTGTTATAATTTTCATGACCGGGTGACTCGACATACATGCGGACGTCCTGGGCCTGTCTTTAACTTAGAGTGTTGCTTTATTCACACACATGTAGCCTGCATTCACGCACCCGGTGGACCGGGAACTAGACCCATCTCTACATAGTATCACTCCGCCTCACGTCACTAACATCAAACTAGCTAACGTTAACTCATGTTGGGCTCGAATAAAACGAATTTTGGTCACATTTTCCGGCTATTAAAAGCACAACCTACACAGTTAACCTTATTACGTTACTACACATAGGTTCATGTTAAATACTTTATTAGAGATAATTAAACTCACCTGTCCTGCGTGAGGAAATCCGCTTCACCACCCTCACTGGTGCCTTCGCTGCACGTCGTGTTGCTCCGCCTCGGTTTGAGGCCATTGTCGGTACATAGTCTCTTTCCGCGTTTGGAAGTAGTCCTTGATCATTTACTACAAAGTGTCTGTATTTTGATTGGAACTCGATATATGACTTATCTGCAGTGTTAATTATTCTGTTCATGCTTCAGCCTTGCTATGATTTAAAGAAGACCATTAAACTCAAAGTCGCACAATATTAATTTTGTAGCTCCCATTGGCCCACTCCCGCCTTTCCCACCACACCCCACCCCCATCTGATAACTTTGAAACCAAAGTTCATCACACATACTGATCTGATAAAGTTTCAAATAGTAACACAATTAATAACAGTAGTTATTGTGAACTACGGATGGTTCAAAAGACTAATCTTGTCAGAGCTCTTTGTGTTAAAGAGAGGAAGTAAGTGGACTTAACTAAACAGGGCTGTCCTGTTTTACAGTGTATATATCGGTAGGGTTTGGTCATATGCATATTTAAAACTCCCTTTGTGCTTTTTATGTTTGTATGTAGGGGTTTTCAAGCAGGATGTTCTCATTTTGTTGCAAAGAACCCATACGACTCTCAGTGGACCACAGAAGCCTTTTTCTGTGATCAAACTTTATGTTTAGAAGCAGAAGTTGACTGATGTCCCACAACACAGTGTGTTTCACTGTGTTTAACCGCACACAGCTTGTGAACAAAAAATCATAGATGTTACGTAGCGCTGCTGTGGTTAGCAAAACCTGATCAAAGTTTATGGGCTGATAAGACAATAGATTCAAATGATTCTTACTGTTTGATTATTGGTCTGTGGTTATTGTTCATAAATGTATTTTATGCTTTAATTATATCTCTACATAATTATTCATCCTCCACATAATGACTGTATGAGGAACAACAGCTTTGTCAAATGTTTTTTTATTAATGAAAGTGTAATACAGTCAAACAACTAAATAATGTGTATCTAACATTGGTGTTCATCTTGTGTCATTTGTGATAACTTTTCTGTGATAACATGTCATTTAACTGTAACAGAGACTCTGAGCTAAACGAACATTTTGACCTCAGAGAGCCAAACTCTGCATTGAGGACTTCACCTGCTCTTGTTGATGTAAAACAAGTGACAAGTGGTTACAAACAACAAGAGAACCCCAGTTCTAATGATAGAGAGCCAGACCAAGATTCTCATCTGGTCTTCAGCAGCACCTTGGACGAGCAGCTTGCTTCTATCCCCGAACAGTATCTCCCCGCAGGAAGCAACAGCACAGTAGTAGGTTCCGGCATCAGACAAGCTCAGGTTCATCTTCTGTAAATGGTAGACACAGCTCTGTGAAGGGGACCCTGGTGCAGAGACGTGTTTCCACCCATCCCCGAGCGGGTGAAGGATTCCTTGTCGAGGCCCATGTTTGAACCAGTAAACACCGTGTTCTTCACCACAGCTCCCAGTGTGTACTGTACAGTTGAAGGTCACAGACCCTCCTGGCTGGATGGTCTCAGATATGTTGATTGGAGTGTTCATATGCCCCGAACCATCCAGTGTTATATAATCTCTGGTGTGTATATTTCAACACTATAATTTTAATCTTACACTCAAAGCAAATAAACGCCGGGGATTTTGTTCATACTTAAGGTGAATAAACTTTGGAATG